TGCCCGTTGAGCCAGGATTGCACGGTTCAATCTTTTGCTATTTTGCCACGCCTCCGGCCGTTTGCATCTCGAAAACCAAATTATATCGGTTGAGCCACAGTTGACTATTACTATTTTGCGATGTTACTATTTCACTACCGTACTATTGGACACATCTCGAGAAACCGAACTGTGCGGGTTGAGCCTGAGTTTACTATTTGGTATTTTGCCATCTTATTATTTTGCTACTGTACTCTTGTTCTTCTTACTTTTTGACTATTCGTTGATTTATCATATACGAATTTACCTTATTCCCACGCCCCCCCCCCCCCCCCCCGCAGCAGTTTGCATCTGCAAGACCGATCTGTGCCGGTTGAGCCATCGTTTTACTTACTATTAAGTACTATTTGCTAATTTACACGTTTACTGTTTACTATGAAAGCCATTTGCATCTGCAAAGCGACCTGTGCATGTTGAACCCAAAAGCAAAAAGAAAGCTTGTATCTTGGAAACTGAGCTTGGCATGTTGAACCCCAGATTTGGATGTTGAGCTAGGGGATCCCCCAAAAAGAAGCCGCAGCAATCCACACAACGTTGCATTGCGCTCGTTTGCTACGTAGTCTGCTTTCTACATAGTCACCAGGAAGCACAGCCATTGCCCCAAAACTTCGGCACGTGCCTCCTGTTGAGGACTGCGACTTGCTTCTCGCCGTCGAGGACTGGGATGCTCCGGAAGCCTTACTGGAACACTGTGCAGTGGTGCTACAGTATCTGTCTGTAAGACATCCGCGCATGCAGCCTGAACTCTCTGTGCATTCACTCTGCGCACTGCGCGGCGAGCGTCTGTGGCGGGTCGCCGGACAGCACCTGCGCTCCTCGCCGACCTCACCGACGTTGTCGCAACAGCGCCAGCCGTCTCCTTGCTCGCCACCTGCTGCTGCAGGGACCAGAGGATATACTCAGCAAAGCAGTGAAGTAGCGGCTTGGCTTGTTTCTGCCTCCTCCTGCTTGCGCCGGCTGGTGCCCAGGCGCCACTGCAAGAGTGCGCACCTCAATGACCGCAGGTCCCTGCCATACTCGCAAGCTGGTCACTCTCAGCATCCGAGCTTCGACCCCGCACCGGCAGTGACGAGACGATCTGGACCAGCCCAAGCAAGACCAGCAATCCGAGAGCAGTGGCCGAAGTGCTCCTTCAGAGGCACTTGTCGTCTCAAGTCAAGCCGCAGCATGCCGCCGCTCAATGCCATTCACAAATGCCACGCCAATCCCCACGCAAATGTTTATTCTCCTTGGCCAGAGCATCGGGGATAAAGAGCGGAAACCTGTTGCAGGACCGGACCGGGCGTCACCCTGCGGCTTCCTTCCGTTCATAAATTGAGGCCTAGCTGATGCAACAACATGGCTCTCTGGCCTTTGCAGCTTCACGAGGCCGTCCTCATCCCCAACTGCCATGAGCTTGGCAACCCCCTGCGACTCGGCGATGATGGCCGTAGTGGACCTGTAGCCTTGCAAGGTGCCGAGCGACTATCACAACCGACATCTTCGGGTCTCTCAAAATCCCACCGCTGCCAGCCTGCAGAACCGGACGGAGTTGTGCAGTCAAGTAGCTGTCTTTGTTCCAGGCACCCCACATTGCCCAAGACATGGCCAACCTCTGTTTCAGACACGCCTTCCCCAACGACCCAAGCACTTCGTACACGCGTGACAAGTTATGGTGACAGAGTCTTCTCGGTCATGCTGAAAAGCCGGAATCTGTGCCCATTTCCAAACCAAACATCTGGAGGGAAGTTCGACGGCACTGACTTGCCGGTTTCCACATCCCAACACAGAATGGCGCTATCTCCTTGGCTTCGGAGTGGTCATAGCTGACTATGACGAAGCACTAGCTTACTAGCTAAGCTTAAGCCCACACATTGCTCCAGCCAGGAGCGAGCATTGCTGGCCAAAGCAGAGCCGTCCTGCAAAAGAGGGCTGTGGGGTGAACTCGCACAAGAATGCCTCAATGCCTCCACAAACAAAGAGCAAGTAAGCAAGCAATAGAAACAAAGGTCCTTCGCGAACTGCAAAGACAAGATGGCACTTGCGTTGCCCTGCAATACTTTGAGAGGAGCCAGCTGGAAGGTGGAGCCATTTGTGCCTCCAACCAGTGGTCGACGCACTTGTAGAAGTTGCACCCGCCCGTCCCTGTAGCCGACAGCTAGCAAACCGCCAGGACCGGGCGAGAAGCAGAGAGCAGTGACGGCGGCAGTTTCCTGAAGTCCGAGGCTGCCCATGTCAAGTTCCGACATTCTCCCGGCCTCAAGATCCCCGATGACCAAGCATCGCAAGTGGCCACTCTCAAGCCCTACAGCCAGCAGCAAGCCAGTCGGATCCCATGTCATAGCTGTCACCGCTGCTCGAAACTGATTGGCAACATCCATCAATCTTTGCACATCTAAGTCAAAAAACATAATGAGGCCGTTGGAGTCTGCCACGGCCACTTGGTTCGGATTTCGTGGGTTGACGCAAAGTGCCTTAACCTCAGCCCTGCCCGAAGGCGACTGCTGCAACAATTCTGCAGAGCCGTAGCCTGCGCCCACATTCATCCGTATTCGGCAGAGAGCACCGTTGACGGTTCCTGCTAAGATCTGTGGGCCTGCCGTCGACTCAAGCTGGGTGGCGGTGGCGAAATCCAGAATATTCCGAGCCAGCCCGGCCACCTTCATCTTCGTGGATGACAGATCAGAACGCAATAGCAGAATGGACTCGCCAGAGCCACCACAGACCACATCCCCTGACGACAGTGGCACCAAGAAGCGGACCTTAAGTGTGGTGCAGGCGATGCGATTCTTTGCATCTCGGCGCAACACCGCAGCCTGGATCCCTAGATTTCTCACCATGAATACATGCGACCAAAGCCTGATTGCAAAAGCCTTCTATGTTAATTGGTGAACCGTTTAGTGCCGGCCTCGAAGGTGGTAATTGCGAGCCCGCGCAAACAAACGGGCCCATCAGCAGAGAAGGCTTCAATCACAAAGACTCCTCACGCACTCGGCACACTGCTTCGCATGGCATGAATGGAACCAGTAAAGTCCCATGATTGCGTAAAATATTTAGCGGCAGACATGATCAGAGGCCATCAGCACCTACGGCATATAAATGGCCTTTACACTATGGAGCCCGGGTTTCCTCCATCCGTTCCGACGACAGCCAGATCGGATGATCCCGAAATGAAGCAACCTGGGGCACGGATTGTTCTGATGAGAAGTGGCTCCAGAATTTCAGCCGAGCTCAACCATGCTATTCGGGACCCTATGACTGATATATATATATATATATATATATATATATATATAAGAATGTTGTACGAGTTGATCGGCACCTGTCTTGAAGCCGTAGAAGGGGCCACCAGCAGTATCGTGCGGCGGTGGAGGTGTCGGCGTTAGAATCTTTGCGCTCTGAGCAGCATCTTTGGCAGCCCAGCTGCAGGTAATGAAGTAGACATTTCGGCCACCGTAGGCCATGACGCGGGTGCCTAGGCAGCTTGGCCGCGGCAAAACTCAAGCACCGAAACGAACTGTAGCCCACCCGAGCCATGAAAGCCAATGAAAACTGCTCCGAGTTGCTGTCCACCGGGTGCGACACCAAGCGGACTTTTTCCCTGATGGGCAACCGGGTCTGCGGGGCGCGGATCTGACGAGCGGGGCCTTTGGCCGGCATGTCGTCAATACGCCAAGCGCAAAGGGGCGAGGCATTGGCCTTCAGCTCGTTCTTCGAGGGCTTTTGGCCACGTTCTTCAGCTGCTACAGACAGCAGCCATCGCCCGTCTGCCGAGAAGGCCATAGAGTAGATGGCCTGATTGTGCCCCAAGATTTGTTGCCGCATGCTCGGAACTGGAAGTTCCTCCGCAGACCACAGTAAGATGCTCGCGGTCGTTTCCCCCGGTGCCATCTTCTGTCCCGTCGCGATCCGCCGTGACCGACTGCAGCATGCCATTGCCGTGATCTCGGCTGTATGTCCCTGAAAAATCCGCTGCTCCTTTTTTTCGTCGTCCCACACCACCCCCAATGCAGCCACACTGTAGCAATAGGACAGCTGACCGAGGTCGTACAGATTCTGGCATCTTCGGCCATTAAAGCCATAAGCATACTCCAGCGACAAGCCTGCCTCTGGCACAGCCCTCAGCTTTCTTTGCTCTGTTGCATCCTTGGCCACCCGCTCAAGCTTTTCTGCCTCGCTTTGCGGGATATGGAGAGCAGCAAACCTGCCCCCAATCCGAGCACGAACTGTGTTGGCCACCAGGGAAGCCTTTGTTCCGAACACGCTTTGGGAGCCGACGCGGCCCTTCGGGGGAGAAGTGCTGCGATTCTCACTCATCCTCAAAGCCTAAGTTCCCCCAACAGGGCATGGGCGGCGATTCCTCGAGAGCGCACATGGAGGCAGATCTACCGCTACTTTGCCGCTTAGAGGCTTAGAGCATGCATCACTGCATCATTGTACAGAATTACCCTTTTCCAGCATCTATCTCGCTCTGTCAAGCCGTACCGACCACACCATGCCACGACCATGGAAGAGCGTTCTCCAAAGCTGGAGCACTGAAATGCTGAAGCTTGGGAAGCAGGTAACGGTCAGTGCTAGCCAACCAGCCGCGAATCTGAAAAATCTGGCACCATTGCATGTCATAGAGGCGGCACATGGTACGCGCAGAACCACTAAAAAGACTGTCAAATGCATCTCGGCCGTTTATCCTTTCGAACAGTCCGGTTGCGATTCAAAGTGCCAAAGTAATGTGATGTGATGTGCCTGGACGAAGTCCGGAAGAAGTGTGCAAGACGGATTCGAATTGAGTCACGCCCCTGCGCTCTGCACTTTACACACTGTCCGTCCACCTTTCTTCTCATGCTAGCCTACCTGAAGGCTGCACAAGTCCATGCGAGCGCAAGGTATCGGACTCGCACAGCTGTGCAAAGCGACGACGTTGCAATCTGCAAAATGCAGACACCGCCGCACTGCAAAGCGATGCTGGAACAAACATCGTCCATCTACTTGGACTGCCATCCTCGCTGGCGACGATGGTCCTTCGGGCTGCAGTTTGCTGCAGATTCTGGGAGACTTTGAGCCTTGAAAATGCTTGCCTGCTCTCGTCGTTTTCCAGGGTTGCCGTTGCCGTTGCCCCTCTCGGCCTGCCATTGCAAAGGGACAACACGCTGTACAAAGTTGCAGTGACCACTGCACAGACCTCCCGCTGCTCCTGATACATGCGCCGCAGCGCTGCCCGTGGGGCTCGGCCATTTCCTGTACCGAGAATTCCCGTCAACATGAGACTGGTGTTGTTCACTGAACATGTCTCAGCGCCCTGAAACATCTCAACGAAGGTCCTTTTCCCCCGTTGCTCCGATCCTGCACAGCCCGTCGAAGCATGAGAAAATGACGGACGAAGAACCCGTCTGCCTGTGGTGGTGGTGGAGAGGGCGTGTCTGACGAAGAGGAGCTGGTCGATGAAATGACAGTAACCTGCAAGGAACGTGGCCCCCACTGACCAAAGCTGGCACTACGACACGCTTCCGGTGCTACGAACTGCCTCATCACTGCCCTTGCGAGCTCGCATGGGTGGCCTTTGGTGCGCTGGCGACTGTATTCGAGCTCACAGTGCGATTTGATGCGATTTGCGACTGCAGCTCGGGTGCCGGCCGTTGCTGCTTTTTGCCCTTTTCCTTGCCTTTTCCCTCATGGCTCCGTCCGCTCCATTCTCTTTCCTGTTCACACAAACAACAACACCGCAGCGCGAATTCTCTGTCCGCTTGTCTACACTACGGTACGTACAGTATCGACTGAGCGCGCAAGAGACGGAGAGAAAAGAAGAGAACACACGCTCAGACGTGCGCACAGGCAAACATAGAGAGAGAGAGAGAACAGAGCCCGGCCTCCCATCCACGCCACTCGTTCTGATTCCAGTTCTTGTTGGTCCAGTTGCCGCGCTGTGGCTCCCAATCCGCCCAGCTTCCGCCGCCTTCTTCCTCCCAGCCCTCCCACTGTCCCTCCTCCCAGCGCTCCTGTGGTCTGGGCCCAGGCCAGTGACGCTTGGCTTCCACCTCCCAGTTTTCGACAGGCTGGTTCCTGCCCGTGGCACCCCAAGTGCCTCCTGCTGGATCGCTTCCGCGGCGCTTGCCTTGACCCTCGCGGCCCTCGCGGCCCTCACGGGCTCGCTCGGGAACTTCATCGGGCCAGCGAGATGGTGGATAGGCGCCTGGGCCCGGGCCCTGCGCAGCTGACAAATGGGGCGCCTGGTGCTGTGGATAGTGCGCGGGCCTTCCTTGGTACTGTGGGTAGTGCTCCTGCGGTCCGTGTGGTCCTTCCCAGTGTGGCCCCGCTCCCTTGTAGTGTGCTTCGGGGCGAGGGCGAAGTTCTTGCTGAGGACCCTGACCCTGCATCTGAAATCCTTGTGGCGGGGAGCGATTGTCGCGTGGTGGAGGGCGGGGAGGTCCCGGAGGTCCGGGAGGTCCCGGTGGCTGCTTTTGACGGGTTGGCATGGGCATGGGTTGGGGGCTCGGTGCCTGGCTCTGGACTGGTGCCGGCATGGCACTCTGTCCCTGCTGTCCGGTAGCCTCAAGCTGCCAGGACTGGCCGGGCTGGAACACTGGTGCTGTAGCGGACAGCCTCTTCTTGTTGGGGTCGGGAGGTGGGCCAGGCGGCTCTTGCAGCACTGCAGGCGGAGGAACATTCGGCCTCAGGCAAAACAGCACAAAGGACAACCAAAAGCTCTCTCCCAAAAACGGCCAACAGGGCCAACATGCTCAGTCTCCGACGGGCGCGGCCCACGGTTCAGTGTCTGTGGCCACAGACCCTGTTGCTGGTGCCACTGCAGCTGTTCATGTTGCACTTCGCGCGTCATTCGTCGAGCTTGGATGCGAGAAGGCCAGCGTGGCTTCTCAGGGGCATCGTCCAGCGGTGGCGGTCCCAAAAGATTCTTGCGGGCCTGGCAACTGTGCCAGCGCGGAATCCACACTCAGCCGAAGAACAAGGGTAACAAGGGCCTCTTGTGTCTCCACCAAAGCAGCTTTGACCCTGCACAGGGCTTTGGAATTCCCCATGTGCTTACGGTGCTTACGAAAAGCACTGGTGAAACCTCCTCCGGCCTGCCCGCGATGGCCTGCGCTGAACTCACTCGGCGCTCTCCTTGGCTCCTGGATTGCTTTGCGCTACAATGGCCCTCCCGTTTCTCTGGACTCTGAACGTGTTCCCACCTGCTCTCGCTGGCTTGAGGAGCTGCTGGAGCAGGCAGCTGTGGCTCCTCTTTCTGCTCCTGGTGAAAGCGAACAACGTTCGGACGGACATCTTAAAATCACAGACAAGATGCTTGTGTCTTGGCTTCCCCGACATGCTCCCACACTCCTGAGCGCCCATGGAGAAACCAAGGCACGAGGCGACTTCACCCTGACAGGCAGCAGCATGGGTAGCAGAGCGCTCTCCAGCACAGGCCAGCACGCACGATCGAGAGCCTCAAATGCATCGGGTGTTCGCTCAATTTGATCGATTTGATCCATGGTTTCCGTACCTCAATCCAGAACGCATGCGACCTGCATGTGTGAAAGCGAGCTCCATGCAAGTAGGCACCGCGCTTCCGAAGGACAGGGCCGTCAACGGCAGGGACAGAAACCTCAACACATGCACAGTCACAGGCATGTTCGGGTTCTAGATACGACAAGACCCCTGATGTGCCATGGTTCCCGGCCTGTTCCCCTGCTGTTTGAGCTCCGTCTGTGTGGGAGCATGCACGACCTCCGACTGCGCTGGTGGCCCTTCCATAGTCTCCGGCTGGTTCTCCGCAATCGCCGTCTCAAGAGCATCCAAAAGCACGAAGCCGGCCAGGTTTGGATCCAAGTTAAACTCCTCAGAGGCAACGGAGCAGTTGCGTTTAAAAGGGCCAAGCTGACTCTAACGGTGCATGGCTGGCCTGAACCAGAGTAGAAGCCTTCTTGGGAGCATCACATGTCTCAGGCGTGGGTTCGACTGGAATTTCTGGCTCTGCCGGCATCGGCGTCACCGGCTCCGGCTCAGTTTGTCCATCTGATAGCACCTGGACTGCTAGATTCTACTAGTAGATGTTGGGTCATGCCTTACATCTGGGACATGAAGCAACAACCCGTCCTCTTCGTCATCGTCCACCATATCAGCCCAACTGGATGATGGCAGGCGAGTTCGTTGTGGGGCCGTGGCTGCCGGTGTGGGTTGCTGGCTTGCCGGCGTCATCGGCAATTGGCTGCTCGCTGGAGTTGCCGGCATCTGCGGCTGGCTCAGTGGAGTTGCTGGCATCTGTGGCTGGCTCAGTGGAGTTGCTGGCATCTGCGGCTGGCTGAGTGGAGTCACAAACCCTGTCCCCGCTGGAGACGACGTGTAGTTTTGGTCCAAGTTCTGGTCTGACCTTGCAGAAGGCAGCTTTATGGAGTGCAACGATGTCTGGAATGCTAGCCGAGGGTAGCACGAGGTATCGACTTCAATCTCACGATGGTCCCCGTCAATCTGCTGCACGTCCCGCGCCTGTGGCTTCCCTGTCAAAAGCACAGGTGCACACGTTTGTGTCACATGTGAATAGGAAAACTGCCAGCACAAGCCACCCACATGAGGCAGAGGGTGCCTTTGTCATTGACCGCCACCGTGAAGCTCACTGATGTTCCTACCTCCCATTTGCCCGCATAGTCCTGAAGTGGATTGAGAATAAGTGCAAAGAAAACAAACAAACTCAGTCGATCAGGTGAAACGAGCATAGGCCAGAGTAAGCACGAGGCCCCATGAGTTACATACACGTCTCGTGTATATGTCTCGGATAGTTCTGGGCATGTGATGAAGCCGTACCTCGTCAAGATCAGTCTTCCAAAGCCCTCGCGCGGGAGCCGACGTTTCTGCACCGGGCGCCGGGCATCCCGCCCACAGATTTCAGTTTCCCCACATATCTTCGGGTTTCCTGCTCCGGCCTTGGCTAAGACCAACAATCGGTGTCTGCATATCGGAGCTGCGGGAAGTCTCAGAGTTTCAGCCCGGCACGTCGACATCTTTTGTAAAGTAAAGCGGGAACTTCGGATAATAAAAGCGGTTCACATCTGTCCACTGCGAACTCTGCTTGAGCTGGAGGCGGCGAGGTCGAGAAACATGCTTCTGAGGACTTTCGGGCTGGCAGAAGCACGCAACTCTCACACTGCTCTGACTCGATTCTACGATTCTGCGTGCGATTACGAAAGAAACCCTCATGTGATGGACTGCGGATCTCACCCTGGCGGCGGGTAGCCCGCAGGCTGCTGGTACTGCGCCTTGGTGGCAGATCCCTCACAGCACATCGACTCGACTGGTGGCTGGTGAGCAACCGGTCCAGGTAAATGCATAATTGCTTCACATGCCTCACGCAGCGCAGGACATGCCCGTTCCACACACAGCGGGTTCTTCTCAGGCCAGCACTGGAGGATACATACCTCGCTGAAACTTTAAATGAACCCCAGAACTCGCAGCGAGTTTCCTGAGGTCACAACCATAAAACGGAGGAGCTTGGGAGTGGGCCTCGGATCGATTCTTCGCGAGAGCTGCAAGGCTCTGCTCAAAATTCGCCTCTCTGCCAGGCCAGCCGCTGGCAAGTGAGGCGGAGGAAACTGACCCGGTGGTGCTCGGTAGTCCTCAACCAATGGAGGCTTGGGCTTGCGGAAACTAAGACGCTCTTACAGCGAGTTTCCAGAGTCAAAACCCAGTCCCAGCCAGGCGCGGCCGCCGGGTGAGCTGGGCCTCAGCCGGGCCAAGCCGGTGATCGGTTTGCCTCGCTGGAGTTCTGCGCCTCCTGCAGTGAAGGGCGAGCTCCCAGGCCCTTGGCCTGCAGTCGAAGCCGGAGTACCGTTGTCAACTGTTTGCGTCTGCGGTCTTCATCTGGCGACCGGACTGTGAGACGAGGTGGCACCGCCCTGTAAGGAGGATGCCTGCACTCTGGTACGGTGCACGCTGTCGTAAAGTCAAATACTCGCTACGGTACAGTATGACATTATGAACCCCTAAATATCCCTGGGTGACGCTCACAGCTCCTTGTGAGGGCCGGGCCTCCTCACAAGGGACCCAGCTCCCGGGCGGTGCCTCCAAAGGAGGGGCCGCCTCCTTAGCCGCACATGGCAACCGGCAACGGTGTCGTCGCCCAGCGATGGCGCGCATGCTACGACCCGCTTAGAAAGAACGAGGTGTTGCGTTATGGTGCAGCCCTTGACGACGTGCTCTTGCGGGCAACCATGACAAAAGCGTCTTCTGAGTCTGGTGACACGGGTAGTAGGAGGCGCCTCACGACCTGACAATCCGACTTGATTGATGTCTTCCTGTTTGCATGGTATAGGGAATGACGCAGTGATTCCAGACCGAAGCGACGAACACTGCGATGGCAACACCATGCGTCAGACTGCATGACACTTTAAACTTTAAACGGTATAACTGTGGCTGCTTGCAAACCTCGCGGTTCGCTTCGTCGGAGCCTCAGTGGAACAGCGTGAGGTGCCGCCATGTCAGGACCCTTCGCCACGCTGGCACCCTGCCGGAACAAGGTTTGCCACTGTGGCGAGGACGGTTGCTCTGCGTCGGGAAAAACCGGTCGAGGTGACCAACTCCGACTGCTGCAGCCATAGGAATAGCCTTCGAACAGCTCATCTCGCCAGCAAAACAAAAAGGCACGGAATTCATCTTGACACGCCTAAGATCCGGGCTGTTGTAGCTGTACATGCTGTACGAACTGTAGCAAGAGCAGCTTCGACTTCGACTCCGATCGAAGTTGGCCTGGATCTACAGAATCGGCTTTGAATGCACCACATCCAGTTTCACGTAAAGGCTTCCGTCTCGAGGGTTGTGGATGGTGCAGCACGCTCGGCAATCTGACACTGGCATCGGCGCACTTCGCGCATGCAGAGATCGTCCGATGCTGAGAAGCAAACCGTGTGGGTTGGAAGGCGAGACCTCTCCTGCATGCCACTGATGTTTGTTCCAGCCCAGCTTTGTTTGGATACTAGCAGCTTGTCTTGGATGCAGTGCTTCGTACTATTGGACTTTACGGCAGTGTCGTGCCAGCATGTGCAGGTGGGAACTATCCCGGCGAGCATAGTGCACAGAAGGCTTGATTCTCAGGGACTGCAGGATTCAAAGCGCTCATGTAGCGGCCCAGGTTGCCTCGTAGTGTGGGCCTGCTAAAACTTTAGCGAATTCGAGCGCTTTCATGTCCCCACACCCGTGCTAGGATCGAACAGAATCCACCACGCCAACCACAGGGAGGGCTCAATGCAATGATCCATCCGCTCGACAGCCGGAACATCGCAACTTCTATTTACGGTACTACATGGTACTACTAACACAGAGCTGCGACCATACCTCTGTAGAACACAGACTGTCCCCTTGCTGTAAGAACTCGAGCAAGACCACAGACACCACGCTAGAGGCAGGGAGGAGCCCACAGCCTCACCCAAACAAGAAGACCACCGCCCTACACGGGCCGGGCGAAGGGGTAAAGCCAAACAATAAGACCAGCCCACCTGAGATGGGGTGGGGGGTTAGCAGCCTTGGAGCATCAATACCAAAACGGACTGAGCTCTGTGGTGCGAGCGCGAATAAGGCACTTCCAATGCCAAAACTGGGACCGGCCATGTATTTGCCTTTGGCCGGTCAAAACAACGCTCCAGAAGCAAACTCGAGAAAACCACGATCTTCGGAGGTGGAGTCGGAGAGCGGAACAAGGGCGCTGATGTGATGCTCGTTTGGCATGTCTCAGGAAGAAAGTCAAGATAAGACATGTCATCAGAAAGCACCGGCGGATTCACCCCAGCCTCCGGAAGCACTCCCCCGTTGGGCTGCGTCTGGTCGTTTTCCGGTACCAGCACCTGCGAGGCGATGTATAGTTCGTGATGCTACAGCACTCAGAGAGCTAGCGAATTTGTGATGCGCAAAGGCTTCAATGTGTGTAATCCGGCAGAGGCTGTGTACACATGGCACGCATGTGCAGGCATCAAAATCCAGTGGAGTCCGTACTTGTACCGCGGAGTTGCGGCTCGAAGACCATAAGTCATAAGAGTCACGAAATGGTCGTGTCATCTACTTGGATTAGCCCCTGCCATCTTGGAGCGCTCTACTTCTTTCACTTTCGTCCGCTTCCAACAAAACCCCTTGCCTTGCGATGTGACCGTATGCTCTCTCCACAACGACCCCTCTCGCTGGATTTCTCTCGAAGGCTTGGAGAATTGAGTCAATAATTACCCCTATTCACACTGCACATCACAGTGCAACAGTCATCGACGGACGCTTTCACTCTGGTCTCGTAGGTCTGCCGAGCCCTACTCAACCCCTACTGCAGCTCTTTCACTTGAGCTTCCTCCGCATCTTTTCTCTTATTGTCCTTTATCTTCGTTTGCTCATCTCTGGCTCGAGCCCCTCAACACACGAATGTAAAAATGCACCTCCGTCTACACGGTCGCATACATAGAGACAGAGAGAGGGAAACAGGAGTCAAACGCATATAAAGCCATGCGCTACAACATGCGGTGCAGCATGCCACGTTTCCACGGCTCTCGCGAAGTCACATCACCGAAGCTGAGCGAAGGGTCAAACTCCCAAACGGCACATTAGCTATAAGGGAAGAAACAGTGATTGAACCCTATCCAGGCATTCTGGACATGAGCGACACGAGAACTCTACGGCTACGGAGCAAGAGAAGCTCAGAGCATGGAGTCTGAGCTTTGAGGTAGATCCGACAGGTCTGCGACCTTCCCCATGATGGACCTGTGAAAGGCCCTGTTGTTCTTCAAGCCAGACGGTACAGCTTCCCATGGTGCAGGCCCCAGGGCTTTGTGATGCCAAAACATTCGTCCCCCGGGTCCGCGCCGACAGATCCATCCATCCGGCGCCTGTTCTGGTGACGGCAGTGATGGGGGTTCGGGCCGTCGCAGAAGAGTTGGCAAATTCAAGGAAGTGTCTCCATCCTGTTCAGTCTGATCTCCGGCGCAGTGCTCTGCACACACTCGCCGCCCCTGCTCTGAGCTGCAGCAATCAAGCCACCATGCTGGCCGCGCGGGTGCTTCCGATCTTCGCAAGAGCGGCTTCGTAGCAGCGGTCATGCTTGCAGCAGCTGCTAGCAGTTCTTTGGGATTTGCATCCAGGGCGAAAAGAACTGCAATGGAACCGGCTTCGGATCCGTCTACTGCCTTTAAAGTAACCATCTGCACCGAACTTTGGTATCGGAACCTCTCGCCAGGCTGCGTGGGATTGCATATAGGCAGCACATGCCGCAGAAGATCGGCGGTGGCCACAGCACGAATATCTGTTGGAAGTTTCACTGTCACTACACCCAGCGAGAGGTCACTTTGGACTCGAAGACGAAAGCTCAAAGCTGAGTGCATGTCCAATTCTGCCGCTGAGGCTGTGAAGCTGAGGGCGTCATCAAAGCGCCACGGACACTCTTGCCCGCTTGGTATCCAGCAGGATCCTCTAGAACTGCCTGCGGATTCATTCCACGTTGCAACCTTCGTCTCTTTGGAGATATCTCCTAAGCTCACGAGACTGTGGCGACAACGCCACTTTGGTCTAAAGTGCGCACCGCGCCAAAGCAAGACGCAGAATTGCACCAGACCCTGCGCGAACACTTCCTAGCAGCCCTGTCCTCTATAACTATAAACACAACAACCCCCCGAGTCTTCGGGGAGGTACACGCAACAAGAGCTCGAATGTGAGAGCCCATCATCATAACAATATATACGAATGATGACAATGATACTGGCTATTCATGGTAAATACAACACGATGCCATGAAAAGGCTTGTTCTTGTCACATAGTAGCCGCGGCTGCGAAAGCAGTAGGTGCAGCAGCAGCAAGAGGAGCAGGAGGAGGAGCAGTATAGGTGTTATTGTTGTTTCGTCACCCACATGGCACGCCTCTGACAGCTCCGTCGGGGACGCCGGTTTGCAAATAGAACAGCGAAAGACACAGGTGATATCAAGCGAAGATCCTTCAAGAAGTAGTAATTGTTGTGGTTGCAGTAGCAGTAGGAGTAGTACTGAATCAGCAAGATCATACTTACCCCAACCACCACAACTAACGACAGCGCTGTTCCCGGCAACCACGAGCATGTTAAGACAAAGAGGCCTAGGCCTTGGCCTCCGAGCCCTGCTACTGGTGTCTACGTGCAGCTGAGTGGCCCAGGCAGATCTCCAAGCTCGGCCTTCTTTCGGCCCAGGAGCCAAGCGGATCCGCGAGGCCCGGAACCGAGGCGGCAAAGACCTGCGCTGAACGGTCGGAAGGCGCTCGCTTTTTTTTGCATCCGGAGGACATGGGGTTTTTACGTCGACTCGGGCACTGCAGGCGAAGCTCAGGGAGGAGCACTTTGATCCAGAAGGACATGAAAACACTACTGATTCAAAAGAATTTTACACCGTGGGCATCATGAGCATCAGGATACTGCTTAAATACACCATTACAGCTCGCAGCTGTGATGTGAACAGAACAACACTCCAAGCCACGCACCGGACCCAAACCTCCCGAGCATCGCTGCAGGGTTGCTTGTTTTGAAGGATTTGGAGACTAAATCACTACTACTTATTACAAATTCACGATCGGCATGGCAGATCGGAAAACAAAAACGTATCTGCTGTCCCGCGTGACATTTGTAGGTTCTGCTGCAGGCCCTCCAGCCCCCACATGCAAACAACCTGCCCCCCACGAAGCGAATAAGTGGAAGAAGCTTTTAGCCCAGGGCACACAGGCTGGATAAAGCCCTCTTTCTGCACGACCCCGCCGTGACTACCTCCTTCTAGCTTCAAGGCTTTACATGGGGCCACAGTTGAGATATGTGGGCAACAATCTGTGGAAACATGCCTTTAGAGCCCGTGCCTGCAACTGGAGCTGGAAGTTTCCCAGATCATCCATGGCCCGTTGGCTCCCCAGTTCTGGTGTGCTCTAGTAAATGCTGATGCTGCTGTCCAGCAAGTGGGCTGCGCACAAGCTACAGCAGCTGCAATGTCCTTTCGTTTTTTGTAATCTTCTTGGCAGGGTCAACGGCAGAAGATAAATCGCAATGCTGAATCGCAGCAGTTCCGAACTTGAACAGGCGGCTGCAGTGTCACAAATCAAAACCCAGGGGACAGAACGACTGTCCTCGTGCGTCGTTGCTGCACGTGCTGCACGTGCTGCTGAAGCTGACTGAGATGCCACTAGTCAGGTCTCTGGCTACTAGGAAACTGACCCAGGGTCACCTAGCCCCGAGTGCTACAAGGTTGGCCTTCGGTGGCAGGATCGGATCTGTCGGATCGAGCCTTGGCTTGATTGTCGGAATGCAGTCTGCACGGCCCGCGCGGCTGCAGCACGCTGCATCATACTCGGTACTGTATCCTCAACTCGCTTTAGCCAAGCTGCAGCTGATAAGGGTCATGTTGCAGCGTTGGAAGCTCGCCGTCCCTGGCGCAATCTCTGTTCTGCAAAACGACGCGGCGACTGAGTCCCAATAAAACCCTAAAACAACTGCCTAGGCGGAGAGCAGACACTGAGGGAGCTCGGTTCCCATAATGAACCGTAATCGCCAATTTTCTGATGTCGGCCGGTCCGTGGCTTCTGGGTTGTTGGGCGGTGTCGTTCGCACTTTCGCTCTCTTTCTTTCAGGCACAGAACCCTTTTTGCCCCTCTCCAGGGCCCTCAGTCCACCGGCCTCTCGGAAAGACGCTGCAGAGGCACCCGCCTCCCTCCCTCTCTCCATATCTCACAGATGGGCAACTCAAGACCAACGTCACACTTTGGAGGCAACATTATGATCATGAAAGCCACCTCTGTTGGAAGCTGGCCGGGCTGCTGTGGGGAAGACTGAATGTACTGCTGAACTGGGCGTTGCACTCTGCGAGGTGCTGTGCGCCACCTTTGGGGCCTCGGGCCAGTCGACAACTTCGTGACGTCGTGCCGTGCGCTGCCCTTTTGGAAGCACGGCTGGGTGCTCGGCCGGCGGCGACCAGAGCGCCAGGTCCTCAGGGTCAAGGCCCCAAGATCTGAAACTCGCAGCCTGCGATCCTCAAAGCTATCGCGAGCACAAATGACTCAGGATCAGTCATAAGTGTCATAACCCACGACATAACCATCTCCGAGTCCCGGTCCAGACTTCGCAGACTTCTTGAGTCTCTTCTTCGGTCTGGGAACCGTCCGCTTTTGTCCATTGGTCACCTGGGAATCTCCGAATCTCGGCCACTTCGAGGTAAAATCATTCAGATTGCAGCACCTATGTGCCAAAGAACCCAGCATAACCCTGAATCTCGCCAGTCTACCCTGCAGCGCAGGGCATTTGAAGCTGCAGAGTTCCCCCCGCATGCTGCCACATGTGAACAGTGCTAAAGCACAAGCCCCGAGTCTTGCAAAGCTTTCGATGCGTTTATGTACCACGTAACAGTGACAACAGTTTACGACCTGTGGAACCAGGCTGTACCTGTGCAGTGTGGGGGCCTGCCACACTTGGAGTATTCCGTGCAGAATACACAAAAGATGTCCGTGTATACGATGCCTCTAATGCAGAAACCGAGTTGGTAAATGTGCGAATCCGCACCTGTACACATTGCACACTATGTACTCAAACTCATATACTCCAGATAGCACATACACTTAAACAGAACAACTCATTGAACAAATCGTATACACCCACACTCACATAGACTCTACATAGACTCTAGACACGACACACCCACACATCACACTGCGTGCATACACACATACACAAATTTACGTACATGTGTGCATGTGTGTGTGTGTTGGTTGTTTGCAGCTACCACTTCACTGTGCCCCCGTCGAAGGCCTTCGGAGCTACTTGCACCCCTGCCGGCGCCGGGGCTCGCAAACCTCTGCCACTGCAATGGCTATCACAAAAACCGCAGGCGTTTGGACTGCTTTCCGGATCGGTGTGAAGGTTTGTCTTGGGTAATACCTGTCTTTCAGCATTTGCACCAAGATCATCCAAGATCTGTGCGTAGGAGCCGAGGGTAGCTTCAGGTGTACCAGCTTCTACCAGGGGTCAAGAGTCAAGAGCAGATCTTGATCAAGGAGAAGCCTCTCGTTCCACGGCGACAAATTCGAGGGCCTGGAGATGCCTAGTGGCCTAGCCAGAGTGTCAGCATTGCAAGAGGCCCAGGGCGAGCCTTTGTTGCGGCTGTGCCCGTAGCCATAGCCATAACCATCCTGCCAAACGCTTGACGCTTCTGGATCCTCTGAGCTGCTCGTGCTACACTACTAGCACCAAGCGAGTCTGTGTCTTGCCTACATGGTGGCGCCTGTTAGGTAATTGTGTCGTCGTCATTGCCAGAGAAGCGGTGTTTGTGGTGGCAAGAGTGAGAGCTGCAGCACAAGAAGAAGGCAGCAGGAGGTGTTGTTGTTGTTGCTGTTGCGCTTCGTCACTAGCACTCTGTCGCGCCAAGCTTGCGGAATTCGGTGCTCGGAATCTCAAGGCATACCTCGGCCGCAGAAGAGTCGAGACAGGGTCTTCCACCAGAGAGGAAGCACGAACCACGTTGCTGCAGCGAATTCTGCACGGAGGCCACCAATAAGCGAGTGCCGCAGGGGGCTTTGCACGTCAAATGCAAACGTCACCCTCGCAGTAGCCCGAAAAACAAAAGACAGGAGCTGGAGCACAAGTTTGTCGCAACGAGAAGCGACACTCAAAGCAGATGAACGCAGGCAGATGCACAGCACATCGCATGCAACGCGGCCTTTGGAACGGTTGCGCTGCGGCTGCGGCTGCGTGATGCGCTTCCACTCCGCCAGGAGCGAGCAGGCCTCCATGGTTCAGCTATGTTCAGCTCCTATTGCGGCTAATGCATACCCATGGAAAAAGGGAACGTGCTGATGGAGGCTGCAAGAGACTTCTTAGAATCTTCGCACTGCAGCTCTTGATCCCAGTGAGATCAAACCCTGCACTGGTCTCAACCACAGGTCACAACACCCACCTCGAAGCACGCCGCCCCGACGGCCGTTCTCCTGGCAAGTATCGCAGCTCAGAGTTGCGTTCAAGGCGCGACAAGTCAGCAACAGCAAAGATCTCTCCAACGCCCTGACGATGCACGGTGTGTGCTGGCGACCATGCCACATCCATGCATTGCGGAAACTCCGATCAAATGCGGACAAGTGCAGGCGTTGAACTCTTGCCTCCGCTAAGTCTATGAGGTCGCTGCAGCTGCGAGAGCTGGGCCGAAATTCTTACCTTTGGTTAGTAGGGAATGGAAGAATGGTAGCAATAGTAGCTATAATTGTACCCCATTCCTCCATTCCCTACTAACCAAAGCTAAGAATTAGGACCCAGGATGCAAGTTCCAGGTTTCAGATGTTTGCCCTTTGATCGAGGGCAACTAAGAAAACACAACTAAATAGAAGTCGCTGCACCTGCAACTAATTATCCCAGTCGCTGCAGCACCTGATAACTCAAGTATTCGACCCGGTAGAGCCACCTACTCAGATCTATTCGCCCTCAGCACGCAGGTTTGTTTTTGCGTCCTTCAGCCCACCGTTTGTCCGCAGACCTGGGACCTCAGAATGTAGCACAGAAGCAACTGTCTGCCAGTGTCGGCGGAGCTTGAGTGCCGCACGACTGTCGCCCCTTCTTGTGTAGGCATCTGGCCACGCCTTGTGCCTGGAGAACCCGGGCCACCGTTGCTGACACAAGATCCGGAAGCCGCCCAAAACGGAGGTGCAGAATCTATGAGCACGACGCGAACTAGATTGGCTGTTGACCATTTCTCCCTCTCAGAACTGAGCTGGTGCCTTGGGCAACCACCCGTTAGGTAGCTCCCCTGATGCACTCCCATGTCCGGTCGAAGCCTATCGATCCCGGTGCCTCTTTAGCGGTTTCGGGGGGTGTGTGTGGCGGCATGCCTCAATGGGAGTGCAACAGGAGCGTGGAGGCTGAGTGATATGCTCCAGCTACCACTGCTGCACTGACACCGGCACAGGATGACATGCCTGGAGCCCGAACTTGTTTTGCAAGTGGGTCGATTGCATCGGCTCTTTTGAAGTATGCCATCATGTCATCCCGGACTTCTAAACAGCCCAGAAGCACGCCTTGAGGGCAGCCTGAGTTATCGGCTGAACTGCCTCTTGTCGCCGGCATCCCGCTTTCCATACGGGTTGTCCGCTGAGAACTGGTGCCCGGAGGACTTTGCCGAGAGCTGTTTCTTCAGGGTACCCTTGGTGCCTGTTGCCTTTTTCCTGGCTGTGTGCTTGAGGTTCAGCTCCACTTTGGGAGGGTGTGCAAAGCCAAATGCCTTTGCAACCTGGGCAAGGTCTAGCTTGTGCACATCGAAGCAGTCTTTGTGGCTGTGGGCCGCATACGCGTGCATATACGATCTGTACGCATCCCTCGAACTCCTGTGGAGGTGGTAGTTTTTCTCGATGACGCGCCTGACAGCGACGATCACATGGGAAATCTGAACTACGGACCTCGCTGCGGTGCCGGAGATGCAATCGAGATGCTCCAATTGCGATTGAATGTTCGCCTGAGTGAAAGCAAACTGGCAATCAGAAGACCGAGCACAGTCCAGTCGCATAGCCAAGCTGCCACTTTACTTGAGGGGAAGCTGTACTCGGCCACGGGCACGCCGGCACGGCGCAAATAATGCAGAAAGCCAAGCTCCTAGGGTTCATCACCACTCTCTGGGGCTCGTTGCGGTGCTTGCTCTGCAAACGCGACCCTCATGACTCCCTTCAGACCCTTGAATGGCGCCACGTTCTCTCTTTTTCTTGAGTCTCCTCAGGCATGAGGAAGAGCAAGGCCTTGCCCTTACCAGAAGCCCCACGGGCAGTCCGCCCCACTCTGTGGATGTACTCCTGTCCGGCCAGTCTCGGCTTCTTCACAGCTCTTTCTTTGGGTCTCCATTTGGGGTCTGTGCGATGTTAGATGCGATTCTCGAGTGGTAGACATGTGAAGAACGATGGAGGACGCAGCTCCAATGTCTGACCCATGCCGACTCCTTCGGCTCATCTGGCGGATCGTACCTTAGGTGAAGTGCATAGTGCCGTCCCGAAAACATGCTCTTCTGTTCTCCTTTGCCTTTGTCTTCTTCTTTCACAGCGTGTGAGGCAACTCGAAAATGCAGCGCTGAACTTGCTCTCTGTCGGTGGCCACGGAAGCATGAGACAAAGACCAGAGTGCTTCTGATGTCGGGACTTCTATTGAAAGAGCTGCCGCCCTTTTGCTCTGCTCATGTTGCCATGTCCTTAAGCGTACCTTGGGTTAGTAGGGAATGGAGGAATGGGGTACAATAATAACTACTACTACTACCATTTTTCCATTCCCTACTAACCAAAGGTAAGTAAGCCCAAGATGCTGCACTATCCAGTCCACCTTCGGGATGTCCAGGCCGCGCGCTGCGACGTCTGTGCAAAGAAGGATTCCCGTCTCGGCGGCACAAAACTGGTAGAACCTCGGGGGATAAGGGAGAGGGAGGGAGAGGAGGAGCGACAGCGGCAGGGAGAGGGGAAGAGAGAGACTGAGAGCGTGAGTGAGTGGGGAGAGGGGAGCAAGCATTAAGGAGTTGCGGTTACCGGAAATTCATGCTGGGGCACGTCGAACTTCTTGCAGACTGCTTCTTGTGACCATGTATGCAGTTCACAGGAAGGTCGATGTAGTTCAGCAGCTCATCATGGAACCTGAAAGGTACAGTAGAAGGCAGGCTTACCTCGAAAAATCCCTACACGAAAACATGTATATTGAAACACAGCAGGGCATGTCAACCACCCCTCGCCCGGACCACACAAGCCAAGCTGGCAACACGCATAGACGTCTCCTTAAAGTGCTCTGGCCGCCAAAGAGCTTAACGGAATTGCAAGCAGACATGAAGACCATGACCTTCTTGTCTTTGTTTCTCTTCAGGAAGGTGAAGAGCAACAGAAACCGGGTATGGGCCGGGCAGACTACGTAGCCTTGAGTCAAGCCTGCGACCGTCGAAACGTTGTCTTGGGTCTTGACTTCGACGAAAACCGGCTTGCTAAGAGAGAGCCTGGCCAGATCAGCCACTTTTCTTGTCTGTGTAGCCGAAAACAAGGATGTCTGTCGCTTCTTCGGCAACATCTTGATAATGAGGTTCCTAGTTCATGGTTGGGATAGGATTAAAAATTTGCATTGGTATTCCTCACCGGGTTTAAGTACCCATACATATGTAAAATGTTAACCAACTGTGACAAAGTTCATCTCCTCCTCGAAGCCGACCTCCAATATTCGATCCGCTTCGTCGATGATCAAGTTCACCAGATTATGAAACACGAAACCTTTGGTGTTTTGCATGTGATCCAGTAAACGTCCGGGCGTTGCCACCAGTATGTTGACGCCCTTTGCTAGCTTTTCAGCTTCCGGCTTCCGATTCATTCCTCCAATGCAAACGGCAATTGACTGAGACATGTACTTCGAGATGTTTCTGAGAACGTCATAAATCTGGTTTGCGAGCTCCCGCGTTGGCGAAATTGCGATCGCACCAGCTCCATTTCTTGGGAGAAACTTCACGTTGTAAAGCAGATCACAGGCAGGTACTAAAAATGCCAGTGTCTTCCCGCTGCCCGTCTTTGCTGCTGCAAGAACATCCTTCCCCTTCAAAAGATGGGGAATCGACTTTGCTTGGATCTCGGTCATGCGCTCAAAGTTGTGCTCCGCGAGAGCCTCTCAGGCGAAGTTCGGAGGGAAGCTATTTGGGTGGTTGTCAAAATTAGGGTCCCTTTTTGGGCATCCTAAATCTTAGGTACCGTATTATTTTTAGGACCCAAACAGGGACCATAATTTTGCCAGCCACCCATTTAGAGTATGTGTCCGGTGTCTCTGACCCGAGAAGCTTCCAGCAAACCCCATTCAACTTATTACGGGGCTTGCACAGATGAAATGGCAAACTTCCCGAAGTATCCTTCTTCAGCGGCTCGCAGATCTCTAAAGAATCAAAGCGGGTGTCGCTGAAGAAGCCAGAACTGTGGATAGCATTCCTGGGCAAAGCAGCAGCACGCTGACGAATGTCGAATTTTGTTCCGGTCACGTGCACTGCATTGCCTGTTCTTCGAAAGTACATATCGAAGGGCCGAGATGCTGCACGTCTTCTGCCGGAGGACCCCCGTTGTTTTCCTCTGTCTCCGGTGCGTCGTCCTCGGCCGCATCGGCTTGCTCATCTTCATCATCTTCCTCCTCCTCCTCGTCTTGCGCGGCTTCTCCCGTCGCATCTTTAGCCTTTTCCTTCTTCTTTTTCTTCTTTCCTTGGCGACGGATGGAGACGGCAAAGCCAGTGTCATGCCGACATGGCCGTTGCAAACGAGGCTCGTTTCTTGGCAGGAGGCTCCACAGCCTCAGGTGCAGCCTTTCCCGCGTCTTTGGCTTCCTCTGCCTCCTCTCCATCTTCCTGGCCCTGCGAGATAGGACTATGCTGCGCTCTTGCATTCTCGTCTTGTCATCCCCGTCCCCATCCCACCCCTTCCTCCTGGTCCTATATGATCCTCATCACTTACCATCACCTTCGCGTCGCCACCGCGAGCACCGCCGGTTTTCATCATCATCGTCATCATCATCATCATCACAACCATTATCATCATCATCCTTCTGCATTGTCATAATCGTCATGCAGCGTCATCGTAACATCACCACGGTCCCGTCAAGTGTCATCGACACCATCACCGCTGCCATCGACATCGTGCTCAGCCGCGGCTCAATATCATCGTGTTGATTTTAGTTGTGAATTTGCTGCAGGCGAAAATGAGATATCTCATCTCCGCAAGTGTCGGAGTCAAGTTGGAGCGCAAGGAGCAGCATGTGCGCATCAAGACTTCAGGCCTTTTTCTTCTTTTTTCGCTTCTTGCCCTTCTTCGTCTCTGCTGGCTCTTCAGCCACAGGCTCCGGCTTGTAATCCTGCCATATGTCGCACGCTCAGCGACAGGAACTGCTCAGCCTTGTGTCTTTTTGCTGCAGGCTTGCTTGCAAGGACGCCTGGTAGGTTGCCGCTCTTCCGTCAGTTAGGACTGTGCTCGTGACAGTGCCCCTCAGACTTGTGTCTTGAATCAGATACATGCCCCGTCGCACGAGACCTGCGATGCGAAAGTCGATGCCGACAGCTCTTGATCACTATGAAACGGGTCCGGTCCTTGCCGTCGTCCATGATAACCTGCGTCCGACATGTGGATGTTTCCCAAGGTGGGGTATGGTGGGGTCATGCAGCGAGCAGATGCGAGCAGTCCTCGTCATCCTCGTCGCTCTCCAGGCCTTGCTCTTTTCGACGAGCACGCTCTATCTGCAAGGCAAGTGCACGTTGGGTGAGGCTCGGATCTGTCGGATCTCTGTGTGCTTTCAGGCGCCTCCTTGGCCGCGAGCTTCTTTGCTTTGCGCATCACCCTCCTGTCTTTCCATTTCTCCTGGGTTGAAACGGTGTCATGTGTTCCAGCAGCGGTCTCTTGATCAGCCCGTCTGTTCAAGGCATGTCGCAGCCCGAATGGGCTTCGTCACGACGTAAAGGGGTGGCTTCTCATCCTGGTCCTCTTTGGCGGGCAGCACCATGCTGGCCTACAGAGTCAGAGGTAGATGGCCGAGGCAGGCTGACATGGTCCCAGGCCTCCCAGCCGAGCCCAAGGACGGCGGACGTCTGGTCAGCGTGGCTGCATGCCCAATCGAGCCATACAGCAGAAGGGAGGCAATTGCGTCTTATGATGTAACTTATGCTTGCCTTCCTGCCCACTATGTCGAACATCTGCCTCTTCCACTCTTAAGGTTCCTTTGCTGAGTTGAAACTTCAACCCCCGATCTGATCTGCGTGAGTTGAAACATGAACCCCCAATCTGATCTCGTGTGACATCCCATGCGTGTTGGCACTAAGGTTTCAGTATCAAGTGCAGAAGATCAACACAGACAGCGCCTGTCTTGCCGAGAGCGGCTGTCTGCACGCCAATCTGAGCGACCGTCCTGCAGCTGCTGGCTCTCTTTGACAGCTACCCGCGTGCTGCTATTTGTTGTTGCTTCTCCCCTCTGCCGGCGACATTTAAAAGTCGGGCCGTGACTGCGTGCGCTCTTTGTTTTTGGGGGTGTGGTGGGGTTCAACTCTCACGTTTAGAACTAGTAACTAAAGCAAGACTTACACTTACACGTTTGAGAATTCTGCAGAGTTACCAACTTCGGGCGCTGGGGTGACCTGACAAGTCTTTGCACAACACACCGTGGAGTTTTCCAGCACAAAGCCAGCAGAGTCTGTCTACATTTTGACCGCATAGCGATGCATGCGCAATCCATGACACTGGGTACTGTAGCAGCTCTAAGGCCAGAACTGCACCCCAACCGTTGCGATCCCCATTGGCCTCGTGTCTTCGCTGGAATACGAGTGCAATGTGCGAAGTGTCGCAGCTAGGGACCGTGCGGGTCTTTTCCGCGGCCTCGACTGCGACAACAGCATCAACCACCACCACCACCACCACCACCACAACGACAACACGCCAACGGATGATGCTTACGAGTGCTCTTGCTACTCACACTGTTCCACTGCTCAGGGCCTGCTGTCTTCGCGGTCGTACCAGCCATCGTCGTACCACTTGCCTGGCATTCAGGAAGCTAAGCAGCTAGACGTACGGTTAAAACAGCTTGAAGCCACAGGTACCACAAAATGTGATTTCCTTCTGGGACGCCGACTCTCGCTTGGGTGCAGCCGTATCGACTGGCCTCCATGGCTCTCAAAGCTGAGCGCTCGCTGAGTCACGATCGAAGTTCGTTGCGGCCTCGCTCGTCGAAGTCTTCCCGGCCGCGCCACGACTGAATAGTATGAAGATAGTTGGAGGCTCAGTAAAAAGCGACACAAAAAGCGAATTCTCATCTCTGCTTTCTCCGGATGTCTCAGGCACCAGCTGGATCACCGCGGGTCCAGGAGTCTTCCCTGCTGACTCTGGCCTGCTGGTTAAAAGTTACTGCTCGCTGCTCTTGGTTGTGAAGGCGACTTCGAGGCCGTTGGCCAAGGAGGCCTGAGCAGGAGTTGGCCGCCGCGGCTCTCGATCCTCTGGCCGAGACGCCTGCAACAAGCTTCAGCCAGGGGATCCCCAGGCTCAGAACTTCTATGCTCGCGCACTTTCGAGCGCGCACAAACACACAGAGAGACACTGGAGCGTGCAAATACAGCAACTGCGACAGCACCTGACGGAGCTCAGCCAATTCTGTTGCAGGCTTTTGCCAGCCTCCGGCGAAGAGTTTGCTCTGCGGGAAGAGCCCCGCACACTTTGCCGGCCTCCTCAGAAACACATGCGCGGTCACCCTGGACGCTTCCCAGTCCAATCCAGCACCACACCGAAAGTAAACACCCCCGGCTGCAGCGAGACTGCAGCTGCAGCACGTGATTGTTCTTAGCTCTTGGATATGGCTTGTTATAGCACTTGGACTTTCTGAGCCTACGCCACGCAGATCGGCAAAACCCACTCAGCATCCAGCTGTCGTCGAGGGTGTGTCGCCGGCCATAGGGGCCCATGGCCCCTTGGAACAGGCGGGGATGCCAGAAACTCATGTAGAGAGACGAAGTCTGTGTGTATGATGATACGGACTACGGACGCGCTTTCTTGCTTGACTCTGGCCCTGCATTTCTTGCGGTCCCTTGGTTGACTCCAGCAATATTACAAGAAGACTTTAGAAGCAGCGATCCGGCACAGATGCTTTATGAATGCCGAGGGCATTGTCGTCCCGGGTTCCTTTCACTGCCGCGTTCAGTGAAAATCTTCGCTGAGTACTGCTCGGCCCCTACCCAGGTGTTTGGAGAATCACTGCATGTGATTTCTCTTTCCGTCTCGGCGCTTCTTGCCTTCGATGTACGACAAAGCTCAACTGTGCTGCTGCTGCTGCTGCTGCTGCTGCTGCTGCTGGGCTGGGTGTATGTGCCTGTGTGTCTGTGCCTTGGGGTGTGGGGGCGTGCAATCCGGGCTGGCCGTGTCCTTTCATGCAAGGAAACAGACCCCACAAGCAGACACACACACACACGCGCACACACACAGACATACGTGCGAGATCGTGAGAGTCGGATGTGGAAAGTGTGTGGTAGCTGACAACATGCCTGATGACTGCGTGCACGTGGTTTGCACGTGCGCAAGCGGATGTGGAGGTACGAGTATGGGCAAATCTGTAGAAAGGCATGCATCAATGCGAATTACAGTAAGTACACCAATGCCAGAACTTTAAGCATGGTGCATTCACGCACTCAGGCACAGCGATTCTAAGCAGCACGTGGCTATCATCGCTCAGAGGCCCAGGCCTCCTCCTTTGACAGCCAGGTTGGCACTGAAGTAAAGAAGCTACGACTCTCTGGCTACGTGAAATCGCTTGCTGTTGTTCAGCTTGGCTGATATGCTGTTCCATGCTGTTCTGTTCGGCTTGCGGCTGGCATGCCACTAGGCTATGTTGGGCAATATGCGGCAAATGGCATTGTTGCACTGTGCGAATTCCCCGATACTTCTGCAGGTGCCGTCCATGCACTCGGTGGTGCCACATCATGTTGTCCTCCCTGAGACGTCGTTTGAGACAGCAGCAGACGTCCAGACAGATTGCCAGACCTATCAATTTGTGAATCACACATGGAAGCCACTTCCTGAATTAAAAGCGATGCCACATGCTGTTCTGTCGATTCGCGCCGAAGAGTTTGAAGGCATTGCCTTCTGGGCGACAGGCTACAAAACCTAAATCTACCTAACCTACCTACTTTGAAACTCTTGCCGTGATTCATCGGCTGGCATCCATCACTTCTTGCCTGTCAGCAGAAGGCAGCTTCAGGGATTGACCTCCTGAACAGCCCAAATCCGCAAACGTCGAATCGATCATCGGCGAACCGGCGCGACCACTCTAGTCCTGAGAGCTTCCCCGAAAAGTAAGGACAGATGACAGGAGGGCATAAACTGAGCGTCGCTGGAGCCTGGGCCTGGACCTGGCGGACCCGGCGGCTGAAACCTCGGATGACTTTCAGATGAAACGCGCGGGGACACCAGCAAGAAGACTGCCAATGACAGAAGTGCAGTATATGTGCAGTCGACAGAGACGGAAACAGTAAGAACCACATCAACATCCAGGACAACAGCAGCAGCAGCAGCAGCGACAGAAAGGTCGTGGCGGCAACAACTGCAAGAGCGAGCGCAGACGTGATAGCTATGGCTGGATTGGACAAAAATCCGTGAAGGGGAGCAACCGCGAAGCCGCGGTGTGGCTACAGCGGAGCACGTCAATGCTTTCCCCCTTGCTGCTTGGCAGCATGGGAACGGGGCTTATCCCGGAGCTTGCTGTACCCATCGGCCGAAATGGCCTGGCAACAAGAGGTGCGAATCCGAACACACATGCTCTTGCTGCAGACATGCGCTGTCTCGGATGCGACACTGAACCCAACAATGGCCCGAGAGAAAATTGCGCGAAGACTGCCGCATGCTTCCGATAAAAAAGCGTAACTGTGAGATTCAGACCAATGCCTGCTGTTGGACATGTTTTCCCTGAGAGTCAGGCATGCCGACACCTGGGAATCCAGCCATGCCTGACACATTCTGTTGACATGCGATGCTTGGCGCATCTTGAAGAGTGAGACAAACCTTGCTACATACTCGAGCCCTTGCCGCTAGGTTCACTCACGGAAGGCCTGCTTGGGACTCCAAGCCGTGTTGCCTGCGCAACAAGAACATGCCGAACAGTGCTCTCTCCCATAAGGCCCCTCCCGATCTACACACCAAAACTTCAGACGTGCCTGGGGCCTGCTTTGGCATGGGCATGTGCTTGCATCCCGGCCTAGCTGTCTGCGCACACGACGAAGTCCCGTGCTCACGTGCTTTGAAGCGGCCACTTGTCTTGAGGAGCTGGCCCAGGCAGGGCCGGCGTTCACCGAAAAGCAGTTGCCCTGCAAACGCCGGAGTTGGAGGGCTGGTTGGTACTGTCCCGCAAAACGGTCGCGCGAGCTTTTCTGAAGTCGCAAGCGCCATTATGCCGAGATGGAAAAGCTACTGAGCTCAGGCATGAGTTTCTGTCACGGAGCGATCGGAAGTGCTTGAAGGGACCTGTTGATCCAGCTAGGAGAACTGCCCCCACAGAGCCTCCCCATGCCTGACGCACGTGCATTGAATTGGGGACAAAAACCACCGAACTGGTCGTTTGACCGCTTCGCTCATTCCTTGAACATCTAAACGGCAACCCGGCCGCTGTCCTTGAGAAAACCCATTGCGAAAGTATGCGTTTTGCTGATGACATCTGGTGGCCGCAGAATGGCCGCAGACTATGCCAGCCAGTGGCCAGCTGATCAAAAGACAGGCCGAGGCGTACTACGTTCACATTGACTGCGCAGACAACCTTTGGAAAAGTCCGCTTGCACTGTTTTGACATGAGCTAGCCGTTCTCATCCAAGGGCCTACGCAGCTGCGATGACCAAGAGTGGCTGAGGTTGAACAACAGGACCTCGCCAAGCTGGCTTGACGAACAACTCCCGCACTTGACATCCATGCGGCCGAGACAAGGAGAGAGGGGTGGAGGAAGGGAGGAAGGGAAAGACGGGGAGAAGCCAAGTGGCATTATGTTGAATCCAACTCAGCAATAATCTTTCGAAGCTTTCGAACCTCATCGAAATCTCCGCCTCACACGACTGGGCAGATCAGTGCAACTCTCCAGCGAGGAAGCGTGTATGTCGTTGCTGTCTGATTCCATTGTAAGACATCCTGAACTAGATCTTGACAACGAAGTCGGACTTCAACTAGAGCTTGCCACCCGCCTGCGATGAGGAGTCTTTGCAAGGTCGCTTGGGCTTCGTTTTTCGACAGCCTGCGCACAGGGCTTGCATGGGATTTTGCAGCACGAGGGTCGCTAGAGCTGCGAGTAGCGAGGTGCAACACGGCAGGCAAACAAACGGCAAACAGCATCCTGCACGCACGTGAGAACCCGACCTGGATCCAGTTAGACCAGGACCTGCAAAACCTTTCGAGCTCTTGTTGCCCCAGAACTCCCGCAGTTCCTGCATGCAGCACGGCAACCTCCAATTTTAATGACAAGAAGGCAGAGGTGCACAGCTACTCATCAGCGCTTTCTGCAAGGCTCGGACGTCATGAATTCACAGATTTCAAAGCCTGACAAGGAATTTACGAGGCACGCTTTTAACCCTCCCTCCTTGAGCTTCCCCACATCGCGAGTCTGGACTCGCAGATGCGGCTCCGGCGCAAGCAAGGGTTTGCCTCCTGGCTCTTGTTGCGCCTGGACAGCATCGAGCCCGGTTGTGCCCATATATATATATATATTATAAAGGGTCTGGACAGAACAGAACAGAACCAATTCATAAGTCCCGGCCCACGCCTCCTCCATCTTTGGGGCCTCCACCACCGAAGGAGGCGCTGCACGCCGAGCCGAGGCAGTGGCCGCCATGAGGGGCGTCGGCATCGGGAGCCTGGTTGTGGGCTCCTCAGGGGGCTACGCGCTGACGGCGGCTTTTGTTCAAAGCTGGGGCTTGTTGAAGGGGATGGCTCGGTCGGGAGCAGCACAGCCTGTGGTGAAAATCCGGAGGATAAGACTTGGCTGATACAGGTCGATGCGGTCAGGACAAAAAGTTGAAGAAATCCGACAGTCAGGCAGGAATTGTTGGAACTCGTGAAAAAAGGACGCCTGTGCTGCAGGGACGAAGCAGCTGTTTAAAATACCAGTCGACCGTGCTGAAGCGATAGACTTGGCCAAACAGATGCTGGCGTGACAGGCACTTGAGTAGGACCAGAAAACCTAAAAGACAAGAGGCCATCCTGCACGGACGACAAGAAGCCAAGCACAACCCCGACCACGACGGCAAGCCAACGCAGAGCAGTGGCTCACACTCGCAGTTTGCAACAACAGCGACAACAACCTAAGACTGTAGGAACCACAGCAACGCTTGACTATCGGTGTTAAGATCCTCCGACCTGACTTGGAGAGGGCGGAGGTTTCGGGTCCTAGGCTACCCGCAGGCCTGCCAGTCCTTTGGCTTCTGCAGTTCCGAGTCTTTGGCATGGTCCTGCCATCGAGAAATAAATTCCAGCATGAAGCCAGTCTCGTCACAAAAGGGCTCTCGAGTCTGGAGACACGGTGGAGCAACATCGATAAAGCAACCAAACAAGGCTACTACCTGCACTTCTTCAGGAGTTGCAAACAATTTAGCCTGACTGTCCTGCTCAGGGACTGAATCTGTCTGAACTTCCTCGACTTCCTCAGACTCTTTCAGCCTCAGCTGGAACAAGACGGTCAATAGTTTCGGCATGTTTCGGCGATCACACTCGGACTGGCCAAACGAGGTTATTGGTGCGTAGCCGGTTGATGTGAAACACTTCCGAGACTTGGGGTCAATAGATTCGAGGACACATGCATGGCAGTTGCTTACAGCTGATGTCCGATGTGGTCAGCATAACTCCAACAAGTCACAGAGAGAGAAAGAGAGAGAGAGAGAGAGAGAGAGAGAGAGCGCGAGAGCGCGAGAGCGCGAGAGCGCGAGAGAGCGAGAGAGCGAGAGAGCGAGAGAGCGAGAGAGCGAGAGAGCGAGAGAGCGAGAGAGCGAGAGAAAGGAAGGACAACAAAAACTGCTGCATGTTGTATTCGGTCCAGAAACTCCGCTGGCACTTCCTGCCTGTCCGGGAGTTCCTCAGCCTCTTCTAGCCCATCAAGCGCATCTGGAACAGCCCGTTCATCAGGCTGCTCCACTTGCACTGGCATTGCTGCAGCTATTGTCGATTCCTCCTCCTCTTCCTCGTGCAAGACGGGAAGGGGCGCTGATGCCGTTCGGTCTGCGGTGGGCTGCGCGAATGCAGCCTCAGCACCTTCCGAAGGCTCCTCCGACTGTTCCGGCACTGCCTCCGCCTCCTCGGCCTCCTCGGGCGCTGTGGGCGCTGCGGCTTCAACCGGTGAAGCCTCGGCCTCATGAGGCTGGGGCTCCACCAAAGCAACTTCCGCAGGGGGCGAGGACGCCCCGTCGCTTGGCCCGTCGGCGGCCAGCTCGGTTGGCCCTTCGGCCGATTCAGGCTCCGTCCCAGCCGCAGCTTGACGGGAGATGCCACCACGAGCCCGAAGGGCCGAGCTGAGTGACTTGCGGGCAGGCCGGGCATAGCCAGCCATGGAACCTGACGCCCAAAACTGAGGCTCGCAGACTCGCTCTAAGCCCCATTCACACTAAATGCAGCCTCCTATACTGTCTTGGTCTTCTGTTTGAAGCCAACCCTGCCAACAGGCGCCAAGACACCGGCCGACTGATCACTGCCCTTGCCACGGGGAGATGTCAGCAACTCCCCGTCCATCTCTTTCGGGACCTGTGCTACGCCGAGCAAGACACACAGGTCCGCTTGCGCAACATACATGCCACACCGGATACAACAGAGCTTGGGCACCTCGGCGTCGCCACTGCTTGCCAGGGTGTTGTGCCGAATTCTGTCAATTGCTCCCTGGATGGCTTTGGGCGCAAGTGCATTGAGATTGAGCCAGTCCAACGTGCTTTTCTCTGGCACTGGTTCATTATCCTCACAGTGCGGAAGCTGTGAATCGTGATAACAGCATCACGCAACCACACTCCCCATATGTCCTCGATGTCAGTGGGTGCAGTCGGAGGCCTCATTGTAATTCCACCACGAGACCTACCGGCAGAGACAGCGAAAACCCGACAGCGGCTGACAAGAAGGCTAAACTACTCAAATGATGTCGCATTCCAATGGCATCGCACGGCATTGAGATCTGATTGGTCACAGCGATCTGAACCTCTCTAGCTCGACTCACAAGATTTGCCCGAACAACTGCACCAATCAACCACCCCCGCGGCTCCAGCCTCATGGCATCTCGCAGGGAATTCTCATGACCACCCACGGATTTTCGTGGAGGGCGGCCGCCGCGCCCCAGCCACGACATGGCAACTACTTGCTGACGGGTGAAACGACTCTGCTGCCAAATCTCGAGTGTTTCTTAAGGTCGAGGGCCTATCGTGGAAGTGGAGTTGGCTGGCTGAATGCGTTTGCTGGTAAGGTGGCATGGCTGTGGGATGCAGAAATGTAGAACTTCCATGCCGAAGTGGAAACCTCCGAGGATTCCTGAGCAGCTTGTGCTGCTCCACAGGTGTTCTTGACTGAGAAACGCAGGTAATGGCCAACAGACCAATTGCCTCATTCTCGCTTTGACAACAGAACCTGTCCTGGATCTTCCGCAAATCAAAGGCAGCTTGTCTCTGCGGTGCACCCTTCCGCCTGCGGAAGAAGTGACTGCGGCCAAAGATGCGGCCTGGAAGAAAGACATGAACCCTCCGGGACGGCCCTCAACTTGACCTGTTACACATGCGCTAGGAGATGTTTGCTACATCTTCTTTCTTAGCTACGCCATCCAGTCATTGATTCAATTCCAGATCAGTCGACCTTGGAGCCTTTTGAGGCCGGAGCTCAGACCTAACGTTTCGTTGACTTTGGGCACTATTTCGTCAGCATTGGTTGCTCGTGTTTGTGAAAGCTGTCGATGGTAGTTCTGCAAAGCTGAAGTGATGAAGCCCGTTTCCCGGAGCCCAGTCTTCCGAGGGCGTAGCGGGACATGGCCGGTCTTTGCAAAGTCTTCCTCCATCTGCTTGACTAGGTACGACAAGTATCCGGCAACCGCACTGAACGTCTCTGGCACTGCAGGCACCACGCGGATGCAGGGACACTGAGGCCGTGGCGTCGCTGATATCCTTGGCACAAGCCCAAGCACTAAACCGCCCTTTCACTCAGCAGACGTTTGGGAATTTGTCCCAGGAACATGTACAATGTAGACAAGGGGCCGTTTCCGTTGTCAATATGAATACCACCGCCACCGGGCAGCTCGAAGCTGAACCCACCCGCAGGATTCTCTTTGATAGTCCCGCTGCTACCAAACCTTGTGTGGCCGATCAGGCAGTCGGGGACAAAAGGTTTGAGCGCGTGGGATGAATTCCAGAAGTCTTAAGACCAGCACACGCCGTCCTCGCCGTAGTACGGAGAGTTCATGAAAGTGCCAATGGTCGGGTTCCTCAAACCGCTGCGACAATCACCAGCCACTTGCATTCCCAGCCAGTTCTGGCAAACCTGCTTGAAACTTCACACATGAGCACAAATGGGGAGACGGCTTGAAGAACTCATCCACCCGCCTGCCTGCACGGCGGAGTCCATTACAGTTTCTTTGCCCCGGCCCTGACCACCCTACTACGGGACTACCCACAACTGATCTATTAGTAGTTCCATGATGGCAAAAGCCCATGATGTCGCGCAAGCGGCTGCCGCATGTCGGTCCGCGCAGACTGCTGTGATCTGCAATCTACAAGATATGTACTAAGGTACTCCATATGAAGCAAACACCTCAACGGCTGATATGCAGACGACTACTACAAAACATCAAGCAACAGGCCCAGAACAAAACACACACGAACTCACCCGACAGGAACGAAAGCCTACGTCGTCCAGTAGACCTTCCCTGACTCAACAAAAACACCCGACAATCAGAATCAGAACAGCAAACGATCCAAAGGCAAGCTCCCATCGCAGACCGAAGCTTCCAGCGAACATCGACACTTATGCCACTTATCCATCTTAGCCAGCGCTTTTGAGAAAGAACATGTCATCGACTAATCCACGGTCCGGGGTCCGTCGAATCCAAACTCCAAACTTGATCCCCGGCACGCGGCAAACGACAAGCATGGTGCATGACGCAGCAACATCAGGTATCGGCACATCTCCTGCACAAGCGCGCGGGATGCTCTTCGATCCGCAACCCCTGTGGCCTGGATCTTTGCCGTCTTCGCCTTCGGTGTCCTAGGCTTTGGAAGTCGGAAGGGCCGGCTACGCTGAACGGTCTGACACGCTGGAACCACAAGACTCCCGAATCTCTTGCATTTTGCGCCCGCAAGTGCTGCCAGCCCGGCAACGGTAGCCAGCTGACCGCAAGCTGAGGCTTTGGATTCTCCGCGGGTTTGTCGAACTGAACAGTACAAACCATTCCGCCAAAGCGAGCGCTGAAAGCTGCGGACAGTGTCCAGAGTCGGCGCTCTGAGTTGAGCAGTCTGCACATCCATTGTGGGACCACGCGCCACTAGTCCATGAATGTCGTTATAGGGGATCAAATTCACGAGCAGTTGTTCCCTTTCGAAAGGGGACAACAATTCCGAAAGTGCTTTCGCATGGCCTTGGTCGGTGTTGACCTCGTCCAGCAGCACAACTTCACAAATCAGTTGTCTGAACCTCTCCGGACGCAGCAGCAAGCACTTCAAGAAGGCATCTCTGAGATCAGCCAGCGGATACTTGCTGCTTGGCACCAGTTTACGGCGCAATGCGTCCGTTGCTGCATGCACCGACCACGCCAACTTGCAAGGCAGCTGAGAGAGGCTCAGAATCTGGGCCGGAGAAGGTGCGACCGTGGACAGTGTGATGTACCAGCGCGACATGTGAAAGCTGGTGTTGTCGGTGAGAAGGTCGAGTGCTCCAGAAACTGAATCCAAGTTGTTGGCAGGCTCGCCCATGCCCATGAAGACAAGATTTCGTACTTTCGGCCAGTTGAGGGCTCGGGCCTGCCGCTGGGCCAGCCAAACTTGCGCCAGGATTTCGTGTGTCGTCAGATTGCGGACCTCGCCAAGCTTACCGGTTGCACAGAAAACGCACGCCTGCTTGCAGCCAACCTGGCTCGAGACACAGAGACTGGAATGCTTGGCCATCCGTATGAGGACGCACTCAACTGAGAGATCATCTTCCAAGCGGAGCAGCATTTTGCAGGTGCTCTCGCTCTTTTCTGTGCTCTCCACAGACGGCGCTGCCATGGGCTCCATGGTTAAGGCCAGCTCAGCGAGCATCCGCCGCAAGCGCTTTGAGGAGCCTTCCCCTTCCTCCAAGGGGTCGCGTCCTTCGCGCACGGCCTTGCAGGGCACACGCACATGCACAGATTGCATCATGCGGACATACGTATCAGAGACACGCATGCGCACATGCACATAGACGCAAGTACCGTAAGTTGAGGCCCTGATACCAGATACGTTCGTGGGTGTAGGACTGTGTGCATCGAAGTCACACACCCACACACGGGCACCGACGGAGACAGGTACCATCTGCATGTGTGCATAGACATGTGCCTCTGTGGCCCGCTGGCGGGCGTGCGCGCCACGGCGCCAGCATGTGTCTAGGTGTGCGCCCCCTCTTTGCTTTATGAAAGTCGTTCTCACGCGTGCTTCATTGCATACACATGCTGGGAGAGCTTACGGAAATGGTGAAGACCTCCCATGTCCGGCTCGCCAGAAGCGGCTCCGCATCCTTCCGGGCCAGGGACGTCTTGCCCAGGAGGATGGCCAGCTGGTGTCCTTCGAAGTTAGGACCACGAGGAAAGGCCAAAAACCGGAACAGGCCGTATCCTCGCTTCAAACAACTCCAGAAGTGGTGCTCCTCACACGTCGGCACCCATGATCACCCATGTGGTCTAAGCTCCGGAAATCTACTGCCCGAATGCTAGAAGCTGCAACCCTCCGCTCGACTGTGATGAACGCTCTACTTACAGGGTCCGGGAATTGTGAGCAATGGTGTTTGCAACAGCTGCGGCCGCATGTAGCCACCTGATGCCAGCGCCAGGCTGCTTTCCAAGCCGAACAGGCAAAGCAGGCAAACCAAGCCGCCCCAGCGCCCTCTTGCGTTCATGGCGGTATCCCCATGTCTGCGCTGGAACTGTGCTTTCAGTGATTTGCAGTCGCAAAAGTTCCAAGTTACAACGTCTGAAAACATGGAGCACAACCAAAAAACACTGTACGACTATTGTAAGACCTCGTGCCGCAAGCACAGTGTTTTAACGACGCATCCTCTAATCTCGGATCTTAGACACCAACTTTGCACATGGATGCCTTCGGCGCATTAGCCCCCAATTCGCTCATGCCTGGCTTGATCGGACTATTCGGGACATGGCGACCTGTCATGTTTTGGCCTGTGTCCCCCAAGCTTCGAAACCGTTGGTGTGACTGTGTGACTTAGTATGAACTCCGTGACCGCACGAGACGTTCCGACTACCAAACCGGGGCGAATCGAAAGCCTATATCTTGCCCACCACACGTCAACAACTTCGGCGACACCGACCGAAAAGAACTGCCAGAGGCCCCCATGGCGCATAGCCTGACCGTTCTTGAAGCCTCCCCAGTGCTGACAATGATACCCTTGGCTCAGGCGGGGGCCCAAACACCCTTGGCCGGAGCCGTTGGCTGAGGCCTCAGAGTATGCAGCTCCACCGTTTTTTCGTACAACAATATGAACTGTACCTGCGCCTTGTGCAGACTCGTGTTTTGGAGGACTCTCGTCTTCCCGCGTGCAGTTCAGGAGCATGTTGCAGGCACTTTACCGGAGGTTATGTGCGTCAGACCGTTGGAGGAGCAGCTTCTGGTGCAAGCATGGCCAGCGCGGGCCCTCTGTGCCGCTGCCAGGCTTGATGGTTTTGGCTGGGAGATTCTCAGGATATGGAGAACGGACTGCAGATCAGCAAATACACAGCAGATTTGCAAAAACACGATCTTGAAGCTGAGGGCCGAAGCTTCTTGCAAACTGCAGTGGGCCTCGCAAGTTCAAGGGTGGCTTGGGCTTGGGGCACCCGATCCAGCAGAAGTCACTCGGCATGAGTCGACGCGCATGCCAGCTTCAACCCCTTCTGCAGCAGTTGCAACTGGGCCCCGAGCGCATTGGCTGCATGCCTTGCCTTTGGCTTCGGTTTCGGCTTTGCCTTTGGTTTCTCCGTTCGCACCCAGTCCAAGTACAGCTGTCGATCCTCAGGCGGCGCATCACGGTATGTGCAAGCAGTGCAAGGTGAGGCCCTGCGAATCCAATCACTGAGCAACGGTCGTACGATCTTCGCTCGATCTCATCATTCAGCACTTCGTAGGCCGAGGACGCCTGCAGTACGAAGGCTCACAAATCACCACAGAGTCTGTCTCAGCACACCTGGCAACCCCTCCAGCGCAGCATAGGCAATGGATATTGTGCAGGACGCAAGGCAAGCCCGTCATGGGGATTTATCATTTCAAGACGTTCCGGGGGTCACCAGAGGCCAGCTAGTAGCTTCTTTTCTTCTTCTTTCCACCGTCCACTCGCATGCAGACAAAACACTTCTGGTACAGAACCGGAACCTCTTATCCGGGATTTGACGATGGCCAAACCATCAGTGACAAAAAACACTGTGTTCTAGCGGTACACGCAGACTGAAACTGGACCTTTGGACCCTTCTGGAAGCCTGGAAGTGAAAAAACTACATTGCTGAGCTGGCTGCCAGTTTGAATGCGTCTTCTGCAAGAGCTGACAAGCTCTGGCTCTGCCTTACGCCGACTGCATGGACGTTCGTGGCTGTGGCTCCCAGCCTCAGACCTCGCTGGGTGTGTACTGAACAAACACTCAGCCCTGGGCTCGTCTTCGCCCTGTGCTTGCGCATTGATCTTGTCCGGGTGCACCTCTTTTGGGAGACGCTGCCAAGACGTGATGACTTGTGCACGGGACTTTTGCTGAAATACCACATCGCGATGGCATCCAGGGCATGGGCTCTGAGCGAGATGGCCCGATAAGCCTGGCCTCATCCGGGAGAGAACGCTGTCGCTACTTGCTGCTGGCCGAGCTACCGTCTCTCAAACTGCTTACATCTGAGTCACTCTGAGTCCTTAGCGAATCTCAAGGGCTGACGAACTGGGAGCCACCCCGAGAACCTCGTAGAGGTTCTTAGCCAGCTCCAGCTGCCTCAAGACCACAGCTGACAACTTAGCGGAAGGTGCGGTGCATGATGCAAGACTTCCTCTACGACATTGGACGAAGAGAACAGGGAACTCAGCGAGTAAGCTTGGATCCTGATGATGAACTCGACGATCTCCTCGCCCGCAGTGGCCTCACCGGCTCCGCTGCTGAAAGTTCCAGCGCGAAGTCGATTTCAATGCAAAAGGGTGGGGCATCATCCAGGCTCCACCTTCGGCTTGGAATTTCATCCATCGCCCTGGGCCAAACCCGCATGCGAAAGTCAACTTCAACGACAAACAAAAGGTCTGGGTCGCGAGCGTCTTCTGTGGGGGCCTTGCTGTGCCTCATGGCTGTCTGCAGCACGTGGCAGCAGATGCAGCAACGGGAGCAACGAGCTACTACCAGACTGCCGATGCCAGATATCGGCGGCCGGCTGCTGGCATCCTCGGAGTCTTTGCCTTTCTGGCCGTCGTGAAACCGGAACTTTCCCACTTTGGCCTGGTGCAGAACGGGCCCAAAACGAGCACACCGCGCTGGAAACGGCCAAAGAAAAGGCCCCTGGCGTGGTGGATCGCCGCACAGCCGCACCGCCTGCAGAGCATCCTCGGGCCAGCATCTAGGGGCTTCTGACTTCCAACATAGCAAGCCAAGCCAGGCACTCTTGGTTTCTGAGGTGCTCGGACAGCACGAAGATTTGACCTCGTGGACGCCATCATCTGCGCCAACCCCCACGACAACAATAAAAAGCGGTTGGGTATCACTGAAACTAAGTGGAGAGCAGGGGCATCGTTGACACTTGCCTGACAAACCCGCTTAGTGCCGCGATCTCATGCGAAGTGATAGGGCCTCGTTTGTTGCAGAAGGAGTCGTAGCAAAACTCCTTTCCGTTCAAGTTACTACGTGTAGAAGCAGAGGCAAGGCCACAGGACGTGCAAGGAACAACGGCTCATCGACTGATTGGGACTTTCCTCCTCGTCTTGGTCTGTAATGGCAGCTGCAGTCCGTGCCTGCACCCACCTGGACAGATTGAAAGCAGCATGACGCAACACAAGACATCAATCCAGCCGGATGGACCGTCCGACTACCGTGGTCAAGATTTCTTCGTCACCACCCTGAACAGAACATGCTTGCACTGCATCTGGCTTCCGGCACATCGCAGGTCTGGGCAGCGCCTTCTTTGCAGCAATGTCCCTTCCTGCAGCCGCACTGAGTGCCATTCATTGCACCGCAGATTTCGGCGCATTGCCAGCAGCTAGCATGCTGATCCGAGCATCCCCAATCCACATTCTGGATGTTCTTGAAGTTGGAGATGACTGCGTCTTCCTGGAGTCGGCACCGAACTGTCACGAGCTTTTCCACTCTCGCCACAACTCTGTCAGCCGCTCATTCCCACATATGCGAGTGCAGAATTTCACCACTTGCTACACCTGGGGTAATGAGGGCTCTCATGGCAGATCAATCGCTGCCAGTCAGCTGAAAGTGCACGCCTGCTTTAGATTCTAGCAGGGTGTCTGCTCGAACCAGTTGCTGTTTGCTTCCTGCGGTGCGGAACAACATGGTGGCGACCTCCTCGTCGTAGAATAGACGAATGTGACCCACTGTGTCGCCACCTGATCACATCATGCGAAGAGCATCGCTTTAGGTTTGCTGCGACGACCCAACAAGTATTGATTGCAGCCCAGCTGCTGGCAGAGGCAAGCTCGGCCTGCAGCCAGTGGCCTTCAGGTTCCAGCACGCCCATCCTGCGGTGAACATCCGTGAACACGCGCGGGTCCAGGCCCTCAAAATCGAAAGCCGAGCCGTTGACACAGTCGCTCCCGAAGCGTGGGGGCCTGACGTGTTTGCAGACGGGTCGAAGGGCTAAGCTGAGACATTCCAGCAAGAGCATCTGAGCACTGGGCCCATGAAGACTAGCAAGCCATCAGATCTGCGTCCGATTCGGTACTCTGAGGGCTTCGCCTCTGCACAGCCAAACATCGATGACTATGCTACGCGACGATGACCCGAAGGGACTGCACCTTTGATTTCATTCCTATGACCCTGGCTAAACTTCCGCATCCAGCTGCATGCAGGTCTGAGACTGCAGCGCCGTAGAGCCACCGACCGACTAGGCGATGATCCTACCAAAATTGACACGCACGACACGGCTGCAAGGCTGTTCGCTGAAGGACTTCGTAGAGAACTCATGACGATCGACATACCACGCAGGCAGCGACTTATGCTTGGCTGCTGCTCTTCTTTCACGAGCTCGGCTTGTGCGTGTTAGACACATCGCGGACTGCCATGATTGATGTTAGAGGATGTCAATTTGTACTCAATTTGTTTAATGATTTGTACAGTTCTGCGTGCTACAACTGGTGCCTGTTTCAGTCCTAGGACCTAGGAGCCGGAGGTATTGCCAGTTTACACTACATGGATTCTGCCCTGTCACAAGCAGTCCTGCCATGACCGGGACGCCGGGTCCTCCTTGCCTTTGGCTCCCGGGTTTCCTCCGGGAAGGGGGGCCTCGGTTTCGTGGGCGATTGCCTGGATTCTCACTTACCTGAGAATCATACGCAGCGCGAAGGCTACCAGCCACGCTTGGCCACTAAGCCGACGGCGAAAAGTCGAGATACGACTCGGACTTGAATCCTTGTCATGTGGTGCCATCTGGTACCGCCATACAACTAAACCCCGTCACAATGCGATAAAAAAACTTGGGATCCCACGTTGTGGAAGGTGGGAGAGACCGAACATGTGCTTGGCACTTCCTGGAGAAGCTGACCTTTCAGGGCTCTCGGAGACCCGTGTTACAACTAGCAGACTGACTGCTAGCATGCTTTCAGGATTGGGAGTAGCACACGACCGTGGCGGTCCGGCTCTTGGGCATCTTGCCACTCCAGGCCTTGGAATGGCATGGCAAACGAAAAGGTCGAGAAATCCGTAGCGCTCGCAGTGCTCGATCTCGTCAGGCGGCTGTACTCGACTCTTGTTGCTGCAGCTGCCGGGAGCGGCTCCCACCTGTGCGCGACAGCTGTGACATGTAAAGACAACCAGTGACAACCACCATGACAGTCCCCACCCAGCGCCTGGCAACGACGGCCTCTGCAAATGTCTGTGGCACCACTGCCTGGAGCGCCTGAAGTCCCAGGCGCCACAGACTAGCTCACTGCGTTCGGGCGCCGGGTCAGTGACGCTCTGCAGCTGCAAGCAGTCCTGACGCCAAGGCATGCATGGGGTGGTGCCATATAGCTTCTGACCAGGGAGCATTCGGGGCTGTTGTTGCTCAGAACCTGCGAATGACGTATGATACACTGACATCTCCCACTTTGCCACTGCGCTCGCCGAGAGTCCTTTTGCTGTACACTGTACAGGTGTTCAGGGTTTGAAAGGTCTGACCTGTCAGCTCGTCATGTATCTGGCCTCACTGACTGACCCTGCCTCTGAGCATGGGCTGCTTGCTTTGGGCGCCAGCGGCGGACTGGTTGTTTGGTAGGTTCTTCGGGATGCACTTCTCTGGGCCCTGCCGTCGCTTGCCACTCACCGGGTAGTTCAAGGCGACTTGCAGTCTCCGTCTGCGCTGAGTCAGGAGATCCGCCACAACCCACTTCTCCGAACAAGCTTTGTATTGCAAGGACCGCATGGCCTGGGGGAACTTTCGTGCCTATCCCAGCGAATTTCATGTTTCTGGAAAGTGCGGGCGGTGCTTCGATGCGATTCCAAGACATAGAACTGCAGTCCCACTTCTTCCATTCAGCTGAATTTACTTCATACAGCCACAAACGGCAGGACTCTGCGGGTTCGGGGCCATTCGGCTGGAAGCGATTCACATAGACTTGCGCAGCCCACTTCGTTCCCCCACCAATCCGCAAGGGGTAAGTGGCACCCAAGTCCTCCCAAGTCACTGCAAACATAGCCTCAGCCCACAACGCCTGAAATACATTGCGGCGGAACAGCGCTAGGACATGCCGGTTCTTGCTTGAGGGCATGTGTTGACGAAGCTCAGTTGCTGCAGCCCGCAAATGCTCATCGCAGAGCACTGCCGCAACCTTGTCTGGCACGTCTACTCGCCCACCCGGCCTAGCAGCAAAATCACGGTGCTGAGCAAACGACCAGTGTATGCACTGGCCGAAAGGAGCAAATCGAGCCATGGCATCATCAAATGCAGCATCAACACCCGGCGCGCCGCCCGAAAACAGCATCAAGGTGTCGCGGCGGGGCGGCCCATGACAGAGCTCCAAGACTGCATCCAGAGAGAGCTGAAGTAGCGTGCCGCCCTTATTTGCGGACATTGGCCAGGCCGACACCGCTACTGCCGCAGCGGCTTGTCTTTTGATTGGGGGCCGACGCAAATTCCAGCCAAACCCCAAGCCCCAAGCTGCACTTGTCGGTGGCTGCACTTGTCGGTGGCTTCACTCCCGTTTTCCATGCGAAGTCCTTGCTTTCGGAGTCGGCGGAGGCGGTCTTGTCCCTGGGCAGGCCGCAACGTTTTTGTTGGGCGACTCTCTTTCCTCTCCCCGAGAAGCTCCGCGAGGCTCCGGGCACGATAGGCAAGAAGCCACCGCCCTCCAACTCCAGCCAGGACTCGGCCTCGGAGAGCACCACCCCCCGAGTTTTCAAGAATTTCTGGCGAAGCAGCAAGGCTGGGTTCTGGGCACCGGGATAACCCTGCACCTGCGAGCCTTCAGCCTTGCAGCTGGGTGGTGCTTTGCTGACAGATCTCATGTCTCATGCCGCAGGGGCCCGAGTGGCAAGCCACATGCCCTGTGGAAGCAGAACTGAGGCTCGGCCTGGGCAGTTGGCTTGGGCGAACTGGCGAACAGGAGCACGGGCTCAGGTGGACCGACGGGCGTCTCAGGGCTTCGCCGGGCTCTCACCTGGAGGTTTCTCAGCGCAACGAACCTCCCGAGCAAGTGCCATGAGCAACCAGAGCCCTAATACTAATAGTAATGCTAATATCATCATACTAACACTAAGACTACTACTAATATATACCAGTATTAATACCAAAATTTAAAAAAAAACTGATACTAATACTACTACTAATACGAATCATCTGAGCCCCGAGCTCCAGGGGCGAAGCAAAGGAGCCCTTGGAGCTGCCTTGGCAGCCGCGCCTCGGCGGAGAAACGCGCGGCAGAGGCGACCGTCACCACCAAGCCCTGTTTGGGAGTTTCCGAACATAGGGGACCCTAATATAGTACCTTTAAAGGGTTACTATAAGGGTACTATAAGGGTTCCTTTAAAGGGCTCTATAAGGGTTTAGAGTTTCCGAAAATAGGGGACCCTAATATAGTACCTTAAATAGTGGGATCCTTGTTATAAAGGCCCCGAAATACGGTACCCCCTCTAATTTCGGAAACCCCCATTTTTGGACTGGGCCCGGTGCGACTCCAGGAGTATGCCAAGCCTCGGCTGGGCCCATCGCAACATCATCGCTTCGCTTCTTCGAGCTACTTGGCATCCCCCTGAGTCAACCCAGCCCTTAGGTTGTCCAGGCGCCACCAACAATCCCAGAACCTTGCATCCCTAAAAGAAACTTGTTAACGCACCCCGCGCCTTCTCTCACCGAACATACGAAGGTACGAGTAGAATTGAACAGTTTGGACACAGAAACATACAGAAACCTGATTGAAATCGCAAACTGTAGTGATCTGCAGTGTACTCCTTTCCAGGACCGGGTGTGTGACTAAGTCTCAGAGTTCAGACACGATACATCTGCTGCCCTGGTCCTCCCTGCTACATATCTGCACAGGTATCATACGTAGCATCAAACACTGCCAATTGCAGACAAGGCGCCCATGATTTCTGCCATCAATGAGCATGTACGCACCCTTGGCATGCTCGGGCACCTGAAAATGCCGGAGCGCTGTCATGTTGCTGCCAGCCAAAAGCCCTGTGGTCCAGGCATTTGCGGATGTGCGGCTGTCTTGGTCCAAGCCTCGCAGACATGTCTGAATTGGTCAGATCACAATCGGAAAACCGACAAGGCTTGGACAGAGCCACCCTGTCTCTTGCACCCGTCCAGAGACCACACAGCCTTCAAACACTCATCACACCCGAAAAACAGGGAAAACGGTGAAGCCCAAGCAGTCTTAGGCGGATGCCTCGCGTCACCTGCAGATTCGCGTGCAAACAAGAAGGGCCAAGCGGTAAGCCTTAGGCCCCGACCTGGGCAACCTTCGCCGTGTTCAGACCAGGGCTTTCCCGGACGAAGACGACGGGTTTCATCACCTGCCGGTCAGGAGACCTTGACATTTCTGCAGTCCCTTCGGGATTCCGGGCATCTGCCTCGAAGCGCTCGTAGTGCCAGGCTGAATCGCGGGCAGCTTCGCCACCGCCATTCGTGGTGACCTCTCGGAAGCAGAGATCACGATCCTAAATAGGGAAGGTACGGTAGCCATAGCTGATCATGGAAGCTGGCAAGACAAGGAATATCTGTATCTTTCGCAACTAGGTTTGTGGGTGCTTCTGATTTGGCACAGTCGGGAAAAGATCCAGCGTATGAAATCCATACTCCCACATTCAGGTTTTTCAAGGCAAAAAACATTGCAGCAAGCCACGGGACATGCTTGTCCAGCGCTACCGCCACGGCTTGACCAGAGTTGGTGTTTCACGGCTTCTCATTGCAAATATTCAACCAGACCAATCATCGCCCCTTTCTGTAACACCTAATATCACTTGACCATCAAGTGCCAGGCCTTCTTGTCACTGGTAGCGGGACGCGAAGAGCAGGAGCCCGAAGAGGGCTTACTTGTGCTTGCTGACTTGTCGACCTGGTTGAAGCCACGCGTCTACAACTGTAAACAGCTCAGGTGTTTGGGGTGGGCTTCTTCTCCCCACTCCCTCTTGCACATACAATCTGATATCTCGCTCACTCCAAAGCAGCACAACAAAAGCCCTGCTTCTGAGACGTGCGGCCCGGGGGGGGATCCGGGCAGTGGACTTCGGCTCGACCCTGCCACAAGTCCGTCTCAGAGATACAGAAAAGCCCGGGATTCGGACTCGCCTTGGGAGCTGCCTTGGGATGGGAGCGGAGCCACCTCCCAAAAAGGCAAGGACGGCAAGGAGTGCCGAGTGCTGCTTTTGGGAGCCACAGCGAAAAAGCCAAGAAGAGGCCACGGCTGTCATGGAGCTTGCTGTTTGGCTTCTCCGGAAATGTAGCCTAGCAGTGTGCAAAGCAACACATGCGCGATATTGAAAGACCTGACACCAACAGTTCATATGGGATCAGATGGGATTGCAGGGCGGAAAACACACACCTGTCCCTGCCTTCGTGGCCAGATTCTCCTTTTCGCCCAAAGTCTTTGTTCTGAGATCGAGTCGGTCCGTTCGCGACACTCGGACACTTGCACATCACAGATGAAGGTCCGGAGCAGAGACTGGCTACTGCGTGAGGGTCCGGCTGGTGGACAGGAGTTCCAGCTTTGGATGCTTTGGTACCACCTCCCCAGGCGACATCTACCAGCGCAGCCTGGGATCTTTGATGATCTTTGGAGAGGCCAAGCGGCTGCCGTTTTGATCGGTTTGCGCTTTGGCCGACAAGGGCCGTCTGACCTCAGCGGCTCGGGCCGGGTCCAACCACCAAAAGGCCCCTTCGCGAGGTGCTCACCCAGGAGGCGCCATCATCCCAGGAGATCCTGCGTTGAAGAGCGGCACAGAACTGCAGGCTCACCACATCTTCGCAAGGTGATCCTGTCGGAAGCCGTCAGCTTGCCCTCAAAGCTCGGAGCACCTGCGGACTAGGGATGCGCAGGTTGCCTGAAAGCTTTGTGCTTGTACTCCATGCAGGGTGCATGCAATGCAGCAAGCTGAGCACTGGCCGGCTCTCAGAACCAAGCCGGGGCTGGGCGTGAACACGACCGCATCGGGCCGAGGGAAAGTCACCTGGTCGGGCCATAGCTTTGAGCCAGAGTGCGCGTTCCCATCAAGCCCCGACATTGCCTCCACTTCGACTCCATCTGGGCCGCGCATGCGCCGGTTCTTGATGATGACCTGAAGAACACCGGAGTAGCTGGCGATGAATTCCTCCGGTTCCACACTGTTTGAAGACATCCTCCACACCATGTATTCGGTAAGCCGCAAGCCACGGTACCATCGTTGTCCTCCCACTCACCATCAATGGAGGGGGCATGGACCTTCGTTCGTTTCCGTTTGTCAAAGCATACTTGCTCGAGCAGTGTGGGAACGACTTCCGCGACGAACAGAAGGGATTCGGCATTGGACATGCAAGCAGGCGCACCAGAAGTGTGACCGGCTTCCACGCGCGGTAGCTTCGGACTGAGGGCGCAGCAGGATCGGAGGCAGCTGCCTGCTGCTGCAGTTTCTCCTGCCGGCCCCGGCAAATTTCCCAACACTTGCTCCAATTCTGAGCCATGAAACCGAAACCTGCCCGTGTGAGTTGTGAACCCGTGAAGCAGGGGGGCATGGCAGTGTGACTAGGGTGCATCCACCGAATCCCCCAGAATTCAGTACCCAGTACTCGGAATTCAAGCCTCAGCACCAAGTTCACGATCTATGGAAGCGCCTCGATCTCGTCGAAATCGAACATTGGGAGGAAGGACCCATTACCGCCATCTACAGTTGGGTTCTTCGGTGCCTGTTTGCTCTGCTGGTGCTCCAACATCCATTTGTGGCATGTCGTGCTTCTGCTGGCAGGCGTTGCTAGTGCTCTCGCTACCGTCGGTTCTACTCTGCCATACTCTCATTCGCTCTAATCCCCTGGCACCATCAAATCATTGACGAGCAACGCAGTACGGCCCGCTTGCAACTTCAATAAGACTGCCACGCACGTGCCGACGAGCAACTTGTCAATCACATTCCGGATCAGTCGCTCATGAAACCGGACAGCCACGATCAGTTTCACTGGACGGGCTGTCCTATGCTGTCGCTATCATCTCAAGACTCAAGAACACTAGAGGAAGTCCCAATTTAGCCTAACATTGAGCTCGCCACGCCTTGGTCAATGTAGACCGTGAGGCTTGAATTTGGGCGTGCTCGTGCTACGCGTGACGCATCGCCAAACTGGTGCCGTCAGCAGCTTCCACTCCCAATTCGGTGCAACTGAATTACTCCAGCACATCAAAGTCTCGATGGCTGTCCTATTGGTAACTCGGCACACTTCAGGTCATCTCAGTAGCCAAACCTGGGTGGTTGCTTCATCAACACTGCCCCAGTTCACATCATCCGCACTCAAGGTCTGTCTCTCTCTCTATCATATGCTGGGACGACCTGGAGTTCATTCAGGAACCGGCTGAGTCCTTGGTCCTGGCAATCTGCCCAGCATGAGCTTGGCAGCCTCAGGCAACGAAAAAAACGCATTCTTCCCGGTCACAGTCGAGACAGGCTTCGGCGATTGAGCAGGGCTCTGCCCTTCCCGCGCCTCCCGTCGAGCTCCCATGCTGTAGCGCGGTCCATGAGGTCCCTCTCCAGGCATGTAGTTGGGACCTGCACTGCTCCAACTCACGAGCTCCACCGATCAAGGAGCGCAGGTGATGCCTGGACTTCGGCCGTTGCCGTCGTCAAACGGAGCGCTCTTGGGTCGCAAATTCGGAGAATCGCCCCACCTTCAGCGACGACAAGAGACACTGTTGCTACTTCCACAGTCGCTGTGTGGGCCCTTTGGCCTTCCGACTTTGCCCCTCAATGTGCTTCGCGGAGGGCCATAGTGACCGGGGCCTGAACATCAAATGCAAGGGTAGAGCTGGGCATTGGCAATTGCAAATGTGTTGTTTTTCCAATGAATATATGAGGCCGGCACCAGGTCCCATCGAACGCGATTTGTCCTTGCCCCGACCAGCCTGCCAAGGTCGACTTCAACAGCACTCAGCCGTTTCCCATGTCCAAAGCCCGGGGCCGTCGAGTAGGCCGGCGAGCCCCTCTGAACGACCTGGGCCCGAAAGCACTTGTACGCTGTCTGCTCATTTCGGGTCAACCTTCCCTCTGCACAGAATGCTACAACCGAACGTCATCCTGGAAACCCAGCTGCGAGCTCGCTCAAAGCCCAAGCCCCAGCATGTGGTTCTGCACGCACTAGACACATTAGATCCGCTATCCCCCATCACTCCTGCAAGCTCCAGATCCTCCCAGGGCCCCTTGGCCGCCGGCTCCATGGTTGGGTACATAAGCTGCCGGTCCAGGCCCCACGGACCCATCCAGGATCCACTTCTCCGCCTGTGGCTACCGAGGGACGCGTTTGCACAGGGAGGCAGGGAGCCCGCTTCGTGTAGCAGCGGAGATGGTACAATTTAGCTTGCCAACCTCCTCATCCCCTTCCTCAGCGTTGCTTTTGCTCTTGTGAAGGCTGTCAGGCACTGTCAGGCTCGCCGCCGTCGCTGGGATGTGTACAGCCCGCCCGGTGCAGACTTGCAGGACAGTATAGTTAGTAGTGTAGCATAGCATGGTGTAGTTTCTGGGGGAACAGTATCGTACAGCACAGTATGGCATAGGCTAGTCTTGTCTTTGCGAAGAGCTGCATCAAGATTCCCATGTCTGAGTCTGACCGGGCTGCCACCGGTCTTATGTCGTAACAAAAAACAATGAGCGCTGTCTGGGCTCCCTGCTCTTCTGGCCCTGCGCTTCTTGGGATGTTAAAACCGACCCTTAAAGACGGTGCTCTCTCGTCACTGGCGCAGGTGTTCTGCTTTCAGAGCTCAAGGCGACTCGATTTTGAGGCCGTTCAGCGGGAACTCCCCCCTGGAATCTTGAAGGATGCTCTTAAAGGCGTAGCAGGGACTGCTGTCATCGTGGTCTTTTGGGGAGGCCCATCTGAGAGTTGGGTCGGATTTGCACATGTGAAACGCCTCAGGAAGCTGGTTTTGCTCTGAAGCCAAACCGTTGGACAATAATCGAAAGAGGTCCCTGCACCCACAGCCACAGCGACCTTCTTGATGGGTTCGTGGCAACTGAATATGAAAGGCCAGGGGCACTTCTGGTTGGCATCATGTCGTGCAACTGGGATGTAGCACCTGACTAAGTTGCTCGAGCTGTGGAGCGAGACCTCTGCGTTCGTACATGCATCAATACAATTTCAGCGATACCATATCACCACAGGTGGCTCTGCTGCATGCAGCGAGCTTCCCAGCTAGATCAACATGAGTCTCCGGACACTGTCATAGCTTCCTACCTCGGAGATGTGCTTAGGCAACGCAGAAAAAAGTCTGGAAATTTCTGCCGCTGAATTCAGCTCTGCGAAGTGCAGCATGCTCCTTGGGAGAAGCTGCACAGACTCACCCACCTAATCCTAGCCGTCCTAGCCATGCAGAACACTCCACTCTTGTGGAATGCTTCCAGAAAGCTTGGGAGGATGAAGACCTCGAATCCTCACCAAACCCTGTGCTTCCATCGCAAATTCACGCCCCAATCTGCTCGGCTGCTGGTTCCACTGCGGAACATCGATTAAATGCATGAAAGAAAGGAACCCGCAAAGCTAGCCAGGCCCAACAGACCGGAACCTGTCGTGCACCGAGTTGTTCGGCACACCCCTGGCTGTCACCTTGGCAGTTGCGAGAGCTCCCCATGAGCAAGCTTCTTGAGCTCGAACCCCAACAGTGAGCCGTGTCTCTGCGCGCGCGCGCGCGCGTCGACGCTTCGCCGCCTGTGAGGAATCAAGCCGAGGCTCGAGTTTTCAGACATCATGGCCACCAGCAACCTCGCTGCAAGGCACAAGGCCCGGCGGTCTGAAGCTGTTGCTAGCAAATGTCCCAATGTTCCCAAGACCCAGAAGCCGCCAACTGCAAAGCTGTACCGGTTCTGAGTCGGGAACTTGTCGAAGGCCTTGTGAAAGCGGTTCGTCCTCAGCTTGAGACTTTGCGCAGCATCAGTCGCGACTCGATCCGGGGGCACAGACCTCACCTGTGAAGAGCCGAACCCATCGCACCAAAGGTCAAAAGCAGCAGAGGCGTGAGCTCTCGTATTTCTACACCCATCCTTCAAGGAAGCACCGGTCCAACGAATCCCTCGTGCTCATCGGCATCGGGCCATGGAGATCCCAATTCGGCCAGAGCCACTGTGAGAGCGCATACTTCCGCTCTCGTCCCAGAGCTTCTCGTCGCTCCCACATCTCCTGTCTATATTATACTTTATGATTCTTTCACAGACTGTACTTTTCTGTACTAGATTATACTGCAATATTGTGGGAAGGTGTGGGCGGTTAGTTTTGGGAGGGATTCCAATTCTGGCTGCAGTCGAACCATCCCTGAACTGGCTCGAATTGCACCCGTCCTCCAGACACTTCACCATCTGCTGCGTTGCAGCTCGGGCTTGGTCATCCTGACAAGCTTGAAACAGAGGCCCTTGATTTTTTTGAATAGCAGTAGGGCTCAAAAGCAGCAGCAGCCCTTCCTGGCCTGCTGGCAGTCTGGGAAAGAACAGGAGCTCCAGTTTCACTTTTTAATTTTCGGCGCAATCCAAACAGCGGTAACCGGGGACCACTGGATTTTGTCGCAGTACTGATTTCAGGGTTGGAAGGTGGCCCAACCGCGGCGCCATCGGTTTTAGCAACAACGCATTCCTGGTGAAGTTGCACAATGCCCAAGATCATGCCGTGCAGGCATGATGCGACTCTGCAGGTGGCGGCGTCCGCTCTCCTCCCTCTCGATGCAACAGCTATGTCTACTGCCGCGACCATTACTCTCTCTACGCCTGGAGCAGCTTGAAATATTGAATGACGAGCGACCGCTTCGTATGACCGGGCCTGACGCAGGCACATTTCCGTTACCAATCCAATCGAACATAGAATCATAGTTGCCGGCACGACTGACACCATGGCGACGACATACGACGACGACAAAAACAACCACTACCACCAGCACTGCTACTGCTACCACATGCTACCTCTATACCACTGATAGTGCCACCACTTCTGCCACCACTACCACGACGACGCCGCCGCGGCCGACGACGACTTCTACCGCTTCTGACTACGTCTACCACCTCCTCCTCCTCCTCCTCCTCCTCCTCCTGCTGCTGCTGCTGCTGCTGCTGCGCTTTGCGCAGTGCGTTCGTCGCACTGCAACACGGAGATTTGAGGGCCAAATGGGCGAGAAACCTGAGAGTTGCACCAATTCGCTTCGGCAAGGGCATTGCATGCTCGCTGTGCGGAGGCATCGTTGCCAGAAGGCTGAGTTGGCTGTCTGTCGAGGCTGTAGTGCCTCCAAGAAAACGAACGGGCAGATTTCAGATGCAAACCAGCATAAGCAATTACCATGCCATCTTCTCGAGACTGTTGGCGTGGTGGGGCCTCCGTTCCGGTTGCTCCGGCCCTTTCTGTCAAGGACAAGCTTTAGAGTGAAGCCAAAGCCCAGGCTGGGTAAGTAGCTTGATGTGCTTCGTGTCTAGGGAGTTTCGGAGAATCCCCCTTACTTGGTGCCAAGTTGAGCCCACTCCAATCAAGACGGTTGGCAGGTCCTTGATGGGCAGGGCCTTCAGTCTTCGTACTACCTGAGTGGAGGCGAGGTCGCGCAGGAACTGGCGAGAACAGGAAATCAGTCAGCTTGTGTTTCGGCTTTGCTCTGTACGTGTCTTCGGATTTTGCATAAAGACTGCAATAGTGCAGCAACCATGCTCCTCCTGTCTGTTTCATGCCGAGCTACATCTGATCCAGGGATAAGCGTCCAGGTCTCATGCGGGGCGCCTTTCATCCTGCCACCAGGCACTCCCAGCAGAGACTCTCCAAGCCCATCCCTCGACGACTCGATCTTGTCAGCGCAGCGACGGATAATTGTTCACTTGCGCTCACAGTTAAACGAGCATGCGCCTGATTGACACATCAGCTTCCCGTAACCCTTGGTCCCCTTGCCTCTGAGCCGCACGATTCTTTGCATCTTCCTTGTCGTTGGCCTCATAAATGTCCTTCGGGTTTTTTGAATGGTGGAACGGGCAGCGCGCCTGGGCCGGGAATTGTAGAGCACTGCTAAAACTCAGCTGGCAAAGCGGCAACAGCAGCGGAATTAGACCGAACCCACGTGGCCCAAAACTCCGTGAAAAACCTGATCCAAATCTGCCTGGAAACTGCATCTTGTACTTCCTGGCTTTATTGCCCGCTCCGCGGTGTCCAAACTTCGTGTACAAACATTAACAGAAGGGCTGAGCCTGCAAGAGGTTGAGACCTTGCACTTAAGGACCAAAGCCTTGGCACCTGACGCAGAGTTCACCGGACAGAGAGCAGAGATTCTCAGCCTTGACGAGAAGTGTCAGTACGAGTCCTAAATAGTCCAAAGACAGTCCTGGAATTTCTGGCTGATGATGGCAATGGGGAGTGCGATGAGCAGCAACCCTGCTATCATCGCCATCATTCCTCCCGGCACGTTGAGGCTGAAGTCGGTTTTCGGGGTTTCTTGACTCTTATTGTGTGCTTCCATCACTTCGGGCCTTGGGAATCCGCTGGGGTCAGGCGAGGGAATGCAGCAGCGAAAGAGCTTATCAAGCACGCGAGATGCTTCGCCAACTTCTTGCTAACTGCACCTATCACACAAGTCTGCAAGGAAACAGGCCTACGCATTTGCCCTGTACCGTCTTCGGATACAGGTCACCATAGCCTTCAGGGCAGTAAGCGATTATGAGACACCATAGGGGACATCAAGTAGCATCCCGACAAACCCTTCCGTGCTCATGAGCCACACACGGTCAGATCAGTCAGGCCTAGCGAGGTCAACGTGACAACCGCCCACCAACATGCGTTGACGATGCTGGGGAAGTCCAAGGGCGAATTGTCCTGGATGCATTACCAAGACACATCCTTGCGCAAGGCTGGGCGTTGCTTCTGGGAGTCCTCTGAGCAGCACAGGCCATGAGATGGGGATACACCGCGATTGTAAGTGTCATTGCACTCCTTGGTCAAAGTCGCATCAGTTGAAGGGAAGCAAACGTTCCGAGCAGAGCCGGGGCACCGCTAGGTACACGATCAGCTCCGTAGCATTAAACTCATCGCGAAGAGGACAGCTGAGCCTTCACGGCACTGCTCATGTTTGCATGCTCCAGAAGCTGATCACTGTGCATCACCGTTGAGGAGAAAATGCCCTGTGTCAGGAGTTCACGGCCTCTCCAAATAGAAAATAGTGCTGGAAAACATCACGACGCCAATTCCTCGGATCAACAGCAACGCCGATGCCAGACCATACAAAATCAGGATATGTGCAACATTGTGCAACCAAGGCTCCTAAGAGAAAAAACAAGACAGAGATCGCCTGTCTTGAGTCCACCACGGCCTCGAGCTGAAATCGGCCAGCAAAGGCAGGCTAGACGACACTTCGGGTGCTTCGATGCAGCCAAAGCCTAGGTTAAGGACCTCATGCGCAAAGATGTTCAAACTATGTTTCGACGGTACTGAGAATCCTTCAAAGCTCACGGAAGATCAGTCCACTGCAACTCACGTTTTTCAGGCAAGTGTTCGTGAATTAAATGGAAAGGAAAATGTGCATTTCTGCAAATGCGACCCTAGAGCCAGAAAGGAAAACCCAAGAGTAGCGGCGGCCTTCCACATTATCTGCAAGCCGGCGGCGTAGCGGCCTCAACTGGAACGCATCAAAGCTCGTGGCTTCTTCTCTCGCGCTCTTCGTCACAAGGAAACCGGGCAGCAGTGCTTGCGGCTTCGGGAATCCTGCCCACCCGCCCGGCCTAGTTTGAAAACACGAAGAACTCGAATTAGTCGGACCACCTGCCGGGCCAAGAAATGGCGGCTCCAGCCGCCCCCCCTCTCTGTCTCTTCTGCAGGGAGACGTGACATCGGCTCTCCATCCCGTGCCTTGAAGGACTTAAGCACGGCGGTATTGGTGAACCCAGCATTTCGCAGAACGACCTCTACCTCAACAAGCGTGGAGGAGTTTGCCGTTGTTCTGTGACGCTGGCTTCGTTTTGCATCTCTCCCTTGACAGGTCGTCGGTCGTGTTAGTGCGGCTTGGGCGGGGTAAAGGAGTTTCCATATCAAGGTCAGCCACATAGAAAGGGAGTAGAGCCACGAGATCTGCAACGCTGCTAGGTGCCAGGATGAAGCTCACCTCAGCACGAGCACACTCATCGCGCATGAAGCAAAGCTGAAACGTGCTGGAAGAACACACAACCCCTTCAACTCGCTACAAGCCCATGCTGGCCTCTTCAATAGCCGAGCCCCCCGCTACTGGAACACCCGCAAAGCGACAGGTGAGTGCCAGCGTTAGATACTCCACCTTGGCCGGTTCAATGTTGGCAAAGACATCGGCTTTGGACACTTTTGGCCTGTGGCTAGAAACGCCTTTTGGACTCTGGACACGAGTTGACTGTAGCAGCAGCTCTGTCCACCAAACTCTGCATGCCTGCACTTGACAGAATCTGGCTTGCTGCCAAAGCGCAGTGAAGACCTGGGCCGGCGCACATGTTTTCGCGTCATGGAATTCAGTAGCCACTAAACTAAGAACAAAGAGCCAACCTCAAACCAAACCGTCAAAGAGCAGCCTGCATACCCTAGCCAGGAGCCAATCCATGCGCACTCTCCAAGCTCCGCAAAACTAGGCCAGGAGTTGTCAATGTTGTCATGAAACCAATATGCTCGCCACACGCACGGGAGTATGACTCGGGAAGCGGAATTCGCACAGCCGAACTCGGCGAATCGCGCTCGCGCAACAGTGCCGTGCAGCGCCGTATGTATTATTTTGAGGTGCACATCAGCCCAATGCGCTCCACCTTCCGAAATCGTGTGTGTGACTGTCGTTTCCGCCTCGACAATCGTGCTCCGCGATTGTCGTAGGAGATGTGCACTACGACAAGGATGTACCACGCCACAATATGGGGTGTAGGAGCCGTCAGGTGCGCCTACTGCAGGCGCCACGCGGAACAGCGATCCAAGCCCTCACTCCAAACGCTATCAGTCCCACCCATAATGTTACCACACTGCTTGGAGAAAAAATGCAACTCTGCAGTGCCGCAGAACCAGAACGGAGTCCTGCAAGCTTTGGTACCATATGGGTTGGACAAGCCGCGACCGTGCATATCACCTCTACAAGCGGCCACAGCTCCGGATTCCTGAGCTGCTGCTTCCATGTGCTGCCATCGTTCCACTCTCATCGTTACCAGTCTCCACAGGATCTCTACATGCCCAGCTTCATCTCGTAAAAGAGCCGGTCCGTTTCCAGCACAAAGCCGCAAATGGAAGCCACCGTGAAAGCGACGATCACAATTGACCTCGTCCGGATCAGTCAGATGTGGAGAGCACAGGGGACTGCTGGATTTGCCAGATCTTTCACACGTCTCACCATGTCTCACCATGTCTCACCGTACCCAACCCAGCCATGCCACACGATCTGGGCAGCGGAAGAGCTACCAGGATCACTCAGCGTCACGAAGATCTTCCTGAGTGCTTGCTAAACCCGAGAGACCATGAAAGCACATGAAAGCACTGCTCGAAGCTTGGCACGAGTCATGCAACCGTTTCGTAATGACAACAAGATGCTCTGCAGTCGTTTTACCCTCCTCCTCCATCCTCCTCTGCGTCGATGATACATATGTAAGACCTGGGCATTCTCTCTTTCGTTGTGGGCGGAGGCACTTCCAAGCTACATCCGGGTGCAGTCTCAGGGTCAGGCCCAGGGTGTGGGTGTAAAACGGCCTGCAAAGACTTGCAAAGTCCAGGGTCGCGTCAGTCGCGGGATGTCGCGAGACCCAAAGAGCGAGCGGCGCTGTGTGGGGCGTAGACTCGGCCTGTCCGAGTCCCGAGATGCTCTCGGACTTGGGCCATCTGTCTTCCTTGTGGAACCTGCAAAAAAAAACAGCGAGAACGTGGACCTCTCAGAGCCGTTAATACCGCGAGGCCTGCGGTCTTTCTCCAGCAACTTTGGATGACTCTTGCTGCATCTTCTGCCGAAGCTGACTCAGTCTTATCCTGGAATCAGAGATTGGCTGCAAAGCTGCCGCTTCATCAGAAAGCACCCGACAGCCGCTGCCGTTCTGTGGTCCTCATCCTTGGAGGTCTTCCTGGAATTCCTAAAGCACAGGTGGATGCAAGGAAGCACATGTAGAAAGCACAGCATGGCCCGGGAATCAGATGCATCTCGGCTCGCCGCTGACGGCGAAAATGGATTGGTTGCATACAAGGCGGACACTTTCCTCACAAACCAGCTCAGCCAATGTTGATAACGTTGTTGCAGCTGGAGTTGAAGCATGTCAGCATGCCCAGTTGATGCGCCTGCGCCTCACCAGCCTTACCAGCTCGCAAGCCAGGCACCCATGGCTCCCTTCACCCCACCTCTTTCCACATCATCTTCAAAGGACAGCTGCGGCACAAAGGACGTGGCCGTGGCACTTCATGCAAAGCACGCTGCGTTCCGACCGCTCAACCCTTTCCGGATCCGGTGCCAGCCGGGACTACGAGCAAGTAGTTAATTACTGTAAGAATTAAGAACTCCAACAGCGGAGGTGCGAAGGAAATACTAGCCACCACACCGAAAGCAAGCAACTGCACGCAACTGCCACTGCGAAGCAGACATCGACAGCGCATGACGGCGCAGGCTGAGCCTCCTTGGAACTGGATCCGAAGCCCCAAGATGGAGCTGTAAAGCGCAGCCTCAACTACACGACACTTTCGAAGAGCTGGGCGTCAAAAACACCGTCGAGTGCAGGGGTTAGCCGTCGCGCGCTTCCTCTGGCTTCAAGTCCGACCAACTAAAATTATGTTACGGCTCTGTGGCCAACAAACAATGCAGCAAAGACAGCTTGCCCGACTTAAGGCTGTCACGGGCCATCGCGAGAATTGTATCGTCCGGGCCCTGGCGGCTGCAACTTGGGAAGAAGCCCTGCTTGCAATGGAACTACGAACTATGATATACCATAATGTACTAAAATATACTATATACAATATACTATAATATTATAACATACTATAATATACTACAATACTCTATAATGTACTAAGACTACAATAAGTATAGTATACTAGAATCATACTCTACTTTTTTATTATGAGCATGTTCCTACCGGCCGACTCAATGGCTCGGAACTCGAGGCAAAAGAACATACGTTCCAGTAGTACGTCTGGGAAGGTGCAAACCAACTAACTAGCAACTGCATGAGATGTCGAAGGAGCGCGGGACTCCTCATCAAAAGTTGTGGCTGCTAGCATGCTCATCGTAATTTCCATCACTGCCACAACTCAAGCAACACTCGAATAATCTCGCATACACACATCTCTCTCACGTTAGCCTGGGCAGGTACTCACATCAGTTTTGCATGGGAAATTCGCAAGACTGAAGGTCCAGAGCTGCGCCTACCTGCCTCGCCTGCACAAACGAACATACCATAATGTACTATAATATACTATATATACTTTACTATATATATATATATACATATATATATATATATAAAATATTATAATATTAAATATACCATATTATACTATAACGTACTTTTATAAATGATAAACAATATAATATACTAGAAACATACTCTACTCTATCTTGCAACGGTGTAGCCGCGAGTTTCCGTGCGCTTTCGATAGGCCGCAGGACCCTCGCACTCGCACCTGGTGGAAGGGAGGAGCTCCTGTTGTCCTTCGGAGAGCGCATGCTCCAGGAAGGGTCGCCTCGGGCACCGAGGGCATCAAGCAAATGCTTCTTTTACATTGGGATTCCCTTGGGCCCTTCGGCTGTAGCTTCTGTGCAATGGTGGGAGCTGGTGGGAGTGTACTTCCTGCTCCGCAACATAAGTCAAGTAGTCTCTGGCATGGAGAAAAGTCCCACACATGCACTGCCACGGTTGCCGCCTTACTCACAAATTTCTTTGCGGACCCCGGCGACGCTCTCCCGCCACGTCCGTTCTTCGAACCCCGTACACCGTACACCGCATATCCAGACCGTCTTGTGGCCAAGAATTGGATAAAATAGTTACAGTAGAACTTTAGAAACTACAGCTGCTCAACTCCGGAGTCGCTGTGGCGAGCACAACACTAGCATCGCCTTCATTGCAATCATTCCTACGCCGAAGCGAAGAACACTTAATTGTCTCCATACCTCTTGGTGGTCGGAAACGAGACCAACGAGCTACTTGCACTAAGGTAGCCAACTAAAACAACCTGTGAACGCCACATGATTCACGAAGCTCCGGATAGTTGCATGCTGGTCACGTTTGTAGCGGCCATTGATGTCACCTGAGCTCTCTGCAACTCTGCCATCTGTGGTTAGCCAACCCTTCGGCTTCAAGGATCTTTACGGTGCACATATATCCTTGCACTTGTCACAGGTCCGAGAACCACCTCCTCGTGTCTCTGAAGCCAGTCGGTGCTTGCTGCAGACCAGCTGCGATGTGGGTCGTCGGAGGAGTAATGACCGACCCTCGGGAGATTACATCTGTCTACATGGCCTTGCATCGCGATTGCCAGTAACTCGTGAAAAGGCTGAGCTGGTGGCTCGGTGCCTGATGGCTTGACTCCTGACAACCTCCCCGGGAAGGACCACTTGGGTGCCTCCGGTCTGCAGTAGGCTTATGCTTGGTGAGGCTGCGCCGACTTGGCTTAGCGGCAGCGAAGCTAAAGCGGCTGGAGCCTTCTTGTAGGTGGTGTGCGCGGTTATCAGCTCATGGTCCGGGGTCGGCTGCAGCTCACCGGGTGTCGGGTGATGCTGCGGCATTGCGCAGGAGGTGTGCGCGGGCACCTGACGCCCACAGGTCTGAGCCAAACAGCTCCTTTGGCCAGCCTTTGGCGCGATGCAGACTCATGATGTACTCAGCAGACTCAGCATGTGAACGAGGCTTGCAAACGATGGCTGACGCGTTGAGGTGAGCTGCCGGCGCTTGGATTTTGCAAAGCTGCTGTTGGCGAAATTGGCGGCATTACTGTCACTGTCCAGGTGATCAGACTGACGTGCAATTACGTGCTGGGCCGGCCGGGCTACCTGGCCGGCGAACTGCGGAACGAAAAAGACTGCAACCTGTGGAGTCTGACGTATGACCTAGCTGATGCTCCTCCCAGCACAGCGCACACCTGACCACAGCTGTCCGACAGCAATGCAGATCCTGATGAGTCTGCACTCAGCAGGCAGAGCGGCTGCCCTGGCTGGTGAAGACAGTGTGCACGACTGCTCGTGCCCACGTGAAACGACTCGTCTAGACGTCGCAAAAAGGGTTGAGTGTAGTGTGTGGAGTTTGGCTGAAAGGAGGGCATGGCCGGAGTGCGGGGTTCGGGGAAGTATGAGTCTCAGTGAGCGGACGTCCCTGCCATCCAGCTAGCATGCCTTTCGTCGAACCGCTGGGCTGAGGTTATGTGACTGAGACCAACGGCAAGCAGACTGAATCGGCAAGGGACGAGGGACAGGCTGAGTGGTCGCCCAGGTCAAGGTACCATTTTACAAGCAGGATATACCGAAATGCAACCGGTGCGCAGCAACCAACGTGTGAAATCGGCAGGATTACTGCAGGGCTGTGAACCGTATGGACCTGGACGCACTCCATCCTGAATCAAGCTTGATGTCAGGTATTCTCGCTCGAAAAACGCCGTGAGCCTCAGAGTGCCCAGTTGGTCACTTGAGAGGAGCCGATACCTGGCCACCCACATATACAAGCCGGCTACTGGTAGCCCAGATCGTAGTGCAGTTGGCACCCGCCTTGGGCGGCAACCGTGCCCAAAGGCACCCACGGCCGGGAGAAAGACTGCCTCGACCTCGGAGCCCGGGGCAATGCCCTTGTTGAAGCCTGCTGATCTTCTTGTTCGTATTGATCTATCTCATGATTTTTGCTGCTGTGAATCGCATTCGTATGGGTATGAGTACTACGACTCAGCCTCCAGCAAAACTCTCACAACTTACAGAGTCTTGGCGAGGCGTCTGGAGCACGATGAAAGAGCCGATGAGGACACATCACAACTCGTCTTAGACTGTGATACTTGAAATCGACGACGAGGTTATTCGACAGCGAATCAGTATGTATATAGCCATGTAGCATTTCGTATTTAGACTCTCTCAGCTTGGGCCATCCGCGCTAGGTGCCTGAACTCGGCGTATGCTAGCTGCTGTCACATTGGGCAGCGCTTCAGTCGCGAGATAGCGCATTTGAGGTTTCGTGCTGAGTGCTTAGCGACTTAGTGTTTGACCGTTATGCGCTCGCAACTCGGACGCGGCCAAACTGTGGTGTCTGTTTGTGTTCCGCATCACGAGCCTCTGCAAACGCGACAGGTCTCCACGTCGGCACGGTAAATACGATCTAGGACTTAGGGTACTGGAATTAGTCTTAGTACAAGCATGCATCAGCATTGGCATGAGCTTTATGAGCCGCTCTGGTAGCACATTGCTCTTGGCATGAGTACGGGAAACAGAACCAGCATCAGCATTAGTATGAATACCCATATCAGTATCAGCATTACTATTCAGACTTATGCTAGCACAAGCCCTATTATGTTCGACATTCTTCTCCGTCATGTACCCCGTGGTTACAGCACATTTGTTGGTGTTGTTGAAGAAGTGTGTAAGTGCGATAATCCTCTGTTGTTGGCTGAACTTCCCTCTGGGTTCTACTGTACTCTGCTCTTAATTCTTCAGCCAACATGCTGGTATTTGCAGTGTTCGTGTTTCCGAGATCTCATGTTTGCTGCTTTCACGGTCTTGATTTTCATGTCAACAACCAGCAATCAGAATGCAGCTTTTTCGTGCCTACCTGGTCCAACCGCCCCATTCATTTCACAACAAAACATCCGTGGCAAATGCTCATGAGCTCTACTGCGACTCGGTATCAGACCACCCATGCCAAAACCTGTTGACATCCGTGGTCTAGCTCGGTTTGGAATTAGGGCATCCACGGCAAAATGCTGATGACGTCCATGGTCTAAAGCGGTCTGGGCTAAGCACATCCATGGCCGAACCACAGTAACACGCATGGTCTAGTGAGTCTAGCGTGTTTTGAGAACCGCTCTTGCCCACCAGACGTATACGAAACGCCCGTTGGTGTGCAGCACATCAAGAAAGACTTGCGTCACCCCGTGCTTTTGGCATCTTATTGGCGTGTCGATAGCATTTTCGGACTTCTCATTGGACTTTGGTTCCTCAGGTTCTTCGGCGTGAGGTCGTAACAACCACCTAGTCCGGAGTAGCCTGTTTGTGGCATCTGAGGCCAAGCGGCTGTTGACCAAGCATGGCTGTAGACAGGAGCTGCTCGGAATGACCAAAGCCGAGGCCAGACGCGGATCCTCCTGCCAGGGGACGTCCGTCCAAGCTGCAGCGCATGCAACGGAACGGAACGGAGACTCTGCTTGCTGGCAAGTGCTAGAGAGCTTCTTGTTGGCAGCTGGATCGCACAAAATGCGCAGTTGATTGCCCTTTTAGCCTGGCCCCTGGTCGTCACAACGACTGCAGCGGAGGAAAAACAGCTACTTTTGGCAATTTTAAGAGCAAGCTCGCAGCCTACTCACATCTGCGGCCTCAAGATGGCCTGTGATTTGGGACAGACAGCAGAAGTCTACCTGCCGAAGCACAGCGGCGCCTAGGAATCTGCTGTCACTGCTCCGAGGCTCCGAGGCTCCTCCCCTGTGGCTTACAGCACCTTTGGAAAGGGGCCCGTCGTGCAACATCGCCAGAAGCCTCGGGGGGCAAAAGTCTGCAATGCGCCTGGAAAACGCAAGAATTTTTAGAGCTCAAGTCCTACGGAACACGATGCGTTTCCTATCACTTGCTCTTTGCCGAGCGTCTCTTGCCCGCGTTGGCGGCCGACTTCTGGATCAAGGTCCTTGCTTCCCGGCCTACTCCCACGTAAGACATTCCACAAAATGGTGGAAAGAAACTGGTATTCAGCAGCCTTGGGAGTAAGGCTGAAGAACATGCAAGCGGCTGTCGCTAGGCACTGGCTCACTGAACACTCAACTAACGGTTTCCATGCTGTCCAAGGCTCCACAAGGCCACTACCATCATCTGCGTCCTGCATGACGAGCATGGCTTGTCGAAGCCAGGGTTCACAGGATGACCGTAGACTGTTGTGACTTGGGCCCGAGCGCTTGCCCCGAAGCGCTCGCCTGGACCGCATAACAAAAGAAAGGTTGTCGCTAGGCGAAAAAACCGAGGCAAGAGAACAAAGTCGGGCCTGGAAAAATCTCGCCAGCCAGGTTGGAACGAACGTGGCCTGGGAGATGCAAACAGAAGCTTTCTGCAGTCGACTCTTTGGCGCGTTCGGCAATAAGCTAAGCTGAGGGGCTGTTCCAGTCGTCATCTCCACAACTGCTGCCAGCACTGCTCTTCTGCGTGGCCTCAGGCCGATGGCTCACACAGAGGCCACCGTGGATTTCGACGAACGTGAGAGGACCCCAAACGGACCGATAACACACACGGAACACTGCAGTGAGTGCGACGGGCATGCTACGATCAAGCCAAGCTTCTGTGTATTCCGTGGTATCTGCATCGTCGTCCGCCTCTTTGTAGTAGGCCTGCATCGGTCATGAGGTGGCGATGCATATCAAGGCCCATAGAATCTCAAACCTCTGCACTGCGTCGAGGCTGCGACGGGCCAAAGTCCGCACGGGCTAGGGGTAGATGCTTTCCAGGTATCCATCATCGGTCTCGGATACGGATTTCATAGGCTTGAAAGACTCCCAAGAGTTCACAAAGCATCTTCGACGGCTGGTCCGAGGTGTCTCGAGCGTGTGACGGGCTAACTGTATGTGCTGACATGCCGAAACCATACAACGCCATACAAGCTGCACTGTAGAAACAAAGCTGCAGTTCCCGCAACCGATTACAGCTGGGTCTCATGTTGTCGCAGCCCTGGAACATCCCATTGGCAGGCCCGAGCTGTAGCCTCCGATGCGCGGGCAAGGCATGCAACAACACGAGCACTGAAAATGAAAAGCTTCTCTGGTGCTGAGCGCGATGCGGGGGGAATATCAGCTTCGGTTGTTGTACCATCAAAGGTCCTGATACCAGCCGCCGACAGCAACCAGCACCGCTTGCGCTAACACCCGCAAGGACACCGCAAATGCACCGCTCGAGCTTCCATGGTCTGCATACTTCATGCAACAGCTCTTTCGACCCATTGCCTTCTTCGCCCCAGTCGTTGCAAGAAGAGCTCCACATGGCTTCAACGGCTGACAGGTCCTTGCACAGGCAACATGTAGCTCAAGCTCGGGGCGGATTGGAGTAGTGCAGCCAAGTAGCAATTTGCACCAGGCGTCCGGTTGTCAACTGGAGCCGATACCACGCAGAGTCGGAGTTCAGGAATCAGGCGAGCCGGAAAAATGGAGCTTGCAAGATGCACACGCGACAAGAGCTGACGGCAGACTTTGCCCTGCGACATCCAACTACGGAGCACAAACAGCCCGTTCTGTGAGAATAACTGTTAAGCACTTACCGGCCCTGCTGTGGGCTCTGAGGCTCTGGGCTCCACAGATTCGCTTAAATCTTAAGTGGTGTGCTTCACTGTTTGCAGGTGTCAGCAAAGAGCCCACATGAAATCATGAAACCGAAACGAAATCCTACAGGAAGAGATCACCGGGCCGCGTTCTGGACAAGGAGGCACGGATCAGCTCCCGCATGGAGGCACTGTATGCCACGTCTGAGAACTCCCGTTCAGAGTTCAGCCGTCACACTTATTGATTCTTGCTCTTATCAACGATGTGCCCGGTCAGCTCTCTGATCGTCGGATAGTCGAACCTGCACTCTGCTTTGTAGTCTGCGACCGGCCACGACCATGACAGCAATGCCATCCCCACGATTCTAGTGAGGCGCGAGCGTCAGCGTTGAGGAAAGGCCGAGCCTTTCTCGCCAAATGTGCAGACATGACATGACATGACTATCCATCCCTCCCCTCCCCAAGATCCAACCAAGGAGCCCAGAAAAGGCTTGATTCACCTGGCTCCTGAACTCGATGCTCATCAAGCTGTCCTCATTTGGTTCTGGCGCTATGCCGCTGTCCCCCCACAAGGTCCACTGAGCATGTGCTTGGCCTATTGCTTCAAAGGTGTTTCGGCCTACGTGGGACCACACTGCGGAAAAATGTTTGGCTCCATGTGACATCCTCGCTGCTTCTTTTGCCTCCCGCTGTTCAGGGTTGGCACAGTTGCGCAGGAGTTCACGGCCCCATGCCCTGGAGACTCCCAGAAGCTGTTCAAAGATTGTGCAAACAGGATCGCGTGCGACCAACGCAAGGAGGCACGCTCAGCAGTCTGCCATTTTCCGCAGCACGAAAGTCGGCTAAAGGCCTTTGAGAGGTAAAGGCCGCGAGGTCTGCAGTATCAAGAGCTAACGTGTCACGGCAGAAGCTTTATCATCCCTTCTATTTTCTTGTTGCAAAAGAATGCCGTGATAACGCTTGCTCTCAATCGCTCTTCGAGAAGAACGTCACTAGGACCGGGGCGGCTGACGGTAAAAGGCTGTGCTGGTTCGCCTCTTCAAGGTAGCGGGTCTTCCGCTCAAGCACACGCCAGCGAAGCTCACCCGACGGTAGCTCGTAACGAGCAAAAGTGGTCCTAAGAGGAAACTGTGCGCTGCTGAACCTCGGCTCCGGCGTCCTGAAGCTGCGCGCCCCATGAGCCACATTCACGCCCATGTTCCCCTGCGAGTGCCACCCACGGTGCTCCGCGAACTTAAGCAGAAACCCAAGCAGCGGGTCGTTGCCGTCCAGCGCGTCACCGGGCAACTCCGTCACCTTCTTAACCTTTGCAGGCAAAGCGCGCTTGCCCTTTGCCACCTGCTTCACAAAGTTCGGGCTGTAGGTGATGCTCCAGGAACCGCGGCGCAGCGTGTCTCGCAGATGGGTCACGTCCATGTACTTGGTGCCGGCATCGCAGAACATGTTGCTCGTAGCGGTCCATCTCAAGGAGGTGTTGGGTCGCCTCAGCACCGACCGCAACCAAGCCACAGTGAAGGCCAAGCTCTTCTGGGACCCGAAGGAGGAGGTGTCGCTGTTGGACTTGTCGTGAACGTCCTTGGCGTCGACCACCACCACCAAGCTCACGCTGTTGATGCTCCGGTCGACGTCCTGCTTCGTCTGGAGGGGCAGCCCGCGGGCCGCAGCCAAGAAGCCTCGAGTAAGAAGCCCGACGTCGAAGGCCTCCTCAGCACCCAGGGTCTCAGAGGCGTAGCTTGAGCGGCACACCCGGGCCAAGCGATGGCTGCGGGTGTCCAGCACGTTGAAGCGCCCCGGCCTCCCAGCCAACAACTCAGAGTCCGCGAGGAGAAGGAAGTAGCAGGCCTGGCTGTAGACCTTCTCCAGGGGAGCCGATTCTCCCGAGCCCGACTGGGTCACGTTCCCCAGCGAGCTGTCCGTGACCACCACCAAGCCGGCAGTCTCGAAGTCGATGGGCTGGAAGACCATCTCGTAGGCGGGGTCCTTGAGGAACTCAGCCAGCAGGTCGTTGGCTCGCAGAATGGTCCCCACTGTTGGTTGCTCCCCTTGAAGCGCGGAGACTGGGAACTGAAGGTCGAAGCGAAGTTGCGCAACCAACCACTGAAGGCTTCCAAGCAGGGCCCTCAGCTTCCGACGCTCGTCGTTGGTGAGCTCGCTCGTCAAGGAGGTCCGCCGGTGCCGTGGTAGCGGGATCTCCTTCAAGTTCCGGTGGTAGGGCAGCACAACAGAGCCATCCGGTCTCCTCCTGGATCTCGCGGAAACCCAGCTCCTGACCAACGGAGAGAAGTGAGGCTTCAGCCTCAGCATCGCCGCCGAAAAGCAGATCATCGACGTGGCTGATTATCATGCGCAGCAGCTTCTTCTTCCCAGGCCCGCCCCAAAGGAACCAAGAGGCCTGGTCGAGAGGGTTCCGGCTCCAACCTCGGGACTCTAAAGAACGGCTCAGTCGAAGCCACCACTCCCGAGGAGCGTCCGCGAGTCCGAAGATGCCTTTGCAGACGCGCGCGAGGCAGCCCTCCGGGATTGGTATCCCCGGCCCGGTGCGACCATTGGTCTGGGAAATGTAGAGCTCCCTGGCGACGTAAGGATCGCCCTTCAAGAACGCCGATTTCACATCGGCGGCCATCATCTTCCAAGCCTTGCCCTTGCCCGCGATGATGGACAAAAGCAAATGCTGTGTCAGCCTCGCACCGGTGGGAGCGTCACGGCGAACTTCCCCTGAAAGGTTAGCACGGTCCCGGAATCCAGGAACTACAAGTCTCGCCGAAGCTTCGATGGGCATTGGATTGGCGTCCGAACGAAGGCCGTCGGATTTATCTGTAAGCACGAATCTTGGCACTAAGATCCGGTCGAGCTCGCCCCGAGAAGCTAACTGCTTGCGAACCGCAGCGCTTTCCTTGAGGCTCAAAATCTCAATCGCCTCGTTCTCCACATAGGCTTTCCAGCCTTTCTCTGCGGCTTTCCGCCACAACTGCTTCTCCGGGTCTGTCATCTGCGACCATTGGCGCTCCTTCCGGGCCGTGGCTGCACTCACCTCGTGGTCCTCAGGAAGGCCTGTCGGAAGCGAAGCACCAAGGTCGCTCAGAACTTTCAACTGAGACCTCGAAGGCAGACTCCAGCGACCGTCCCAAGTACCGTGGTCCCGCTCGGCTTCAAGACTCACTCGGGACGACAAACGGTCACTCTCCACTTGTGCCTGCACCTGCAACAGAGGGTGTACTGCGCTACTGGGCAACGAAAGACGCTCCAGCTGCTCGTGACTCAAGACCGTTGCCTCGAAAGCACCACGGGTGGTAGTAGATGACGTCTCTGCTGCACTAGCTGAAGGAGGCCCAGGAGGTTCACCAGAAAGTCGTCGGGGCACTGGCGGTTCAGCACCTGAAGCTGAATGCCCGAGAGGTTCACCAGAAAGTCGTTGGGGTACTGGCGGTTCACCTTCAACAACAGGAGGCCCGGGAGGTTCACTAGAAAGTCGCTGGGGTACTGGTGGTTCAACTCCTTCACCCGGCTGTTGTGACGACGCCCGGCTTGCACGCCGAGCTTGATCCGCATGGTCTTCCAGCTCGGCTTCGGAACTCGTGCGGCGCCTGCCGCGCTCCATGGCATCGCGCAACTCAGCCTGAAAGTCAGCGGGCTGACCACGTCCCAGCGCTCGGCGGGTCAACTCCAGGGCCAGAGGTTGGCCGTGAGCTCTCGACAAAGTACTCGCCAAGGTCGGCCTCGAACTCAAGAGCGCCCCTACGGGCGTGCCCGGAGCAGCCGTAGAAGTTGAAGGGGTAGAGGTAGAAGATAAAGAGGCGGGCTGCCGATCATCAGGCGCCACAAGCCCGAGAACCGGAACCTCCGAAAACACTTCAACTGGCTCCTCCTCGGGCACCGCACGCAAAGTAGGCTGCCCAGCCGAGGGTGGATCCCCGTCAACAAGCTCACGGATAGCCTCCTCCCAGGTCCCAGCGGCCAGCTGCTCAAGAGAAGATGCCGGCCGGACATGTTCCATCGCACACTTCGTGACCTGGCCTTTGTAGGAGAGGAAGGCGTTGCTGGGGAAGCCGGTCTCGCCCCAGGTCTCCAAAGCCACAAGCACCGCCGGCCCATGCCAGCGCTTCAGTTCCAGGCGCCTGCGTCGAGAAGAAGTCGAGAGACGCGGGTCGCCTCGCTTGGTCATTTTCTGGGCCCGGGAGAAGTAGACAACGTCACCGGGGCTAGGCGGTTGAGCCGTAGTCGGCTCACGGCTCCTGGCCAACTCGGCCTTCCGTATCCCCTGGGAGTAGTGCAAACGAACCATCGCAACACGAGCCGCCTCCCTCAGAGCCAGGCGTTGCACCAGGCTGGGGTCGTTGTCGATCACACCGTGCCCCGCGAGACGGCCGGCAAAGTTGTTCAGCACCGACCCTTGCACAGCAGGTTGTCGCCCAGTCACACATTGTTGCGGGGAGACGCCGTCCTCGGTCGGGTCGGAGTTATAGGCAGCAACGGCCTCGGAGACGGCGTGGTGCATGTCGCGGTCGCCAATCACCACCTTGTCGGTCACGATGGCTGCCAGCACCGCCTTCAAAGTACCGCCGCTGCGCTCCGCAACACCATTCTGCCAAGGAGCTTGCACGGAAGCATGCCAGAGCAGCACGCTGTGGGAAGAGCACCACTCCTGAAACTCCTCGCTAATGAATTCACGCCCTTGATCGGCAACGATCTGCCGCGGAGCGCCAAGGAGAGGAAACCAGGTGGCCATGATGAAATCGAGGCCGAGCTCTTGTCCTTAATCACTGCGGCCTGCTGGAACTTAGAAACAGCATCGGTGAGGTGAGCGATGACGTAGGGCTTCCCGACGGCATCCTCGGCCACCAAAAGGTCAACATGGGCCTGCTCACCCACTGCCCTGGGAGCCGGCAAGCTTGCAACTCGGCGGCTGCGCGGGGCCTTTCTCTCGGCACACACATCACATTTGAGCTCGCGGGCGGCTTGCACGGCCTCCGGTGGAGCTCCAGAAAGAAGCTGGGCGCGAGCGAGTCGTCGAGGAGGTCGGTGTCCGGTGGCCTCGTGCACTCGCTTGACTGCAGCCCGAACAGCCGGGGTGATTTCGCCCTTGAACGGCTCAGTCACCTCGTCCTCGGAATCGTCGCCGCCATCAAAGGTAAAACCCTCGCCCTCGAGGTGGTCGCTAGAACGTCGTGGTAGAAGTCAATCGCACCCGGCACGGCGGTGGTCTGGTAGCACTGGTGCACTGCAGTGGCACGCGTGCCCTGCCTCGTCTCAAAGTCGAACTGCGCCTCAAACGCAGCCACCAAGGCCTTGCTAAGGCCGGCTTTGGTGCGGTCGCATGACCTCACCACCGCTCGGTCGAGGAACTTGCTGACCACAGCCTGACTCGACGAAAGAAGGCGATGCCCAGCCACCTCCACATAGCGAACACCCAAGGCTTGACGAAGGCGTTTCAAAGCAGGGGCCCGCCAGGCTGAGGAAGAAAGAGGAAGTCGAAAAACGAAGTGTCTCCCCCCCTGATTTGTTCTCGCGCCAGGCGGGCCGCAAAGTTGAGCTAGGTGAGTTCGTGGGCCCTGTGCTGCCGCAGGCTGTCGCCGGACTTAGTCATGATAGCGAGGCGGTCCCAGCTGGTCGTCGGCACGGTCAGCACCAGGAAGTAGGGCTGCTCACGGCGCATTTCGGTCAAGACTGCCTGCCGGTGCTCACGCAGGGTCAGGTCGTAGCCGCCGTGGTGCAGCCAGGGGCCGGCAAAGGTGTGCCCGCGAACTTGAACCCAACGGCTCACCAAATCAAGAGGCGCTACGGCCTCAGCCGCCAAAAGCGGCACTTCCATCACAAAGATCTCGTTCATGGCGCGGCGCAGGCTGGCATAGTGGTCGGCCAGCATCGCCTCACGAACTTGCCGGGGCGAACATGAAATGAGCAACTGCTCGCGCCGATGCCTGCTCCACGCTTGCGTGACCAGCTGTTGCTGGCCTGGCTTTAGCATTCGGACCTGGGCAGCTGAAGGCATCCCAGCTGCTCCCGTCTGGGGTCCGCGGTCGGCTCGCTCGGCTTCGCCGTCTCGGCTTCCAGGTCGATCGGCGGCACGTTGGCCCAGTCCTCGTCGCCCTCCATGACCGCGTCCGGCACCTGGACGCTCGCGGCCTGGATCTGCATCACGTGCTGCAACACCTGGCTCATCATGGCCTGTTGCTGCTGGCTGGCCGTCTGGAGCATCGCCTCGTACCGCTTGTCCATCGCCGCCATGAAGGACGTGAAAGCATTCATGTGTTCGTTGCTCATGCCGTGGGCGGGCCGTAGTGGTCGAGGCGGGTTGCGGCTTCACATCTTTCAGCACCGCCATCACAGGCCGAATCTTCGCCTTCAGGTCCTCGACCTTGTCCTTCTCGGAGACCGTCACATGAAGCAGCGTCGCAAGCTTGAGGAGGTCGGCCTTCAAGGTCGGGAGGCCGCCCCTTGGTCCAATCAAAGCCCGTGCTGCCTGAAGACAGTCTGTCTCTTTGGCAGCCTCGGCCTCGGCTTCCTTCACCATCGCTGCCCTCACCCGTGTGGATCTCCCCCTCGAGGTCGACACGGCCAGCATGCCCTGCAAGAAGGGGTCCTCCAGGAAGGAAAAGCGAAGACCGAACCTCCCCCGGAACCAGGTCATAGCTGAAAGGGTGGCCGCCGTCCAGATGCCGCGGCCCAGCCAACGTCGCAGGAAGGCTCCATGCTGCGCCATCGTCTCCGCCTGTGCTTTCCAAAGGGACACCGAAGACACAGAGGGCCAAGGAAACGGCAAGTACCGCAAGTCGGGCCGCTTTACCAAGGCAAGTAAAAGTCCTTGCTTGGCCCAGCCCCAGCGAGCCGCCACGCGCATTATCACGCGCTTTCAGCGCACCATCGTCACGATGAGAAAGTCGAGGTCGCCTGCGCCGGGGTACCCAAAGCCATCGAAGCCAGGCGCCGCCGTGGGCCGAGCGCCGCCGCCGGGAAAAGCCGCCGCCATCCTTGAGACAAACCGCTTCAGAGGAGGCAGCCGGGGCACCCGCGGTCACAGCTCCAACGCACATCGGGCCGAAGTTATCAAGACGGAGTTGTACTCAAAGGCGGCACGGCCAAGCTGCAAGCTCGCTTCAGTCATGTAGTGGCTGTGCTCATCACCGTCAGAAGCTGCATGCGACGCACCCCTAAGCAGTTGCTGCGCCCACGTTTTGCAAGGAAGCGAAGTCTCAAGCACTCCGTCGGGGCCCAGCTTCCGCCACCTTGTGGCCGGCAAGGGCGGCCAGGACTTAGGGATCAGAGGCAATGCCAGGTGCCCGGCCGAAAGCTGTGCCAGTCGCACTTGCGAGTCGCCAAACACACGGCACGATAAAGTGCGCTTGGCGAAGTCAAGGATTCCCCCGACAGCGTCCAAAACATCACGGCCGAGCAGCAGTCCTAAAGTCGGGACTGGCACCGAAGAAACCCACACTAAAACGAGGTGCCCAGCAAAGTCAATAGGCACCCGTCAGCGAGTAGTCGAGGGTAGCACACCTCCATTGCCGAAGCGGAAACGCTCAGTCTCGGGGGCCTCCTGGATCAAATCGAGGATGCCTGCCGGAGCGTCCTGAAGGAGGTCAATGTAGTTCCTTATCCAAGCTTCCCCGGCGCATGTGCGATTGCAAGCGCTGTCGAGCGCCCCGACAACCGCCTTATCAGCCGTAGGCCCGCGAGCAGCCGAGGCAACATGAACCTCAACAGCCCGCGCCGTGGAAAGATCAAGGGCCTGCTCCAGCACATCACCCGCAACCTCGGCCGAGATCATCATGGTCTCGTTCTCCAGCACCGCGACCGACTCAGTCTGGATCACCTCGTGCTCGCCGACGGCCTCCGTGATCTTAACGTGCTTGGGGACGCCGGCCTTTGTCTTTGCTCGGCCGAGTCCTTGCCCTGGCTTGGTACAGCCCTCATCTCCAGCCCAGTGCCCGGGAAGCCCGCAGTCAAAACAAACATGTTTGCCGCTGGAGTTCTTGGCGGCGATTGCCGCCGCGGCCCTTCCCCTTTGCACTGCTTCCAACACCTGGCCCCTTGAAGCCTCTGTCTTTTCTGACCTCAGCCAGCTTCACCCTGGCTTCCCGCATCGAAACCAAAGCCTCGGCAATAGCTTCGATTCCTTGCTCCAGGGCTTCCAGGTGCATGGGGTCAATGCCCTCCTCCTCGGCTTCAGCGATCTCCTCCGCCAAGTTCTGCACCTCAGTCTGGAGGACTTCCTCCAGCGACGCCTGCTCCTCACCGGCCTCGATCGCCTCCTGTTCTCGCCGTCGTCGGCTTCAATCTCAGCCTCCGGCTCGTTCTCGGTCACCTGGGCCTGTCGTAGCGGCGGTCTTCTCCCGGAACCCTGGGACGAAGCCGCCGAAGAAAGCAAAGAGGTTCTCCGCGAAGTCGCCGTAGAAGAAGGAGCGGCAGTCGCCGCAGGCTGTCCGAAGATGCGGCGCACAGTCAGTCGATTCGAAGCTGCCCGGTCCAAACGCCGGAACAAAGGGTCCTGAGCATGAAGATCCCTGAAAAGCCGCAGGCACTCAGCTTCGATCGTCGAGTAGGCTTCGGCTCCTTGAAGGGCCGTCTCCAACAGCTGCCGCGGCAAGGCGTCGAGCCCAAGCTTCTCCTTGAAAAACCAGCCAACCTCAGCGTCCGGCAGCTTCACGCCCTCGCCCTTCAAGTCGGCCACGGCCGTCCGGAAACGGCTGGAAAAATCAGCAACTCTCTCTGCCGGCTTCCGGGCAAGGTGCAAGTAGAACTGGGTCCGCAACTCACCTCGGCGATCCAGCACGCTCTGGCCGTTCAAGGTCTCCAGAGCCTTCATAAGCTTATTCAAGCCACTCAGCAGGTCCTCCGGGGTGATCACCACATCCTCACCGGTCTCCGGGTCGCGGGCCTTCTCTTCACGTTGGTACTCCAGCTCCTCGGGCAGGAACTCCTCGCCACGTTGTCTTACTATGCCAGTCTGGCGCATCAAGAAGCGGGCCGCCAAGTTGTAGCGGCGGGTCCCGTCTAAGTCCAGAGAGCTGGTCCACCAACTCATCTCCCGCTTGAAGGCCCTCCAAGTCAAGGGCGACCCATCCCAAGTAGGGCACCTGCTCCAGGCGCCACCATATTCTTTCTCGGCCTCAGCCATGGCTGCTCACGTAGATCTTGAATTCCGGCACTTCCAGGAACGAAGGGCCGCCTTGCAAAGTGATACGCGACCTTGGTCCCTCAGCTTTCCCCGAGGCGGCCTCCGGCTGAGCTTTCAGCGAAGAGGTAGCCGAGGATCGTGTAAAGGGCCCGGAGGTCAAGGTTGAGGAACTCGAAGCGGCAGCGGCGCAGCGGCAGCAAAGAGGGCAGCAACCAAAGGGTGACCCCGGGCGGCCAACTCAGGCTCCGGTGCCACTGTGCAAACAGGATCGCGTGCGACCAACGCAAGGAGGCACGCTCAGCAGTCTGCCATTTTCCGCAGCACGAAAGTCGGCTAAAGGCCTTTGAGAGGTAAAGGCCGCGAGGTCTGCAGTATCAAGAGCTAACGTGTCATGGCAGAAGCTTTATCAAAGATTGTGGGCACACTTCCGTGTGATGGGCATGACGAGCAGAATCGCCGAAAGCCGGGCTCCCGTCGGGTGCATGCAGATTACAATCTGAACTTGCGGATTCCACCCCCGCTTCGCGATAAGTTGCGACGGCGTCTAAGGGCAGGGCTACTCCAGCATCCATCAAGGGAGTATCAGATTCCTGCCCGCGACATCCCACAAAGCAGTGTACAAACTTGCGCGCAAAGACTCTTTGGCAAGAAGCGGTCCATGTCTGAGCCCATCATCTCACGGAGCATGTTGTGCAACATGTCGCTGACAATGGCTGGCTCCAGGCCTGACCACCACACTTTTGGAGACCGGAAAACGCCCCCCCCGGGTTTCTGAGCTGAGGCAGCATCCCTTCGGCTTCTCCTCCTCTATGCGGGACTCGGCTGGCCTGAAGTGGAAAGCTACATGCCCGAGTTGAGCCACAGGTAGCTCAGCTCTGTCCTAGGTCCTAGGTACCGAGGCATCCACACCTCCTGAATCTCGTCTTCCTCCTGACGTAGACTTGCAGCGCGCGCCTGTTACCTAGATAGTGACGCCAGACAATGCCCTGGGACCTGGCCTCTTCCTGGACGTACCTGGGCTGACTAACCTGGGTCGGCTGGACGCCCATCTGCTGGCCTGGCACAGCGACAGCGGATACTCGCACCTGCCTGGCCGAGCAGCAGCCGACCACCGCCCACGGCACCGTCACCCCCACTGCCTCCCCGCCGCTATCGCGAAGACATCATCAACATGGTCACCCTTCGGACCTTCCCTATCATCAGCGTCCCCACTGCAATCACGACGGATCGTAACATCATGGTGACGGTGACGTTCATGGTCACAGGCATCGTTAGCGTAGGCACCAGGACAGTCATCTTGTTATTCCAACATCGTGTTCTTCACCTACCACCAGCATCATCATCCTCATGATCACGGCTCGGTCAGACGCCTTTAACTGCGTGCGCGGCCTGGTTTCATCGCATCGGCCCAACATGCTCGATGAGCTCTCGAGGGGGACGGCGAGCAGAGAGCTCTTCAGTTCGAAAGCAGTGCTGCTTGACTACACCATAAGCAGGACCACACACTAACAGTCTTAAAATAAAGGAGCAGGAGACTAAACCCTTGGATCAGAGCAGATGTTCATGCGGGGCGAGGCGGGTGGAAGGAGTATCTCATGCCGTTCCATCCAAACCACGTAAAGAGTAAAAATCACTCAAGCTCAAAACTCGAAGTACCTGTCTCACTTCATGTGACTGCAAAACCCGAAGCAGATGTTTAAGGCAGATTGACCCGCGTGGTTCTGCGTCGAACACAACTTATCCCTGCCATGCCCTTCTCCGACTCTTGCGAGTCATGCCTTGCAGCACTTTATCCAGAATCTCTTGGGCCTCCGTGCGGGCATCAAGACAGGGGAAGTACTGCTCAGGTCAGAGTCCGAGCCCCAAACGAGAACTTCTAAAGGCTTGTCGTCCATCGCCTCCAGCCGCAGATGTCGACAGTGCCAGAGTGGGGTCGTCTGGCAGCGCGCCTTTGCCATGCTCACTGCCTCCTGTGCAGCAATCAAGGCTTCGTCGTTCTTACCGCTGACCTGCCAAAAAGGACACCCCCCCCCAACCAGAATATGGATGCATGTTACCCAATTCCGCTGTTGCTAAGGCTCCTGCAAGCAGAGCCTGTGCTTTCATGTTCACCTGAAGACTCTCAAACTCTAGCTGCAGCATCTTCACACGGCCGTCGGCTCTCGGGCTTCCGACGAAGGTGCACTCGCCAAGCTGGTAACCTCGACTCGGACGGGTGGAAGACGCCGTGGCCAAAACGGCAACGTGTAAGCCGAGTACCCACATCTTGGTAGATCTTGATGCCCTCGTCAGCACCGTCCAGAGCCTCTCGACAGCCAGCAAGGCAGCTCTCAAACATCCTCAGAATTATTTGGGCACGGCCCCAGGACCCGGCAATCTTCAACTCATGTGAGCCGCGTGCTAAAGCCGCACGCGTTTCAGAACGGTGTCACAGATTGCATATAATACGGCAAGAGTGCCGGGTGTTGCCATGTAAGCCTTATCGCATATCATCAAATAGGCGATTGGTTTGCTCGAACAGGCCTCCTGATACCTGCCGCTGACCAGGTTGACTTCCGACAAGGCGTAGAAGCAATCAGCTATGGTCTCAGTCACATAGAGTCTGAGGCTCAGGGCTATAGCAACTACTGCAAATGCTTTGCCAGAATGATGGGCCAGAATGAAGGCTGCAACAGACAGTGTACCTGCAGTGCAACATGCGCAAACCACATGGGGCGTTGAGGGCTGCACCTGCTGATGGCCCAGCTTGTCTGCTATTCTCTTTGCCTTGGCATCCGTGACACGGTCAGTCGGATGCCGACAGTACACCGGGTTCAGCCGACTATGCAAGATTCGCGGCAGGTTCTCGGTGACTCCATATTCATATATTCGACTGAGTCGTCACCGAGTCGTCCGAAAACCCGAAGTGCAAGGAAGTCGTATTCTCTGACAAGGCTGTAACATCTGCAAGGAGGTGCTCACGAGAGGCTCAACTCTCGCTTGCAAGTACTTTACAGCGTAAATGCCCACATAGGTCGGGTGGCCGCAACAAGCATCATCATGACCGCACGAGGTGCCCGGCAGCCATCAGGTAACACATGCAAGTAATAACGTCATTTCGTGACCCGCTCGTGGCATTCCCCAACTTGGCACACTTCGCATGACCCTCCAGCTCCACGATCCCCATGCTGGAAGCAGGTATCGAAAGACTTGCTCGTGCCTAGAAACAGCACTTGTGATAACAACCATGATGCAAGACGGACGTTCACTTGCGTGTATGCCTGACTTAAGGCTGTCAGACTTGTTCCAGCAGCTGAAACAGGAACCCGGCGCGTGGTCGTGTTTGCATGCGCTCCCGTCAGGGAGAAAACGGAAGCCGAAGTTCGCCATCCTTGCATTCCTCTGCGACTCTAGGGAATATAATACAGTATACTATACCACCTGGTTTAGCATAGTATAGTACAGTATATTGTGACATAAACTAGCATATATATGTATATATATATAATAGTACATATAGTATAGCATAGCAGGATCTGACCTATTGCCGAGTACAAAACGGAGAACTTCAGAAGACGGGGCCCGAGCAGCTATTCCAGCTTTTTCTGCCTCAGTCTGCAAGCTTTCGTTATCCTTTCGCTGACTCTCTCCGCCTATGTACATATACATAGACATATACATAAATACATATGTAAATACATAAATATCTGGAAAAAGATACACAGTTATAAATAAATGTATATATATATATATATACATATGCCCATGTCTATGCAGGCATGTACATGGCCCACTACAGACGCGTAGACATTTTAGCACTCGCACTCGGCAAGCAGGCGCCTAGACATACGTTTGCATGTACACAGACGTACATCCACAGCGGCTTTCCGTGTCCTACTTTACTACAAACAAGACACGTCAAGAGGACGCCTCCTCTCCGAAGTGTCCTTGGGATGCTCTTGGGAGCCCGCTTTTGAGAGCTGCTCTTCGAGCTCTCGGCTCCCTCGCATCCTGCACCAACGTCTCGCAAAACACACCTCTAAAAAAAACATCGAAGTCGACTCTAGAAAAACGTGTTTTTCGAGATCGTTGCAACAAATACTTCGCCTTCCGTTCTCGACCTGGCAGGTGAAAACAAGAAAAGGCTCTCGTGCCAGGTGTCAGCACAGCGAGGGCGAGGTAGATCAGACCAAGGCCCGTGCGAGCTGCGCAATGAAGGAAAGATGAGCCTCGACGGTGAAGAGCAGCGTCCCAGCCTGACTTTCATCCCATCTCACATTTCAATTGCTTGCTGTCTCTGCCGGCAGGCACAGGCCTCCGCGGCCTTATCACGAGCCCTCTTGCAAAGCGCATGTGCTTCGTAGGCAAGTCGAACTGCCTGCCGGCCACACCGACCAATGCAGCAACTGCAACACGACGACAATGCTGCATGTTGTCGCACAGTGCTGCAACAGCCACTCGTGTGCGGCGTGCGCTGCTTCTTCGAAGGCTCTGGCCAGAGCCCACCCAGCCCACAGCCTCTGCAGGCTCCTGCTTGGCAATGTGAATCTTGGCCATGCTGTGCAGCACTTGGGCCAACCTCCAGGCTTGTCACAACTCTGCCCGGCTTGACGCAGAGCACATCAAGGAGCTTGGCACAGGTGAGCTGTTGCCCTACTCCAGGACCCTTTGAGCGCCGCGCAAACGCCTCTCACCCAAGTCCTCAAAGATCTCTTGTGCTTCCAGCAACCACTTCTCAGCCTCGTGGCGGTCTAGGGATGCAACCTGAACGAGAAGGTGTAGCAAGTCCAGCCTCCTCTAGCTGACCAACCATCTTGTAGACATTGGCTGCCAGTAGCAAACCCTGACAAAGTCTTGAAGCGGACAGGAAGCTTTCAGCTCTCGCCGAGGCTCCCCGCGGTTGCTTCCCCACGACGATCCTGCAGGGATCGGAACGGGATCCGGGATCCGGGGATCGGGTGGGTGGCTGGAAGCCTTGAGCTCCCGAAAGATCGCCACTGCCTCTTCCGCGGTGCTCAGAGCCTGCCGCAGTGAGAGCGACAGAGAGGGAGAGCAAGACAAGAAAGCAAGGAGTGTGGGAGGAACAGAGAGAGATTCCAAGCTGGCTTCCCAAGACTCTTTGCTTTGTGCCTCCTGGTACTCATGCAGCTGGGTTTGGACTTGCCTGGGATCACTTGCATACGGCATACACAGGTGTGTGCGCGTGAGTGAAGCCGGCAGTGTGGACAGAATCAACACCTTGAGAACATTTTGGGACACGTGGCGCAAGCTGTTAGACGGCTTCAAAGCAGAAGCTACGCCACAGTCGATTCCGATTGCTGTACAACAGATCTGAACTTAGCCTGTCAGCGGCTGCGTCGGCGACTCCTGCTCCTGTGGGGCTTTGCGACAAGAGCTTCCAGCGATCGGAAAGCCATGGAGGGCGAAGTTGAAGAGATGCTCTGAGTAACGGAATGTAATGGAGCACGGCACAGAAAGTTGCAGAAGTGCACAGCACCACGTTCGAGATTCAGCAGTACCATATCCGGCAACTGCACTTCAACAACTGTCGAAAGGTTGGAACAGGCCAGTAGGAAAAGGTATACGGTATGGAAGGATTGCTCGGCAAGACATACTGTAAAAGTAAAGGCTTTTTTGGCTTCATCTTCTAACATGAGCATTGCGCCTCCGCCTCCTTGAGGAGGCGGAAGTCCTGTGGTGAAGAACTCCCAGTCCCAGGACTCAAACGATGCAGGAAGAGCCGAACAGCCGAACACCCCGAGCCCCGGCTCCTCTTTCGCCTCTTTCTGGCGGGACGGCTGAGGCTCCTGGCGCTCGGAGCGCCAAGACTGCACTTGATGATCACAGGTCTGCGACAAGGGAAGGGTCAAAGGAGAGGCTCTGTCCTGCTCCTCTTTCTCCCGCTTTTGCTGCTGCCGCTGCTGCTGCTGCTGCTCTCGTTATTCTGCTTCTGCTTTTTCGCGGCTGCGTTGGCGGCTTCAGCCGCAGCTTTCCTTGCATCGTCATTGTCACCTGCATTGCCTGCACCAGGTGCATCAGGTGCCGCGCCTTCGTCCTCGCCTCGGCGAATCGAGTCTAAGCCAAGCACAGGGCTGAAGAAATGAGGTCTCCTTGCACTCTGCACTTTACTTACCTTTGGTTAGTAGGGAATGGAGGACTGGAGTACAATTATAACTACTGTTACTATCATTCTTCCATTCCTTACTAACCAAAGGTAAGTTTAGACAAGTGTCTGGAGCTGGCTCCTTCTTCTTGCTCCGGCTCCTCTTGCTCGTCCTGCTCCTCTGATTCCGTGTCGTCTTTCGGCTCCAAGCCTTTGGAGCGGAAGACGTCCCTGAGGCCCTCCTTGGGAGACGGCACTGGGTACTCTGTCTCTCTTGCTTGCTTGCCCGGCGTTTGAGCCAGAGGGGAGGACGCCTCCCTCTCTCCCTCTCTCTCCCTCTTCCCATCTGAAGCTCCTTCACTCCTTGCTCGAGTATGCGTCATTACTGTTCGGACCAGCACGTCGTGACAATGCACTAGACGATGGCGAAGCTGTTCATGGCGTTGGCAGCGCTCTGAACAGTCGAAGTGTTGAAGTGGAACCAGTCTGAGCTGCAGGCGAGGACGGAAACTCAGATGTTCATTCAAATCACGGAGTCATAGAGTGAGGAAGGAGTGTTTGTGCATGTGTGTGAAACTCGAGAAACGGAACCTGCTCATGCACAGCTGCTCAAAGGACAACGGTATGAAGTGAAGCCGACAAACAGTGGCAAAACAATGAAACAGCACAGATTCCCGATACGATAACATGCCTACGTGGGAACTGGAAAGAGGTCGATACGACTGAAGAAAAAACCGAAACAAGTCGTCAGAAGAACACGCGACATTAAGTAATGCAAGCAGTCACGAACTCATGGAGGAGCAACTTAAATCTTACAACCGTCCTGTGTGGGTGAGCTATGGTGGGGTGCAAAGCGGCAGCTCGACCAGCTGGCAGCCATCAACAGCATCACCTGCTTCCGTGAATGACGGAAGACTTCCTGCTGAATAACAAGTGGCCGCTTTGGCCTTGCATCAACTGCAGAGTGCCTACCTAGTCAGAAATCAAGTGGTGGGTCGGCTTCCTCCACGCAGCAAGCCGACTGACATCGCGACTTTCCTCAAATGCGAGGTGATCTGCTTGATCGGCAAGTAACGATCTTCATTGTGATTGCGACATGACAGAATCACCGCTCCAATGTGTCTGAACCTGCCACGGCCGAGAATCTTCCGGCGGCATCCATGCCAATAACACCAAACCATTAAAACTGACGTCTGGTAAAACTAGCCGTGAAGAACAACATGCCATCAACGACCACTGCGTTTGCCAGCCGATTGTTAGACACATGCCAAACAACAAGACGTCAGTACTACAACAACAAGGAACCGCAGGGAAGAGCACAGGAGAATAGAGAATCCGAAGAGCTGAGGATATACATCTACCAGTACAGAAAACGTAATCAGGTACTACACGGCAAGGTTCGCAAAGGGATTAATACCATGCGAAACAGGAACACCAGACCGCATAGCCGTTTCGACTTCTCAATCCCAGTCCACTCCGCAACGCATGTCGAACCTGCAGACATCAAGGTGTGATAGCACGCCACTGCAGAGAGCAGACAACTGTAATGTCGCTTATATTATCCGGAATCTGCATAAACCATTATATCTCATGCACTTTGAAGGTGTAACACGAACAGTCTGTGCCGGATTGAGATAAGCGCATGCTAACACGGTTGAACTTGCAAACATGTAACATGTTTGGGCAATAAATATATATATATATATATATTATAGATATTATATATATATATGAATATGCATCTGATGCATACAGGTGTAGACCGTAGTAGCTGCGCATGCGGCTGCAACTATCGAGCACAGAAGTTGGCAGATTCGTAGGTATCTGTGCACTGTGGGGGTTTGGGCAACTCTGGTCATACCCCCAATACAGCTAACATAAAAATGTGTACATATTCAACTACAACATGAATCCTGTCGGGCCATCTGCACAGGCACGGACTCACGAATGAGAACGGCTGTGACATGATGTAGTCGAGTCTCCAGCGCTTTTTCTTTCCCGGAGGCCGGGCCGATACCGAGACTCTCCACCAGCGGTGGGAGGGTCGGATCCTGCATGACCTCCACAGTAGCAGCAAGCACTTCTCTGAACTTCGGAGCCGGCAACCCAGTTGAAGAGGGCAACGTGTATAGCTGACATGGATAGCAAAACCTTGCCTGCTGCAAGGCCTCCCCCGCATCGCTGAGGTCCTCATCGGCGGCTGCTCGCCTTGATAGCGTTGTCTTAGCCCAGGTGTGCAACCAAGAGCCCGGCACTCTCAACTCCTCGGACCCAACATTTCATGCCACCGAGGCTCTTCAGGTTTTCAGATAGTTTATTCAGCATGGTGAGGCTGTACTCGATGCCGGTTTTCACGGCTGCTTCGTTTCGAAGCTGCGCTGCTTTCATCTTTTCTGACACACGCTCCAGCTTCGCCCGGCTGTGCTCCAGCTCGGATTTCAGCGCGGCGTTCTGCTCCAGGAGCGCAGCGTTCTGCTCTTGGAGCGCGGTGTTCTGCTCCTGAAGCGCGGCGTTCTGGCTCTGGAGCGCGTCTCCTGCTGCACGAGGATGAATAGGGCGAGTGAAGGAGAGAAGAAACTAAGGGCTAATGAGTGACAAAGCGATGCTCACTGAGTAAGCAAGTAAAACCGAGTGAACATGTGAAGGTGGGTATTCACGGGTATTTAAGAAGCCGAATCATCGTGTACGCCTGAAGTGACACTCCAAATTTCCATATCACTCTGTCGTCATGTCTGACATTTTGGGAAGCCTCTCAGCTAGACGAGCTGGTGAGTACCCGTTCACATGTCGCTCTATGTCGCTTTGCTCCCTCGCTAGATTGGGCACCCACTCCCCCAATGCCATCCCCACCAGATCTCTGCAACCTCGACAACCGCACTATTCTCAGCGATTCCTTTCTATGCCCTGGTTCATTCTCATCCCCACTCCCAAGGAAGCATCACGTCTTTCCTGACCTTGCCTGCAGCTGCTCCAAGCGCTAAGACTAAACTTAGCGAGCTTTAGAACTGAGCGCCACACTTTCGGCTTCGTTCTTCTCGGAGGTCTGGCGTGCGTCAGTGAGCTCCTCCTCCAGCACTGTCTTCGCCGCAAGCGCCTCGGCCATGAACTTTGAGAGAACAAGGACGCGACAGAATCGAAAGGAAGGCAGCATGCCGGCCGCCGGCCTTCTCCTCCTCCTTCTCTTTTTCTTCTTGGAGCTCTTCTCCTGCGATATGCACCAATATACGTACAGTAACGGCTGCCAGGATAGGCAGTGCCACCAGAACACACCCTCTACAATGAATGTAAAATCTGAGAGCAACGCTTTCACGGATCGCATCCGTCAGGTTCTGCCTGGCATCCGCCAGTTGCCGCTTGTCCTCACTGGTGCATCGATGCTAATACACCCCTCACTGCAAACTGTCCTGCACAGTGTGCCACATTGCACACGCACACCGAACAGGACAGCGTTCATGGGATGATCACGGTGGCTACTGGTGGCGAAAGGACTGAGAAATCTTGCCGAAATGTCTTCTTGTAGCAATTGCGGAGTTGAGCACCCCCAATCGATGCCAGCCCTCCTGATTCAATCAAGCAAACTTTCTCTAACAGCGGCGCCTCCTCTCTTGCCTCCTCGTACTGGCTCTCCAGTGAGTTCATTTGGTCCCGCAGCAGGTCTTCCGTTGCTCTCGCCTGCGCGAGTTCGCGCTCCAGGTTGGCCATCTTCTGCAAGGTTTCTGGATCGTCCACTGGATCCACTGCAGCCGCTCCCGAGGACGCCGGTGACTGCTTCGTGGTCTGCAAGACCTGGGCCTTGGCTTCAGCTCTTGCAGCCCAGCAAGCTTTTGATAGAAGCTTTCCCAACACTTTTTTACCAGATTCGTGCACATTCCCCTCGGAATCAACCCTTTTAAGGTACTCGGCTCAGAAGTTCAACAACACTTGGAGTCGGCTACAGCTGGATGACGGTCTCTGATGCTCGTTCTGCTCAGCAGGGGTTGGAGGAAAGCTGTCAAGGCTTGAAGAGAGACACACCGGATTTGTCACCCTAAACAGGACTTCGAGAGAAGACATTGGAAAAAAAAACAGTCGATGAGTGGACCATCTGGCGACAAGAAGAACAAGGTAAAGCAAGCCACGTACCGGTGCACGTTTTGGCACAGACTGTCGGCATGGGGGTTCGTGCTATCTGATCTTCCAGCTAGTGGGGTTGCCTTTGAAGGCGGCGGCTGCTGCTGCTTCCGCTGCATGTGCTTCTTTGTTGCTTTGTCTCTGTTGCAACATCGTTGGTAAAGCGCTGCCGTGTGCCTGCTGTTGTGTCAAGATTGCCCTTAGTCTTACATTCGCTGTGCATGGGCTTTGTTGGAGAACTCCTCCGAGTCTATCGACATCTGTCGAGAAACACCCAGAGTGGTTCAGCCACCGCCTGCATTCGCAAGCCACTGAGCAATGTACGGTAGCACATTATAGTATAGTATTATTATAGTATAGTAGTATTTTCGTATATTCTATATTATAGTCATAGTATATTATAATATATATATATATATATATATATATTATAGTATATTATACACCATTGCGTCGAGTCGCTGAGTTCTGCACGACTTGGCGGCACCGGCTTGACACGGCCCCAGCCATGGCCGCAATCATGCCCAGGTTCATGAAGCCGGCGGAGTCTTGCTTTGACCTTGGCCGTTAGGGTTTTCGATTTTTTTTTTGAACGCCTTTTTCCCACCTGGCAGTTAAGGTCGGCGAAACCCCCACAGTTGTGGGGCCGTTAGGGTTTAGAGTTTAGGGTTTCGGGTTTAGGGTTTACGGGAGACTGTAGAAGCAGGCTTCAGGAATACACTCCTCAATCCGAGATACGCCGCAGTATCAGCATATTGCGGTGGCCTAAGAAGCTCTGGGCTCTCGGCATGAGACACTAGGGCAACAAATAGACTCCTGCTGTTGTCATGCAGCGAAACGTCGTTTTGTAAGTTCCTCGCTCGATGCCTGCAGGGTAGTCTGTGCACTCCTCCTTGACGGGCACAGGAGCCTGCCAGGGGAACGCACAGATGCTGGAAGCACAGAGTGGCAGCAAGCCGCCCCATATTCTCGCCTTGGGAAGCGGCGCATTGGAGGTGGTCGCTGCAGCAGATTCAGGCGGCACAGGCGGCACCGGCTCCTCCGTCTCTGCAGCCGGCGGCGCGCATGCAGAGGGTGTCGATCGTTTGGGCCTTAGCAGTGAAGGTACGAGGCGAGAAGTGTCGCAGTACTGCGATGCACAGTAGTTCATTTCATGTCCAAGGCTGGTTACTTCAACGTGAAAGAGACAAGCACGCATTCCTCGGAGTTTGGGTCGGAGCCGTTGCGTGATCTGCTGTCGGCATATGCGCTCACACGACCTTCAAGCGCCCAGATGCTCTTTGCTGGACAACCTGCTGGGGTGTATCCTTGGCTTCACAGTCCACGAAGTTTGGCAGCACAATCCGATCCAAAAGTGGAGAACAGTGGCATGCATGTGTTTGTGCAGGCATGAACCCTTAGCTGCAAAGTCTACGGGATTTGGTCAAAACCCGAGAAGAACCACCTCACCCACCTCGAACAAGAATGAGAAGAAACAGCGGCACGTAGAGACGTAGAGTTGCATTGCTCCAGGCATGCAGGTGAATCTTCAACGGACTTTCTCAGCATCCCGATATCTTGGCGAGCCTCGCTGGCGCCCGCTTCTCTGACGCGCGGCTCGCTGCCGGCGATGCCTGAGAAGCAAAGCCACACAGGCGAAAAAAGCCCAAAGGAAGTGGGGAAGGTTTGGCAAAGGCGAAAATTGACGAGTTCGACATAGTTCTGTGTCTTCGACAACACTGCCAATACTGCCAGAGGAGCCTTGGGCGTTGTTGCGCCAGGCTTCGGCCTGTCGAGGAAACTCAAGTTCTTACATCGAACAGACACAGCTCCGAACTCATGGCCATGCCTTCCACTTTTGGCTATGAGCAGCGCGGAGGCTTTGGTTTTGCTGGGAAGGATCTTCAGCTTGGGTGGACTTGCTGTCTTCAGCTTTGGTGGACTTGTCGTCGGCTTGACCGGACTGGTCTTCGGCTTAGGCGGACTGGTCGTCTTCGGCTTAGGCGGACTGGTTGTCGCCGGCTTGTTGGGCGGTCCCGGTTGTGGCGTCTTGTAGGCCACCTTCGCTTTGGCCGGGATAACGTGCCCTTTGCCGCCTTTTCCGGGCCCACCCTTGCCGGGGGGAGGCGGCGGGGAGACGCCCTTCGCAGCAATAACCTTGCTGAAAACGGACTGCATGGCTAGGGAGTACATGGCAAACTCATAGTTGCCGTGTGTAACATCCAGGGGCTTGCTTGTTGAGCTGTCTATGCAAAGCGCCAGCTTCGTCCACAAGTTCGCGAAAGCGTCTTCATCTCGATGCCTACAGCAGCAGTACTGGATTGACTAGTCTTGCACGTCAGGGCACATAATGTTGGACTCTGCTTGCCGGGGCCGTGTCGGAGTGTTCTACGCGTTTGCCCTCTTCAGCCCTGCTCAGAGCCGCCGGGTGTGCACATCACAGGGAGCTTTCCAGAAGATGCCACAGCGAAACCTTGCTTCATCAAAGTTCAGCCAGCCACAGCACAGTGTTCAGACGCACGTATGCCTGCAAGTTGTGCCGACCAAAAAGATGAAGGTTTCAGTGATACAGATGGCCTGCCCGCTTCGATCTCCGATATCTTCTAGTATCCAGATTGCCTCCGGCAAAGGCCAAATGCGCGATGTGCTTTCATCCCGTTCGTTAGAATAGCGTCACGCCTCCTGCGCTGCTTGGAGTGCTTCGGGGTACTGCTTCGTGGCACAGCGCAGAGCCGCCTCAAAGCTGGTTGGATCTAGCTGTGCATGTTCACTTACATACAGCATGTTGGCCCCGATGCCGCAGCATTGCCTAGGAGCCACACCACAGAATGCAGCATGACAGCCTCCCATGGCAGGTCCTTCGATATCTTCGATAATGTCGATGCTATTTAGACCACTCATTCTCACTCTGTCCTTATGCGGCTGTGACTGTGAGACTCATGGCTAGATTTTGTCCGTTCCGCCTCCAACTCCTTGATGATATCCAGAGCTTGGAGGGCATTGTCCAGGGCCTGACGCCCGAATCTTTCACAATCTCTCCAAACGCTTACGTGCGAAGGCCGCGAACGTGCACGTGTGCCTCTGAAGGTCTTCTCATGTTGTACTGGACGGACGCGATCTGATCCAAGGCAACTGCCTGCACGAAAAAAGTCTGATGCGAGGATTTCCAAGCTGCCCACTCCTACAGCGGAAAGACTTTGCCGACGCTGTATGTGCGTAATCGTCCAAAGTGGCCTCGCCGCGCTTGTACCGCTGACCACGAAACCTGAAGTCTCCGTCACTGCCAGTGCACATCTGGGGTCCGCTGAGGCAGCGGCTGCTCCAGTGCGGCCTCGGCTACCTCGATACCCTTCAGGTCGTTCTGAGCTGTACCTCGGAGCCACAAACAAAGGCTTTGCACGCCTTGGAATTCTCCAGGCTTCTAAACTCTTGGCCCGCTGCAGTGGGCCTTGACGAGCAGCCGCAAAGCATTCGACCTTACCCGGAGACTCTCCACGAACCCCCCCGGCCGTTTCGCTGTTTCTCTTTAAGGCTTCAGCTGTCCCGACAAGCTGTTTTTGGCTCGGTAGATGGCCATGGCATCTTCCGCTGCCTGGCTGGAGGGTGGAAAAATTCTGATCCTGCAGATCCTCTGCCTTCCAGCCTGCAGCATCTTCATGTCATCCTGCAGAGGGCATGTGACGCCAAACCAACACCAGCATCTTCAGTCCGTGGCACTGTCGCCTTGCACGACTTGTGGAACTCGGCAAGGCTCATGAGCTCTGCAGCCTGTGAACTAGGGCAGTGTCGTGCTGTATCATGCTCCTGCTCGCTTCGTTCACGTGCACAGGAACCAGGATGCTCAGGATGCTTCATTTTCGGACCTCTGGGCAACACTACAGCAGCGCACAAGAGTGGCTGCCAATGGACTCACAGCTGTCCAGTATTGCAGAGCATCGCACAGCCAACTCTCCAGATTGGAGCCCTCTCTGCCAACGATACTTTGACCTCCTTGACCTCTTGTCTTTTTGTGATTCCGTATGATCTCCGATGTCCGGATCTGGCTTCGCCTCGGAGGAGGCCTCCGAGTCCAGCTCGAACGCCGAGCTTCCTGCGACCGCATGTTGTCGACTGTCTCCAGCCCGAATCTGCGGGCCGGTAGCCACTAGTAGCCACGTCACATCTCTGTGGCTGCAGTTTATGTTCCTTGTCGCCAAAGCTCCAGCTGAGGAAGCATCGCAGCGGTTGCTAACCATGTCGTGCTGGCCGCTTTGCTGAAGCGAAGCCACCAAGCCACTCCAGACCAGAACAAAGTATCTGTAGACCCGCGGTGTAGTGGGGCTTCCTCGCCGTTCGACTCGATGGCATACTCGTACTGCAGAAGCACCACCTTTTGTGCATGTGGTGTGGGCACTCCTTGCTGGCATCGCACAACTGTCCTACGCTTACCGCAGGCTATAGGGGTTCGGTTCATACGGCCGCATGTTGAAGACTGATGTTCCATCCGGAAGACTTCCTACTGATCCAAGTGTCTCAACCGGTGCCAAACTCTGTTGTCCAGCACCAAGATGTCTCCGGCCAGCGCAGCCACGTTGTCGAGGGTGACCTCTAAAATCCCCATAGGGCGCGCTTGCACTTTACGTTACTTTGCATGGGTTTGGCCCTCGTTTTCCGAAGCTCGAGTTGAGCCACAGCATGCGGGTGTAGTGTGATTCATTTTGGACAATCCGGACACATGTTTCAAGCTCACGGCACCACCACACGTCTGGATGGTGGCTAGTTCTGACACGATGTGCGATGACATGCGCAAGGCAAACGTGGGAATGGCTGACAAAAGGAGAAACAGCCTGCACTGCGAACCTGTGCCGTTTTGCGGGCTTGCAACTCATTCCGACCGCATCGTTCGAGAACTCAAGCACTCTTCCGCTGTCAAAGGGTTTTCGTACATCTTTCTCAAGTTACTACCAGATACCACCACTCGCATAGAAAACAGACTCTGGCCCCATTATTGCGAGGACATCTGAAGCTGAGGCTGATTCCCCGGCTATGTTTCAGCCGTCAAGGCCTCCTGCAAGTTCCACCCCTTCAGCCCTTTGTGGGAGCCGGCGATCACCTCCAGCTGCGCGAAGCCTTGGGCCATATCGACGAGAGGCACCACCACAGAGATACCCTCTGCTGACCCTGTTGCAAAATCCAAGTCAAGGTCTGACCATGTCCAAGAGCTTCCGGGCGCGCGCCCGGAAGCCGCACCCGAGTCCGCCCACAGGAGCGATGCTTGCTTCAGCGACAGGGAATCACCCTGCCGCACCGGGACCGGGACCGGCCTGGGCCTGGGACGCTCCTCCTCTTCCACCTCCCCCTCATCTCTCTGACTAAAGCTGCTCTGCTGGAGCTGCGCTTGAAGCACCGGCAGCCAGAGCTTCTCAGCCGAACGCAGCGTGGCAGCAGTCAAAGCCTGAATGCAGTCATGCTGAGAGTCGTGCTGCTGCCAAAAGCTGGTGCTGCATGCTGCTGCATCATGCCACCCTGCGACATCAAGTTGCCACAACCAACTGAGAACGCGGCCAAGTCAGGAAGGCGCCATGCAGCATCCGTGCTCAGCAGGTCTGTCGAATCGTGGCTGCTGTGCCACGACGCGCGGTGAGCTTCGTGCATCAATTGGGCCACATCAGGCATAACTCCTTCTTCAGTCAGCTCTTCCCTGTGATAAAAGCACCACGTATGCCACCCGGCAACACCTCTCGGCATCTGCTGGGGCGAATTTGCATCCGCGTCGTCTTTCTTCTTGAAAGCCAAAGGCCCGAACAGGAGCAACGACAGTGCCGAGCCCCAGGGACCCAAGCGAGAGTTCTCCGCCTCCGTAGCTTTCGGCTGAACCGCAACGTGAGCAACGGACCAGCCTTCGCTGAGCTCCTCCGGGTCGAAGCGCAGCGAGGGCGTGCACTGACCAATCCTGCATGGGGGATCCGGCGAGCGTGGGTAGGCCGACCGGGCGTTATCTTTCACAGCCTCTATAGACTCTAGACACCCGCCTGGAACAGGCTGCATCGAGGAGCGCCTTCAGGGTTGGGTGCTGCATCGACTGCATAACCGATACCAGGTAGCCAGAGGATTCACCAACCAATGCCCCGGCCAGGAATGAGCCAGGAATAAGCAAAGGCATCGAAATTGCAGAACCAATGGCTGCACCAAAGACATCTAGGTTCAAACCACCGGCAGGAGTGAGCAAGGAACGTCCCTGAAAGGTGATGCCTTCAAGTACCCTGGCGAAGGGCCTGCAGTACTCCTGTCCCCTTTCACGCCGAAGTGGCACCACGTTGGCCATCACGGCAACGCCATGCACATCAAGGCATCCACCAAGAGCCACTACATCTGAATTGGAGTTCAACCGTAACCCAGCCGCAAAGCTTTCTTCTGGCCGCGAGTCCGGCGGACTTGAGTGTCTGTAGAACATGTAACCAGCACCGCCTACTGCGCAAACTCCTGCGTGGCTCAGCCAGCGCCCTGCAAACCTCACAGCCCTCTTCATGGATTCGAGCGGTAGGTCTTGAATTTAGAAGGGGTGGCTGCAAAGCCTTGGTACATCACAACAGCGTGCTTCGCGCCCCACCAGTGCTGATCTCTCTGGCCGAGACCATGGCGCAGGGATAACCCCGTAAAGGGCCAAAGCAGCTACAGCGCACAAAGCTCAAGGCCAGCCCCCAGCCCCATGTGCCCAGGATTGCCCAGGCTCGTAGTGTGCAAGATTTGGGGGGCCTCTTGGCAAGCCAGGCCGAGCTCGCTGAAGATTGCACAGGCCTTGGACTGAATCCGTCGCCACAGCTTGGGCCTGTGCAACACACCTGGCCTCGCTGGAACATCGCACGGCCTGATCACCCAAGGGTTTTGCAATCAGTACTTCGAAAGTAATTCGATGACTCCGGCCACCTCCATCACCTCATTGTTGAGGCTCGCCGCCGCGGCTAGATAATGCAGCGCCTGATCCGCACCGCAACCAACCATATGATGCCATGCAACTCTCTGAAATCTGTTGCCCGTGGTAGTTGGGGTCGGGGACTCAGACAGCGCCTTGGCTTCTCCTTTCCGGTCCCCGACTTGCTTGAATGCCTCCAATCCGAGAATCCGTCAGGGCCTCTTGCCTACGACAAAACCGAGCGGTCCGCTTCGGCACCTCTACTGCAGCTCGCGCGGCCCGTAACATGTTCTCACCTTTCTGCGTGTTCTCGTAGCTCCGCGCCTGTCCAACAGCTTGCGTCTAGGAAAGGGGGGTATATTTTCGAAGCTCAAACGAAATTGGCTACGAGACTTCGACCGAGGCCGTGGCCAAGGTGACCAGCCCTTCGGCCTGCACCGCCCGGCGCAAACACTGAAGTGTGCACATTATGTGACACAGCATACTACAGCTACAAGCACTCAAGACATTCTAGAAAGTGAGCCTCCCAGGCACGGTCCTTGAGCTGCTGCACCTGGGGTCTTGCAGGCTCACCAACGTGCGACGCGCTGGGAATGCCTCTGCTCCGTTCCCGGCTTGGGCTGGAACCATGGCAAGGGCAGTCTTTGCAAGGGAAATGACCTTGCAGTCTGCTGCGCCCTCTTGTGGGAAACTACTATAATGGGCTGGGAAGGGGACCTCCTTCGGTCGGACTGCCTGCAGCAGCTTCAGGTCCACCAAGGACATCATCATTGCGGCCTCAAGCGGCAAGGTTGTCAAAGAAAGGGCTGAGGGCGCTTGAAAGACCGAGCCTCCCCTAACTTGTTGCCATTTGCCCGACACCTCTCCAGCTCCTCGACACCATGCAGGGAAGAGGTGCGACTTCTCCGACGGAGCTGATGGAGGTGCTAGGGCAAGGCGTGCAGGTCAGCCCACTTTGACTGGAGAACCTCTGTACAGTGAAGGCTCAGCTAAAAAATTGAGACGGTCCTACTTGGTCTACGCCGCGGTGAGATTCAGATGCCGGTGCACGGAGCGATTTCTCCACCTATTCCCACCAGCGAGGAAGGTTTGGAAGCAGATCAATGCCAAATTGAGAGGCCAGCAGAGGGCGGCCAATCACAAAGTAGCCCGCAAAGGTTGAGAAGACATTCAAAAACAGCCACGCCCCAATGATCTGAAACCTGGCTCCGAGAGCCAGGCCAATTGGAGCAGCATCAACTTTACCACCCGAGCGGCATTTCTCCAGGAGCTCTTCCACTTCACGACGATTAGTCACCAGCCACGTGCCCCCTGCAAAGGTGTTGAAGACTGTGTCGATGGCCTTGTCGCTTTTGGCACCTCGTTGTTTCAGGCGCGCACGGAAGCCCTCTCGATCGATGGAGCCGACGTTCCCCGGCCAAACGGTGCCCATGTCGCAGAGCTCCAGGACCTGCTTTGTTTCATCTTCGGGGATCGAGAAATCCACCGCCCACGCGAAAGGGTTGTAGTCGTAGTCCCCCGTCGCAGCCCGCATCGTGGCCCGCATCCTGCGTGCCCGGAGTCTGTTCTCAGTTTTCGGCGCTACGAAACTGCTCGCAAGTCTCCAAGTTAGAGAGAGGACCATCGCGAGACATAGTGCCGCAAGGAACTGGCCTGATCGGCCTGCCATGAGAAGCTGGCAATCCTACGACCTACCAAACAGCTTCGGGCCAACGCTTCCCGAGATCTCTGCACTGTCCGGCTTGCGGTATCTCAGAAGACATTGTGTTGCGCAGCGACCTCGGAGGCCCGGTTGTAAGCCGCATCCAACTCGTCGCGGCCCTGCCAGCGCTAGGTCCATTAGCTGGGTAGCCGAGAATAGGCCTTGGCACGATTAGACCAGCAAGCCAAAAAAGATCCAAAAAGCAAGGTCTCGAGAGCAACGTCCGAAGGCTCTTTCAGCATGCATGAGACCAGGAACCGAAGCTTGAAGCAGCATCTCGCATGACAGAAGCCCTGGGTCACAAGAAACACGAAAGAGCATGGATGCCTGGTAGGCAGACACGATGCACCGTAGCGCTCGTGCCACGCCACTCCTGCGAAGCTCGCAGCAAGCCAGGCTGATCGTGCATGTGGCCTGTGCGGCGCCTATCTCCGATTTCTCTGAACATTTGAAGCGCGTCTTGAGCCGCCTTGTTAACTTTCCAGTCGCGACACAGTGACATGGCTGTAGGTTCTGCTCGCTCAGGTGGCGACCCTTTCAGCTGCCTGGTGCAATCGAGGGTGTCACAGTGACCGCAGTCAAGGGGGAGTATGTGCGAGTATGCCGGGCCTGAAACGCCTCTTCATCGCATGCCTCCTGTGCATCTTTCAGAAGCGACCGAGCCTGGCAGCATCGGCGAGGCTTGCGCCGCTCCAGATTCTAGCCAGACAGAAGTTCGGGAGCTGCTCTGCCTCTTTCCCAACCTGCGCCCTGTTTTCATCCAGGGAGTCCAACTGGGCCGGTCCATCCTGCGAGCATCCGGCACCGGGTGATCCTGGCCTCTCGGCACCGTCTGAGGCATCGTCATCCGCAAGATCGCAGAGCGAGATGTTGCGCTTGATGACCTCCCATCCACAAGCAGACGAATCACGAGGTGGGCCTCGGAAGCACTGCACGGCCTTGGGAGTCGCAGTTCTCGGGGAACGCAGCGGCCGCGGAGATGCAAAGGGCGACACAGAGCGGGGAGGCGCCATGGCGACCCTGCTCCTAGAAGTTCCAACTAAGCACGGCTGGGAGATGCTGCTACGAGTAAAGCTAGTACATGTGGCTAGCAGAAATAGGGCTGCTCGCTGCTGCCACTGCCACCATGAGTTCTCTAAACAAACTCAAACTAGTACCTAAAACGCCCAGGCCTCAAGAGTTGCTTGGCTCTCTTCAATTCGGTGTCTGGCCATATGCTTCTTTCAGCTGCTAGTATAAGCGAAAACATTCAGGTGCCAAAGACAGGATGCCATGGCGTGTCATGTCTTGCAAGCTGGGAGCAACCGCACATGATGCTTGCCTTTCAAAATGCAAGAAGCATCTAGCCACACTGGCAATCTGCTGGCAATCACATCTAGCAGCAGATCTCGTCATCCATTTTGCCCGCACGTCACGTGGTTTTTTGACGAGGTCTCCTCAGGGGTGCAATGAGACCTCAGTCGCACAACTCTGCCACCCGGATCCGTTGATACCAAGTTGCTCGGGCCGGGGCGCTGGGCTACTTTCTCCTCGAAGGCTTCCTGTGAGAAGCGATCCCCTTGGCAAGCGCTGACGATCGGTACTGGCTATGTGCCATCGCTGACATCGCTGTCGCAGCATGTCACAGCCGAGGCTTCTACGGACTGCCTCTCGAGCAGCCTCAGCTATCTTGCGTCGATCTTCTGTACCTGAGATGTCTGCCATTACTATGATTGGGCCCGTATAGAAGCGAGTGACAGCTGCCGCACTTGTCTCGTCCAAAGCTTCGCGAAGTTTGCGAGCATAGTCCGCATCATCCTAGTGTGCCAATCAGCCGACATGGTTCCGACCCCACACTGTAATCCTTGGGAAAAGCTGAACTGAGGCTTCTGCGCTTGCGAGCATACCTGTCCGCCGTCCATCTGCCAAAGGTGTCACCTCGCAAGGTGTGCGCCGTTCCACTTTCTGAGTGGCATCTGAATCAGGAAGCCAGAAATCCACACTTCTCAAGGGCAGTGCAATATCCATCGCGGGACCAGCAGAGTTGTGAGCGATGACCTGGGCTGCTTGAGCTTTGCGCTGAGCTGCTGCAAGTAAGGCCGAGAATCACACTTCCTCGACCAGATTTGCAGTGAGCCCAAGCGAAAAAAACAAGAAAAATAGGCTTGACGAAATGTCCTGTCAGCCTGAAGGCATCCCTAGCATGCCAAAATGACATAGGGTGGTCAGCGACAGGCCTCCCCTTTGAGTCGGATCTCAGAGCAGTTAGCCACACGAAAATCCAAAATCATAATGATTCGGCGATACGGACCATATGCTTGCAATCAATGTACTCATGATTTCCGCGAATGACGAGTCAGTGGACATATTGCGTCTAGACCACAAATTTACCCCGTGCTGCGAGCACTGTGCACCCTTCACAGATTCAACACACATACGGGCCGATCTACGGCGACATGCGGCCACAGAATCACGTCGAGAAATGTGTCGAGGTGTCAAGGCCGTGGCAACGGCACCGGCAGCCATGAATTCCACCACCGAGATTCCGAAGTGCTCGTCACGCATGGTGTGAAGCCCTCGTCGCGCACCCAGCTTCATCGAACAGACCGATCACACATGGCAAAGCTCAGGCTGTGACCCACATCCGCTTGAGACAACAAGCTTTGCATCTCCTGTCGCAGCCACCAGCAGGCAAACCGAAGCCGCCACAAATCCAGTCTGGCCGGACAACTGTGATCGCCACGTCGGTACTCGCCCTTCCTAGTGTGATGGTCGTCCTTCAAGGGCACATTGGTCCGGAAGCTGACCTCAGGTTCTACCAAACCTCATAACAGTCATAACACCCATGCACCCCAAACCCTGCTGCATCATCGAAAACCCAAGGCCCAAGCATCCCACTCTCGACCACCGCCCTCCTCGCCCTCCTCGTGCAATCCCAGCCTTAGATCATGCACCAAAGGGCCTCTACGACCCGTGCAACGCAACGACATGATGCACCGACACCATCACATCTACACTCCATCAGACTCCACCCCCTCGGCCATCCATGAGGCCGCCACTCGCTGCAGAGCTTCCGCAAGGCCTCGACCCGCCGGCGGTCGCCATCATCTCGGCCTTCCCAAAGCAAACTAGCACGACTTCGGCCTTCACGCCCTTTGCACGAGGTCACGAGGCAAATGGCCCCTGAGCTCCTGACAGCCTCCAGCAAGGACAAGCCGCACATCTGGACTTCCACTGCCTCGTGCTGCAAAAGGAGGAGAGCGGCGCCCCTCTGCATACGACGTTCGCTTCCCGTGCCCTGGGGGCCCCGGACCTCTCTGCTCTCTGTACTTGGCAAAGGACCGAAGCCTTGGCCAGGGCTTAGGCCTGGGCCTAAGCTTAGAAGCTGTCAGAAGACTTCTGAAGCCCGCTTCAGCCACCGGCTGGAGGGCATGGTTCTTCTCTGGTCGAAACCTAAGGGCATAAGGATCTCGCAATGGTTCTTACGTTGGCTGGTAGGGCACCGGACTGAGCAAGGGAAAGCACCAGCTTGCCAGAGAAGTCCTCCACGAGACAGTGAGGAACGGCGCAACCCAAGTCACAGCACGAGGAGAAAGCACCGCAGTCTTTGCAAGGAATCCTCCGGGTCAATGTGCCCAGGCAGAAAGAAGCTTTTCTCGAAAAAAGAGCACTCCTTCTTTGCCCTGTCGAGAGGCAATCCTGCCAAAACCGCCTCGGTCAAAACACACACACACACACAGATGCACCTGAATCTCTCTGTGCTTGGCTTTGCAAGTGGGGCAGAGGCTGTGTCACACGGCGGGTAGACTGTGCAGGTCCTGTCCGGCCTCGGCGACATCAAGCTAAGATGATCAGGATGCATCCTACGGCAATTCTTATCTTAACGCATATCCTCTTCGCCGATTGGCCTGTGTCTTCACCAGAAGATGGGAGCGCTACTAAAATGCTACTTAAGGCACTGCGCAGGACCAGCGTGCAAACGGTCTGCAAATGTTTCTTCTCTCGCTGTGCCATGCTTCCCACGTCAACCGCTCACAAGCCGTACCAGGCTTCAGGCACAGCCCACAAAGTGTCAATGTGGCCGCGAGTCCACGAGGAGTTGACGAGGACCACCTGAGAGTGGCCAGTTCTGGCGGCACGATCGCTTGAACTCGTCGCTGTGGGGCCCTCGCGTTTGCAGATTTCCTAAGAGCACATGCGATCAAAAAATGACCAGTGAGAGAAGACGCCATCCAAGGCTCTAAGAGTAACAAGCTGTCCGATTGACCAGGTGCCAGCGAGAGGCCCGGCCATCCCATACAGCGCGGCAAACGCCTTGTAGTACAACCTGTGCAGGTGCACTCGTCACACGTCCACTTGTCCCGTCACACTGCTTTCGGATGTTCAATGGCAGGCCAGAGCCGCAACTTCGCCGCGGAAAGTATGCTAGAGCGTGCGACCATGGCATCGTTGCACACGGCATCACTTCCTTAGCATGGTTCCGTTGCGCATGTCGCTCAGGCGAGTAGGGCTCAGGACCCAGCTGCGGCCACGAACCTGTGCAAAGCGCCACCCTTCGTGTCATGCCTTGCGGTGCTCACCAGAGCTCACCTGCTCCAACATATCTGTCGAGATGGTGGGGTAGTGAACCTGAGCTTCCGTATGATTCAGGTCGTGTACTGGATACTGTACCGGACTAAACTTTCTCTGTCTTTGTTTTGTTGGATTGCAAGCAGGCCGCGTAGCATCCAACGCGGCAGCTGCTCAGCAAGCGAAACAACGGCAGCGTGAAGGCGTAGCCTGGCAAAGCTCGTGCTGTCTCGGTTTTCTAGTTGTTGCAGAAACACAGCAAAGCAGAAGCAGGAAGAGCAAATCGCAAGCACAGCTACGGAACACGATGTGACGACGCAATGCAGAGCAGTTATACATACTTTTTACATGTCGACTAGTCTGCGAACGCTCCGGCCGGACGTTTAAGTAATCGCAGATGGCCCGTCTAAGCAACACCAAGCAGCGTCAGATGTCAACCCAAGCCACGAGTGCCCATCGAGTCTATGTACACGTCTGGCTGGAATTGGCAGATTGCCTCCCAGCCTCAGCTCCGCGCAGGTCGAATCTCCCAACCCCCACGCGGCTCGCTGATGTCGGGCCCATGGCCGAGGACCAGCGAGCCCAAGCCTGGGGGGAAATCCGGCGCCGAGTTTTTGGAGCACGACGTGGACATATATGCGAGATTCCGAAAATAGGGGACCCTGATATAGTGATATAGTACCCTAATAGTAGGATCCTTATTATAAGGACCCGAAAATAAGGTACCCCTAAGTTTCGAAAACTCGCATGGACAAAGCTGAAGCAGCTGAAGCAGGGACTCTGTCCGATCAGAGTGAAGCGAGGCCTTGAGTCTCAAAGCACAAAGCACGCGCATCACAGAGGGCACTCTTTGGGAGTATGCCCATCTACGAGTTTAAAGCCTGGCAGTCAAATTTCTGACCCGTTGCTCAAAGAGGTGTATGTGTATATCGCTGACTGTACACAAGGCCCGAAGAGATTAGAGTGTTGTGTTTTGCTGTTGGTCGGGGAAAGGGGGTGTTCGGGCCCAAACAGAAACAAAACACCCCCCTCTCCGACAGCAAAACAAACACGTCTCCCCGCGCCAACGGCAAACATAAGCCACACACACACACGCAGCAATAGCAAAAAGGAAAAGCAGCGCGCACCAACAGCAAAAAAAACAAAAACAAAACCCTTCCCCCCTCCCCACACCAACATCCTCGGCACCGATAGAAAAGAAACATTAAAGAAACAGAAACTAACCCACCCACCGACGAGGTGCATCTTTGCTGTCGGATCGTTTGTTTCGCTGCTGGTGCCGTGGGGGGGGGGGGGGTGCTTTTTCTGCTGTTGGTGCTCTGGGAGTGCTGTGGGTGCATGGGGGGAAAAGGGGGCGGGGTGTTTCTGTTGGTGCGGGGTGCTGTTTATGTGCCATGGTTGCGCGCGGGGGGGGGGGGGGGGCTGGGCGGGGTGCGTTTCTGTGCTGTTTGAGCCCGAATTGGCAGTTCACTCCACTCACTTGCCGGTTTGCCGGTGCTTCACTCGCCACCGCACGTGCGAGGTTTGCACGGCTCATGGTCCTGACACTTCTTGGTCGTCCAAAGCGAGAGGTGACAGATTTGAGACGAACGCGGCTTCGCAGCCACGACATCTATAAACGGCTCTACTCAGGGCCGTACCATGAGGAAGCCTCAACCCAGTGCCTCTTGGTCAAGAAGACGAAGTGGACACCTGATCGCAGCTGATAGCAAAACATGGAGCAGGAGCCATGAGAGCCAAGACATGTGCAAGTGCCAGTGCACCTGTTGCATTGATAGTCAAGCCAAATCGTTGCTGCGCCTCGGCGGATGGATTGGGCAGTCCTCGTTTTGCCATCTTATGACTTGTGCCCTATAAGTAGCCTACTTCTACTGACTACTGTTACGTACTTACAGTCTCATGATATCCCTACGTACACTCGGGCCGGGGCAGTCTCAAGCAACCCTGCGGCGGTGACATCTGTGTCCCCTGTGTACACCACGCAGGCCACCTAACACTAGTTTTGGGAGGGGGCTCTGGCATCCGAAACACTCAGCAAAGAATGATGCTGAGCATTCAGCACCGGGGTGGTTTTGCTGCACAGATCGTATGCAGCACCTACGGCAGGAATTCGCTGTGTGACTTGCTGTCATGGACAAAAACCTGGGATGCACGCCACAGAACTCGCTCGCCGCCACCGCCGGCGTTTGCGTAAGGATGGAAGAATGCCTGACACCACAAAAAGGCCTTTCCCAGGCCCAATGCCCAGGCCGCGCAGCTTTCGCAAGATATGCAATCGAAGCTTGGGGTTCCAGCCACTGTTTCCTGCCCCCTCAACGCCTGGGGAATGCAGAGGCAAACACGATTGATCATGCCGCAGCGTGGCTTCTCCCGCCTTGGAGACCGCGGAGTTTGCTGCCGACTGGGAAGCTCTGAACCTCAACCTTGGCTCTGCCGGATGACCGAAACCCTGCATCCACCACAGCGTGACTCTGTACACCTGAGCTTCAGGGAGCGACAAGAGGATTAGCAGGAGCGGCGCGCCGATCAACAGCACGCCACCTTGCATCAGAGCGCCCCGTCGCAGTGCAAGAGCAGTGTGACCAACGCACTGGTGGTGGCCGGTTCTCAGCATCACGCAGGCTAGCAGCAGGGTGCCGAGGTCCAGCATGGCTTGAGTTTCTCCACTCTGAATATACGCCAAAGGCTTGCAAATCTGTGCTAGGCCGATGTTGGCCTGGCCCTTAACCAGTTTGTGAGCGTTGGGCACCGACAGCACCTGTTCCCTTGGCCTGCTTTGTTCTGCCCAGTCTTGCCGGCCGCTAGCCTTCTTCCTCTTCTTCGAGGATTCGAAGGTCGTAGAGCTTTGGCTACATGTCATGATGCGGCGGATCCGTGGCGGGAGGAAACGGTTCATGCAGGCGCATGCTAAAAGGAATGCGCTCCTGGCTGCGACTTTGAGCCAGAGACCACTCGGACCAGATCTTCATCGAAAATGTCTGGGAGCCAGGGAGAAGGTGCATTCATCATCTGATCGTAAAGATTCCTAGGTCCTAGGCAGCCTGCCATACCGCAACTGCCGCAACTGCCAGATTCGGAACTGACTGCCCTTGACACGACAGCTTCAACAGAACCAATTCTTGTTGCAGCTCTTCCAGCGCCACCTGCAAATCAAAATACCTCAACCCAAGAGAAGCGGAACCCCGTCTTTTCAACCAGCCATGCTTGCAAAGGTTAGCTCCCAGAATCTCTGACTTCTTGGGACATCTTTGGCTCTACGCGAAAGCCTCGTCCAGGCGGCCTGAAGGCGAGGTTCTCTGTGCATCTCCAGGAGGCCAAACAGCCGAGCCAAGCACCAGGTCCCGTCACCGACACGCGCACCTGGCCGAGACCATCCCCTCAGACCTCTTGCAAAGCAATGCCGATCGTCGTAGGGGGATGGACGGGGAACTCTACATCTTATGGGGCTTTCTCACTTTCGGTTCCGACTTTTCGGACGCGGCTGCAAGCCCATGCCAGCCCGCGGTACTTTAAACCGGCATCTTGAAGCCTTGGTGTCTGTTGCAGGTTGCTGGGAGTAGGAGCAAGTGCTCCGAACACAGGTCTGCGCGACATATCGTCCTGAGCTGTCGCCAGCCCGGATGCTTTCAATGCGCCGCCTCATCTTTCGCCCCACAGCATGAAATTCCGAGTCGTCGCCATGGTTGAGATGAGGAAGCACACAGAGAGAAATCTGAGCTTCGAGGCGCAATCGTGCTCGCAGCAACCTCATCTCTCAGTCGACGAATCGATGAGCCGTATCAGCAGAGGCCTGTCTCGTGAAGTCTCTCCGGGCATCCTGCCGTGGCGGAGATGCACTGGGAGGACCTAGCAGTAGCAAACGGATGTGGGCACAAGAGCGTTGGCCCCCGCCATTCACTAAACGTGTCTGGGAGACGGGGGCTGGCCATCCTTGCCGGTTCGGAGAGACACGGCATGCTGCCAATCCGAACATCGCGCCTCCGTCTCCACGAAGCCCTGGAATGCGAACAAAGACGGCTGGCCCATGAGGCTCTGGAGACCTCCAGATCAAGAGCGGAAGCCCTTTCGGAAGCCTTCAGGAAGACCTTAGTGCCCTCAAATTCTCGGCCTGACAGACTGACGATCAGGAGCTTTGGACTTCCCGCAAGCCGGGCCTCGAACGCTGGGTTTTGAGGCAACTCGGGAACCAAGGTGATGCTTGCCTTTCCCAGGCCCAGCCGCTCAGCCGAGTTGACCCTGCCAATGGCTTAGAGAGCTTAGGCTTGCAGGGGAGAAGGCGTGCGGAACGAGACCACTCACACAGCAGAGTGCAAAACTGTTTCTGCAGGTGCCAAGCGCCACCTTGGGCAAAATTTCGCGCGGCACTGTGGGTAACCCGAGCCCCTTGCACGGTCAGACAACCAGTAAGGTTGACAAACAAGGCATCTAGACACGGGCCAGTTCCTGGCCGAGGTCCGCCTAGGTCCATGATCAGATTTGCCTCTCATTCCGTTCTCATTTGCCTTGCGCTGTCACGAAGCACACGCAAAGCAAAGACAGCACAAGCATGGCTACCACCGCAACACCGGACCGGCCTTGCATCCTTGCACGTGCCGATTGACGTGCGTGCTTCCGGTCGTGCGCCTTGTTCGCACGGATGGCGGTTGCAACCTGCAGAGCCCCGAATGTTCAAGTTGGCAGGACACCAGACCAGGAGAGCTAGGCCCTTTCGGCCATACCTCCCTGGTCTCGTACAGGTCTCTACTCAACAATGCCAGACCCTCAGCTGGCTTGAACTTCGGTACCAAGGGGCATCTTTCAGGAAGGCAGACTGCAGCAAGTTGTGACCAGCCTTTCAGCACCGACACAAGCGTACCCATCAGTCAGCACTCCAAGCCCAAGGAAGACCAGCTGCTCACTGCGGACCATCCGGCCTTCGGGAATTCGACGTTCTGGACCTCCGCCAAAGACAGCTTCGCGGCGTGGTCCTGCACGGTACCGTTGCGCCCCAAAATGCGCAAACAACAGTGCTGCATCGCGCCGTCGTCATCTCCATAACCCCGACAAAAGCCAGCCCCGACAGCCAGCTGCGGTCCTTTTGATCGTCCGGCTTTTTCTGCTTCTCCTCCGCGGCCAAAGTCCCTGACTTGCTCAGGTCTGATCCAGCTCCGCTCTGAGGCATCAAAAACTTCCCAACTATACTTCAGACCTGCGACACTGCTTGAATTCATGAAGACGATCGGTGGCATTCAGGCCATGGCAAACTCACCGCAGACTCGGGAGCTCATTACACGCCAAGCGGCCGGAGGCACGCTGCATACTGCTCTGCAGCAGGGAGAGGGACTTGGCTTCTTCAAAGCTGGTCCCGAAAGGACGGCAGTCAAAAGCTTGCAGGCTCCGCGCAACTGACTGAGTCAAGCAGCGCACTCGGTGCAGTTCTCTTCAGTCTCGGTATGGAATTCCCCCTGGGAAGTATGAAAAAGTAAGTGGCAGGCCCGTATGATCCCATATGTCAGGATCACAGGTGAGAACTGCATGAAGGAATGCGACACGTAAGCGAGATCATTCTTTCGAGCCTGCACCAATGCCAGGCATAGTGTCACCTTGGACAACTTGGACACGATTCAGCAAAAGGCTCCAGGACCGTCGAAATGGGAAGAGGGCGAGGCCCACCCAGGCCCACTGGTTGTTCTTGGGCCAGGACCCAGACGAAGGGACGAAAGGCCAGCATGGGGTCAGCTTGGATGGTACCTGAGCTACGTTGCATGCCTGCTTGCCGCTAGCCCCTAGCGATAGTCCGACCATACCCCGGCCCTCCACCAACGAAACGAGGACCAAGGAACGATAGGCAGCTGGATGAGCACACCGCTCAGAGATGAAAGCGTGTCTCTTTGGGCCGAAAAGTTGTCCAAGCCGAGACACATCCGGTACTGCATGACATAGACACAAGCCGCAAGTGCATGAAGCCTGAAGCTGTGGATGAAGCAATCGCACTCCGCAACAGTCTTCTCCAAGACCTATTGGGCTTACGGTTCGCCAGGACTTGCCAAGCTGTTGGGAACGCGAATGGAGCTGGTGCCACTGGTGCCTGCCGGGCCAAGGGCAACTCCAGGTCAAGCGCCTCAGCGCCGCGCTCTGATCCGCTGTGCATCGCTGTGCTCGATTCATCTCCGAGTCCTTTTCCGGGGATGCGGCCAATGGCTGAGGCACAGAACTCCACCAACTGGAAGCTGCCCTTGTAGGACTTACGTTTGGTGGACAGAGCACAGCTTCTGAGGTCAGCGGGATTCAGCGGGTCTGCCAAACGCCCGGCAAATGCTGAGAACTGTGCCCGCTGCACTGCTGGAAAAGCTCTGCTTCACCTCGACTAGCTACTGGGTAACACAGGTCTTGCTATGTCTTGCGTGTAGACACAGTAACAGCGCCCGAAGCAAGAGCCCGGCTCAATTTCGCTCCTGGCAAAGGGTCAAGCCTGCAGCGATGCGCTTGGCCCCCCCTCCAATCATGCGACAGGCTTAGCAATGGGATGTAATCCCGCCAGCGTGGTAAGCACCGGGCTCAAGCTTCAAGACCTTTCACACTTGCCACTTGCTGCTTGACTCGCATCAGTAGGCAAGTGCTAACATCCTCCGCTGCACGACATCAAAGAACCCGGAGAACATCGGCCTGAGCTCCCCAAGCAGCCAACGACGCTGCAGAGAAGGGACCTGCGGGGAGGCTGCACGCCTCAACCTCATCGACTCATCTCAGTGCACTGATGCGGTGGATGTGCACGAACTGCAGCACCGACAGGGCTAAGCCTGCCACGATTCGCACCTGCTCAACAGAACGCACTCCAGCTCCTGGCGAGCCTCCACATCGTCGTACATCTTGGGCTCCCACCCCGTCCAGCAGACGAGGTTTTTGCAAACCTGTCTCAAACAAAGTCTACCCGTCTACCGCCCCAAAGAAGAGATACCGAAGTCGTCCAGCTGTGCCCCTTCGCTCCTGCAATGCTTTTGTCTCTGCGCTACAAGGCGCTGCAGCTTGGCTTCGAAGCAGCTTGACACCATTGCCGGCGCAGGGCGTCTCCTACAGAGTCTCAGGCCACACGTCGCGCACACCTTCCTGACGCCTCTCGGCTTCAGTGAATGCCACGGGCCGTGGCAAAGGACCTCATGGCGGACACTCCGCCGGCCGAACTAAATCGGGCCTCACTGCACTGCGACCCTCAGCTTCGCTGAGAAGAGTCGTATGGGCACGTCATGCACATGCGCACGGCTGCAAGAAGTCCCTGGCAAGTTTCTCAAAAGTACTGATGACAAGCCACAAGGCACGTCAGAGACAAACAGGTCATGCCAAAGAATGATGTCGACGCACTTGACTGACTTGTGCAGGGACCACTGGAGCACTCTTTGGCTGCATGCGCTGCGCCGGAACACTAGCAGCAGCATCGCCCCAAATCGCATGACCCAACGCTCACGTACCTCTGCACTCAGCTTCTGCTTTGCGTTCTCCCTCAACACTCTCTTAACTAAACGACGAGAGCCCACGCCGGGCTCGTGCTAAGCCTCACTCAGGCTTGGAAGGTGTCAGCCGACCTCGGATGAGCTGTGGCTCAGGTTGTCTGCCCCCAACCCCTTCCAGATGCCACTCGGACGCTATCTCAGGGGATACACAGATACAGGTTACCCTGCAGGCTTTGGGGCTGAGGGTATCGACAAGACCCGTGGCTCCAGCTAGGCAGCTACAAGTTGGCAGGTTGAAGGAGTCTTAGCGGGAGACCGGGCTAGGAAGCTCCCCGGATCCCCCCAGCGTCATACGCCCGGCGGGATGAATCCCGTCTGAGCTGCGCCTTTGAGAGCGCTCGCAGTGCTTCTGTGATGCGCGTGTGCTCGTCCGTGCCCTTCTCCAAGCCCTGAGTACAGGCAAATAACCGGACGTGCACGGACCCCTTGGCAACGAAATCCCCAAGCTGCTTCCAATAATGTTGGGGCAAGGTGCAGACAGGACGACAGCATACTTTTTCATCAGCCTCAGTGGGCAATAGCGAAACTGCAACAAAATCGAGGCAAAGTCGGTGCCAAATTGCTGCACTCTCAAAGCAAGACCAGTACAGTACGGTCTGATGCAATGGCTTCATGGAGGCAAGTTGCTCGACCTTCCGATTCGCCGTTGCTGCTTCTTGCATTGCAGATGCCAGGGCATTCTCCTTACTCGACAGGTCATGGAAAGCTGAGTCTGTGCGCCCGTGTTAGGATGAGCACGAAGAGGCACAGCGGAGCACAGCATAGCACAGCCCCACAGCGTCGCCCGCGGCTCCAAGGACCGAGCGACCCAGGGTGCTCGCTGGGCCACCTTCACCTCCGCAGTAGGCTCTGCTGGCAGGGACACTGCGCGGATGTTTGCAGATAAGCAAACAAAACATGCGAAGAGCTTCGACATCCTCAGAAAACGCCACGCAACGTAGCCTGAATGTCAGGCTCTTGAGCGCCCGTTTCCTCTTTTTCTGACTCTTCATCATCTTCGTCCCCTGGCACACTTAGACTTCTGTTGCGTGGCCACACATTGCACGAAGGAGGCTCGAGTTGATGTGAGAACAGCTATCTACATGAACAGCTGTCGAAACTACAACCCATGCTCGTGTAAGATCCCGGAATGCAGATTGCTCTACATTGGCAATCGAAGTATTAGCACGGACAACACGGTCAGAGGGAATGTGGGAGCCAGGAGGGCCCTTTTCACCCTCGACCGCGACGTTCTCCAGCGGCTTCTGCCCTTTCGATTTCAGCAGTTCTCGAACCTTCTTCTCCTGAAAGAGTGCGCCGTTGCTGCGGCAGTATAATGCACGAACCTCTCCTGGCACATCCCAGCACCCGGCCTGTTCCAGCACGTGCTTTCTAAACCTTGCCGTAGGGAGGCGGTGGCCATCAGACCAGTTTCGGATGTTTACAATGCCTCTCGAACCATACCATTGCAAGGACTTTATTTGTGTTTGTGGGCCGTGCAAATTGCCAGGGTCTGCCTTCGCAACCGAAAACTATACTCGTCTCAGGGCGGGCACTGGCAAAAACTAGGATGAAGGCATCTTAGAGAAGCTAAACGGCTTGATCCCATCATTCGATGGGCGTGCCCGTTCCTTATTAGACTAATGTCTCCCATAAGGCTCTAAACCTCCAGGACCTCCGACAGGTGCCCAACAGCACTTACAACTAAGGTCACTGTCTGACCGAGATGCTTGCGCAGCGCCGGGAAGCCTTGGCTTGAAACTGACACAGACTCTTGTGAGCCTAGGGTCTGGATCAGGAGTGGTAGGTAAGTGGGCCGGTGCGTGCCTTTGTGAAGTTACCGGTAGCTTCAGATTCGATCGCGAGATTTCACGAAACATAGGGCGAGTGTAGATGATGCAACGAGACAAACCATGCACCCAAAGCTAGGACGTGCAAATGGGCCAGCAACGGGCAACACAGGCAACCTTATCTAATCTGGAAACAAGCGTCGCAAAAGAATCAGCAGCAGCATGCTGCGTGTTGATGTCCAGTGCTTCCCGGCCTGCGCTTTCAAGCATACCCTGTCCCTTCACGATATCCCTCATGATGCAACGCAAGGCACTTGGAATCGTCACAGCTTCAGGACAAGATGACTGGACTCTGCCTGTGTGTGCTTCTCCCGTGCATCTTTGATGGCCAGCATGCGGTTCGCCGCTGTGATCATGATTGGGTTATTGTGACAGGCAACCAACCTCAAGCTGAATCCCATGCAATTTTTTCTAATGCAGAATCGCGGATTGTGCTTCTACCCTCCACTGTAGCACATGCATGCACCAACACGAGCAAGCTTCATCACGTAGCCACAATAGGTGCGGTAGGACCTTGGCACCGGGGTTGTATAGGCTGTACACATGTGTTGGGTGCTTGATTCATCGACTCGCTTATTAGAAGACGGACGCCACTGTGTTCCAGCACTGCCCATGTGGCGTACCGAGCCAGCGGCGTGTCTAGAAGCATAAAGTTATTCACGAAATCCGGAGTGTTCGCCCCGTAGGTTATCGGAAGCATCACAAGAACCGCGATCAGACCTCGGCTGCACACACGGAATGTTCGCAAAAGCCGAAACCAAACTCTGTGCCATTCGAGACCAAGCTGTCGAGGTTGCGACGATGCCATCCGCTGAAAGTGACAACATGGGCACTTCTGCCAAGAGTCCGTAGACAAAGCGCATGATGGCATTCACTACGCCTGCACTGGAGTTTGCAGGGCTCAAGTCTCCTGAAATAGACACCATTCTGCGTAAGCCTGTGTTCGACAGATGTTTGTGACTCATGTCCCGGCTAGGCTTTTGCATGTGCCTCCCGGCAAGGACAAGAAGGTCATGTAGAAGTGGAAGATTGATGCTCCTGCACGATGGGAACACATCACGGTAGCAATCGACAGTCAGGTTTAAGACTTCGCTGGCATTACATGAAGAATCTCTTCTTCCACCTGGCCAGACTCTTGTTCGCTCCTGCTCGCGTCTTGATGAAAGTTGGCCCGAACAAATTCTTCTTCAACAGCTTCATGCTCACGAAGGAGATGATCTTGGGTATGACGAAAGTTGTAATAATCATGGGCACGTTCCTCCAGATCACGTTCCAGGTGAGCGAAAAACAGAAGGGTAGTAATATGACCGTGACCACAGCGACGATCAGAATGTATGAGACTATTGAAGCTGAGATGTTGATGCCAATGTATCCGGTGGCGAAAACCACTTTGGCATTCTTCTTCTTGAAGTTGAATTTGCCGAGTCTCGCATCCATCACTGACTGCCGGAAATGTACGAAGTGACCGAGTATCGCGCAAAGGGTCAGGATTGCGGCCACCACAATACCTCCAGGGCTATACGACCCTTTCTGGCAAGATGAGATGCCAAACAAAACAAAAGCACACGGGGTTCAGAGTATCGCCCTTTGAAAACGATTTGGCAATGAACACACACACAAATAAGTCATAATGTGACAGAGGGTTGTATACAGAAATTACAAGCACATACATACATACAACCATACATGCATACGTTCGCACACATACATACATACGAGTGTTAATAAATGCATACATTCACACACATACATACTTACATACACACAGAAGTACATACATACAGACACACAGGCACACACACACACACACCACATGGGTGGGCGAGTGTGTAAGGGCGAGGGATGGCGAGGGCGTATGTGCATGTGGGCGAGTGGCAGAACTACATGCTTAAATCCATGAAGACACTCGTATGCATCCATGCATGCATGCATGCGGGGACGAATGTACGTATGTTTAGGTACATGTTTGAAGATGCTGTAAACAAAAACTATCTTCTCCGTGTCCAGGTATTATGCACGTATGTGCATAAAGGTGTCTACACCACTATTTGCTTAAATTCTTTGTGTACTTGTCTGTATGTATATGGCACACAAGTTCGTAAATGTAGGTGTATGTGTGTTTGTGTGCGCGTGCATGCGTGGCCTGGTCGCGCCGTTTTTTACTGTCTTGGTGACTTGCCAGGCCTGCGGTGAAACCCACAATGATGGCATCAATCAGCTGCTGGAACCAAGATCTCATCAAGCCAATCTGGACATACATGAAATCAGTGGCACCTCAGCACCCGGATTAACACGTCGCCAGTCACACCTCACGAAACCTCAAATTCCTTGCCATCTGGTCTCCGGCAAGCGCCGGTCTGGCCTTTCCCCCTGCTTCCCTGCCCCTCAGCCCGGACCAGAGCTGTCTGTGTTTGGTCTAGCCCGTCTAGCTGTCTAGCTGGCTGCGTTGCGGGCTGTGTTGCTTTTTGGGGGGGGTCTTCTTGCTACGGCCATCAAGGCGAGGAGTGCAAAAGGGATCAGCGAAAACTCTTCTGGAGACGGGGCTGTCAAACTGCAGGCGGGCAACTGTCCGGC